AAGGGACAATTTTGCATCAGCAGATATAATTTATCATCAATTGATATGAACGTTAATCTCTATCAAGTGGCAAATCTATCAGTCAGTGATAATACTAAAATGAGCCACTTTAATTTACTATTTCAGATAAATAATTTAGAAGTAGAGTTATCTCCCTTAGTCATGCGATTTTGAAATAAGAACTAATTTAAGTAAAAGAGTCATATTGTTTGGTTTTACAAAATGTATCTTGAATTTCTATAAACTACATTTCTCTAATACAGTGTTAAATTGTCTGTCTTCAAAAATTATCTTTACAATTCATAAAAAAAAGAGAGGAAGACTTTTACAGTTAATTAAAACATCTGTGCACAGTAGGTTTCTTTTATTTTGTTCTTGAGATAAAAGGTTGAACTCCAATCATAAAACAGTAAACAAAGAAAGAAAATTTGACACACGTTTTGACCTTTTAAAAATTTTGAATTCTAGGAGTTGGAAAATAAAGAGGCTTGCATAAGTAGTTTTTTGGAGATTAATAAGGGGAGATAATTAAAGCCTTGAAAACTTTAAATCTGACAAATTTACATTTACAATACATCGTCAAGTATATAAAAAAAGTATTTGCAAACTTTAAACTCCTACTGAAATGTAAGACTGACATTTTAAGAAACAATCTTGAACAGTATTTCTTAAGTGTATTTTTTGTTATGTGTATTATTAGATTGAAAAAATAACATTTTCACATCTATTGTTGTAATTGTAAAATCTTTTCTTTTAATTTCCTTCAGATGGAGTTGCCTTCCCTTTCTTGACAGTTGGTCAGCTTGATATCTCTTGATTCTTTAATTCACTGAAATAATAAAGCGTACATGTATTAAATTAATAATATGAAATTCAATTACGTGTGTGCTTGTGACATTTGTTAAGTGCTACAGAATCAATCAAGATAGAATGAAATAAATTGTCTGAATCAGCTAAAATCAGCCCCTTAACAAATTGTTCATGTATTTATTAAAAAAAAGATGTGGTATGATTGCCTATGAGACAACTCTTTACAAGAGACCAAATGATACAGAAATTAACAACTACAGGTCATTTGCCACTTTTGTAATATTATAGAATAATTGTCTACTTGAAACTTATATTTGCCCAATTGGATATAAACTTATTGTTTACTTTAATATGTGATAATTTATTTAGATTATGTTTAATGTAATTTATCAAACTATGTGTAAATGAATGAACAAATTATTAATTGATAAAAGGTGTGTATACATTGATTTAATTTACATTTGTATATACTATAAAATACTTAAGACATGCATATTATCATACCATAAAAAGCTGACTGTAGGCAAAAGCTGTGAAAGGACCACAAATACTTTCATTCTTTAGCTGTGATACATCTGATATCTGAACACTTTTGATGTCAATTTGGATAAGTCTGCGGAAAGAAAAACAAGATTTAGATATATAGACACACAAACTCATAAAATTGATGTACAATTAAGAATCAATAATTTAGCATATGATTTTAAATGTCACATCATAATGAACATGTCATGTTATTTATGGTTTTTTTTTTTGTTTGTTTTGGTTCTATGTATCGATCTATTAAAATATTCTTTATGTGACTGTCCCAAGTCAGGAGCCTGTTATTAAGTTGTTGCTGTTTGTTGCTGAATATCATATTTGTTTTTTCTTCTTTTTTACAAAGTTACTTCATGTTTTTGTGGTGCTTATTTCATACTACTTCATGTGCTCCTTTAGAGGGTTCTTGCCTTGAAGACAGGTAGAGCAATAGAGAATTATCATAAGAATTTTAATTTTCTGGCTTTAAAATCTCCTCATAACATTTGTTTGCATTTACACAGCTTTAAGGATAAGGACCTGTCAGTAACATTTTGTGCATACATGTAGACCAAAGGGTCTTGTGGTGCTTAATTTGTGTTTGGTAGTGCTTAATTAATTTAAGATGTCCACCATTAAAGGACTATTGACTTGTTAAACAAATCATTGGGAATTGTTGACCAATGGGTCTTAGGAATCTACTTAGATCCTTAAAGAGAACATAAGACCTCTATAATCATCAATGAGGTTGTATTACCACCTGTGTTACTAAGTTCATTTTTGGTGGTGCTTTTATATAATTAATGAAGAATACCATAAGAGGTATCCAGACTTGTCAACATGACAATGGTTGCTTGTGGACCAATAGGCTTTACAAATTAACTTAAACCTTAAAACAGTGTTTTAGACCCTTATAACTGTCTGCTGGACCAAGGGGTGGAAGCTACTTCCTGTGGTGCTAAGATCGTTTTTGGTGGTGCTTATATTTTTCTTTGATGAAATATATCATAAAAGACTCCTGGACTTGTAGATTGGACCACAGACAATGGGCCCTATAAATCAACATAGACCTCCCAAAGTTTTTTTACACCCCTATACCTGTCTGTTGGACCAAGGGGATGGAAGCAACCATCCGTGGTGCTAAGTTCATTTTTGGTGGTGCTTATATTTCTTTAATGAAATATACCACAACAGACCTCTGGACTAGAAGATTGCACCACATGTGCTTTTCAAATCATCTTAGACCCATAAAGAGTGTGTTAGACCCCTAAACCTGTCTGATGGACCAACGAGAGGAAAGCTACCTCCCATGGTGCTTAGTTTGTGTTTGGTGGTGCTTATATTTTTCTTTAATGAAAAATACCCTTATAGACCCCAGGACCTGTAAATTGGACCACAGGTGCCTGTGGACCAATGAGCCTTAAAAAATAACTAAGAACCCCAAAGAGTGTTTTAGACCCCTATACCCATCTGTTGGACCAAAAGGGAGGGAAGCTACCTCCTGTGGTGCTTAGTTTGTTTTTGGTGGTGCTTATATTTTTCTTTGGTGAAATATACCCTGAGACCCCTGGACTTGTGTAGATTGGACCACAGTTGCCTTTAGACCGACAGGCCTTACAAACCAACTCAGAATCCCAAAGAGTATTTTTGACCCATTACCCATCCTTTGGACCATTGGGAGGGAAGTTACCTCCCGTGATGCAAAGTTTGTTTTTTGGTGGTGCTTATATTTTTATCAAATAAAATATAATATAAAAGACCCCTTGACTTGTAGAGTGGACCAAAGTTGCCTGTGGACCAATGAGCCTAACAAACCAACTTAGAACACCAAAGAGCGTTTGAGACCCTTAAACCTGTCTGTTGGACCAGTGGGAAAGAAGCTATCTCCCGTAGTGATAAGTTCGTGTTTTGGTGGTGCTTGCATATTCCTTGAATGAAATATAACATAAAAGACATCTTGACTTGAAGATTGGACCAAAGGTACCTGTAGATCAACGAGCTTCACAAACCAACTTAATACCCTAAAGAGTATTTTAGACCCCTATACCAATCTGTTGGACCAAAGGGAGGGAAGCTACCTCTTGTGGTGCAAAGTTTGTTTTTGGTGGTGCTTATATTTTTATCAAATAAAATATAATATAAAAGACCCCTTGACTTGTAGATTGGACCAAAGTTGCCTGTGGACCAATGAGCCTAATAAACCAACTTAGAACACCAAAGATTGTTCGAGACCCTTAAACCTGTCTGTTGGACCAGTGGGAAGGAAGCTATCTCCTGTAGTGATAAGTTCGTTTTTTGGTGGTGCTTGTATATTTTTTGAATGAAATATAACATAAAAGACCCCTTGACTTGAAGATTGGACCAAAGGTACCTGTAGATCAACGAGCTTCTCAAACCAACTTAGAACCCCAAAGAGTATTTTAGACCCCTATACCAATCTGTTGGACCAAAGAGAGGGAAGCTACCTCATGTGGTGCAAAGTTTGTTTTTGGTGGTGCTTATATTTTTATCAAATAAAATATAATATAAAAGACCCCTTGACTTGTAGAGTGGACCAAAGTTGCCTGTGGACCAATGAGCCTAACAAACCAACTTAGAACACCAAAGAGTGTTCGAGACCCTTAAACCTGTCTGTTGGACCAGTGGGAAGGAAGCTATCTCCTGTAGTGATAAGTTCGTTTTTTGGTGGTGCTTGTATATTTCTTGAATGAAATATAACATAAAAGACCCCTTGACTTGAAGATTGGACCAAAGGTGCCTGTAGATCAACGAGCTTCACAAACCAACTTAGAACCCCAAAGAGTGTTTTAGACCCCTATACCCATCGGTTGGACTAATGGGAGGGAAGCTACATCGCATGGTGCTTAGTTCATTTTTGGTGGTGCTTGTTACTTTTTTTTAATGAAATATACATGTACCATAACCTCTATACTTAGGATTGGATCAAAAGTGTTTGTGGGTTAATGGGCCCTACAAATTAACATAGACCCCAAAAGAGGTTTGTAGACCTGTCTTCCTGCTTATTGGACATTATTTGGACAGCGGGGTGGAAGTTATCATCTGTGTTGGTAAGTTTTTTCTGGTGGTGCTGATATATAACTTTTTAATGAACAGATGAAATATACCATAAGTGGCCTCTGGAATGGACAACACAAGCTTGTGGACCAATGGCAATGCGTCTTAAAACTCAATTTGACCTCAAAAGCAGCTGCTCACATGTGATATAGACCCCATATACCCGTCTGATAGACATAAAGACAGAAGCTTCCTCCCCTGGTGTTTAGTTCATTTTTGGTGGTGCTTTATATCTAATAAAATTTCCAATGAAAAAACATTCCGGTAGACTTTTAAATTGGACTAGATGTCCCGTTAGGGACTTTGTAATACACATTTGAACCTAAACAGTTAATTAGACAACCATACATGCCTATAAAATGTGGAGCTCAATGTGGGCTAAACAAACCGGATGTTTTGATTTGATTGAGCATTCGCAGAAATAACTACGAGCTTTCGATCCATAATAATGAAAAAGCTAGAAATAAATCGAAAAAAAAAAATGGTTGGTCCCTTGTCTCAACCACTAGACAGGTTACCAGGAAAACAATAATCCAATCAAACGGTGGTGCTTATAGTGGTTTTCATCACGTTTTGATATATATATTATTACTCGAAAAAAGCTAAAAATTAAAATGCTGAAACGACAAAACTTTTAGTAGTCTAAATAACAAGCAATTAAAAAACAATAAGAAGCTACAATTGAAATCTAAAACTTCTCAGCAAATGGATCACCAGGAAAATGAAGATGTCAGAGATGATGGTCCATCAGTAGCATCCAAAGTGTTTTTTGCAGAACTCTGTGGTCTGCTAGAGAAAATATCAAAAACTCAAGGAAATGATAAAAAGAAAAAAATAATGAAAGAATTTATTGATAAATGGAGAGATTTTCATAATCAGCTCCATAAAGATGATAAGAAAACAGTGAGCATTACAGAAAACATTAGATATAATATTAATATACCCTGAAGAGTGAAGTCCAGTAATTTCCATTGCCTGATAGTTCTGTTTATTTCGTAAACATAGAATGTTAAATGTACAGACTTATGAAATGAATGAATTTACCAATGGATATTATAACTCTGTGTCTAACCAGAGACATATATACACACAAAAAAATTGGATGAATTTATACAAAATTTTTACATTTCTCATGAAAAACATGAGATTATTGTCTTGTTTTTTTTTTTTGGGGGGGGGGGGGTCAACATCCTCAATGTCACCTGGATCTGCCACTGTCCAATACTTGCCCATCAGGGTTACTATATATATATATATATATATATATATATACCATCTTTTCCGCAAGTTTATTGTTTTCTGTTTGGTTTTAAATTAATAATTTTAAAAGATCCATTTTGTAACAACTTGTGATCCGTTTATTTGGCAATCGCCAATGGCAGTCAGCAGGGTTTAAGAACATCTGTTGTTGTATAAATTCATCCAATTTAGTCAAATGCGTTTTGTTAAAATATACTTTTTCACTGTTTTGGTCTATTGGAAAATGTTGTTTGTGTTGTATTTAGACCCCTCTATGAAGAAATTTGTTTTGCATGCACACTATAAAAATTGCGGTTTTTATCCAACGCAATCATAGGTTTGAACGTTGTTTTCAATTTAGACTTGTTTATATATATATATATCTATCCTTTATATACAATGTACAAATGAAATGTATAATGAGCTATAATTCATTCCTTACAGCATGTATAGACTGATTGCATTTAAACCTTCAGGAATTAATACATTAAAGTTTTCAGTTATTAATTTGTTTATTTATATCTGTGTATCTTGAAAATTCTTTTTGTGAATAGTGTGTGAGGAATCACAAATGGTTTTCTTAAACATGTGCATGTCAATGCATGTTGAAATTGCAGAATTTACAATCATTTACTTTGGAAATCTGACTTACTCCATGTGTCAAGTTGACACTGTCAACCTAATATGAAATTATTATGTGATGAATCGCAAATGCTTTCCTAAATGAACATGTTAAAACTACAGAAGAACGAGTTCCTTCAAAAACAAAAAACGTATAAGAAAAAGACAAACCATGGTGTAATAACACACCAAGAAAACAAATTAATTTAAGAAAACAGTTTTAAAATACCCAAGAAGAGACGAGGCAAAAGAAACAAAACTGGGTATAACTTCATTTGTTGCAGTTGTTACAACTCCATTTTAGCACTTAAACTTACAATAATTATATACGAGTTTGACATGCAAAGAAATGGTTATAATCATGTTATTTGTGCTTGATAATAATTACATTCATTTTGGAGATATTAGTTACTGCTAAGTGATTGATATTCCTGTGGGGGGAATAACTTATTACAGATTTATTCCTTTACTGCTATGAATCACAGTCATGACAGTTTATGGCAAAACTTAAAAAAGAGTAAAGACTACACAAAAGATTTTAACAATGCAGATGTTCTCTTTCAACAATCAAGATTGTTTTTAAAAGTACAAGTGAAATATTCCATCTCAACTCACTTTTACTAAAACAAACATTACTAGGGACATTGGACATTTTTTGGACATCGATGTTAGAACTTCTCACTGTACACTGGACTTAGTCATTGTATGTACAAAAGAATCTTTACAAGAATGTATATGGTCCACAATTATCATATGTCTAATGACACAAATGATGAAAATAGGTTTTCATACAGTTTGTGTTTATTTCAGAATGATTCCTTTTATTCAGCAATGAGACTTTTGATCCCACATCTTGAAAAGGAAAGATTAGCCTATGGCATTAAAGAAGTAAGTAGAGATAAGAAATACTCCAGAGGATGTTTGATTTAAGACAAATCCAAATGTTTTAAAGCCATAAAACAATACAAGACTTAGACAAAGACATGGTATTGGAAAACATAGGCACATAACAGACAATATTGATAACTTTACATGTTGCTTTCAACATCATTCCCATAAAAAATCAAAGAGTTATATCAAGTGCTCAGGAAAGACAAGCCAACCTGCTCTGTTACAGCACACATTGCATTTTTCAAAAAGTCCAAACCAGTAATTTTTCTATTCAATAGTGACTGTAAGTGGAGTTCAGTAGCCTTAAGTGTAGACATGCAATAAGATACTGTTGATCCATTTATTTTCGTGGGTACCAATTTTCATAGATTGAAAAATTGCGTTTTCGTTGATATTTGATTTTGCTGTTTTACCAAAATCTGCATACATCCTTATATAAAATGTGTAATTCCTTGAATATTTGAATTAGTGGTTCACTTGTACCCTTGGAATTCACAAAAATTGGTATCAAACGAATAATAATGAATCCACAGTATACCATTTACAAAATGTAATGGGAAAATGAAAGCATATATATATATATATACCTGTATACATGTATAAAGTCACAGATAAAGAAACAGATTGGGAAAAGACTGGACCTACATGTATATGTTGTGTGGCTCAGTGAAACAGATGGATATACACATATTTACAATAAAGGATACAAATTACCACACATGGATGGACACTGTTGTATCTTTTCTATCTTTATTTATAGGGTGTTATTATGATGTCTTAAATGTTTTGAAATTTTTTAAATGAAGAGAAATGTACCAGTACCTGTATATGTCTGGTTTATGTTTACAGTTAAAAATTACTAATCGGTAACATATTTTACAGCACATGCTAGCCAAGCTGTTAATAGAGGTTTTATGTCTTGGAAAAGACAGTCCAGATGCTAATAGATTACTTAATTACAAAGCTCCTAAATCTGCTAAAATGGTAAGTAGAATACAATATTTGGAACTGATGAATGACAAAGTGGAATCAGCTATTTCCTGTGTGCATTTTATTTTTCCAGATAGAATTTGAGAATAACAACCTCAATCACCATTTTGAAAGTATCAAGTCATATCAGCTGTTTGTTGAATTTCCCAGCAGCTTCATTTTCAAAAAGAATATTCCAGAATGCTAAATGTGATTTAAAGTACTAGTAGCTAAATTTGTCATAAGATCAAATGAAAATCTTAAGTTTGCCTCAGCCAAATGTTATGAAACTTATACACAATGCTTATTACCACTAAATACAGATCAAGTTTGAATTTTGGTGGCGTCACTTTTACTGTTCTAGAGTTATGCGTCTTTACAAATGGAAAAATTGTTAAATTTTTCGTTTCCGTTCTCTTACTTAAGTTTGCCTCAACCAAATGTTATGAAACTTATACACAATGCTTATTATCACAATATATAGATCAACTTTGAATTTTGGTGCCGTCACTTTTACTGTTTTAGAGTTATGCCCTTTACAAATGGAAAAACTGTTAAATTTTTCTTTTTTTTATGCCCCCGCCGTAGCTTTTCTTAGCGTATTTTGTACTTATCTCCCATGCCTATCCATTTTGCACTTAAAAATACGTGTCTCATCCTAGCGTTTAAAAGACATCTCAGTTCCGTTAGGGCTAAGGAAAATAATTTATTTGGCCTTTGGTATAATGCAGAATGCACGAAGTCTCTAATAACAAAAAATAATGGGCGCACATATCAACCAATCAGGATTAGCTATACTCTTAATTCTGAATACCATGTTATGCTCATAAAATGGCTGCGCCCATGAAATCTAATGGTGTATTGTAACCTATACGGTATTTAATACTTTCTAGAATCATGCAATTCATAGTTCGTTAGATGCACAAATATATATGCCACACAAAAATCATCTTCAAAACGTTCTGGCATTACTCTCTGAATTTTCACAATTTTTTATCAGAGGTGACCCCAGTCAAAAAATGGGGAAACAAATTTTCTGATTTTTTGAGTAAATGCGGGTACTGCTAAAAAGGGCCTGAAGATAATGTCCACTTTCTCCAATGATTCTTTGTATGTCATCAAGTACTGATTATATTGATACCAAAACCGATCCAATATGTAACTACGATGGTGAATTTTGAACAACAGTTTTAAATGAAACCATTTTCGTATAAAAGTACATTTTTGAAACAGACTATAGCATTTCAAAATATGAAAAATGTGTAAATATTTATGTTTAAACATCGAAAACTATTCGTTAACTACAAAATGTCATGCCTATTCTATTTTTTATAGTCTGTCATTCGAGTGAACATTTCAATGTTCGAAGGGGATCATTTCTGTACATTTTCAATGAATTAGGCAATTTCGATAACAGCACTTGGATCGAGATTGTCATGTTTAAAAATCGATTTGTATATCCAAACTCTAGACATGTACGTACTTTTTTTCAAATAAATCAGCAAAAGTTCAGAAAATGACATATTCTCTCCACAGTAAGTCAAAAGTCGAACCCACCCTTGTTTCTAAGGTAAAACGCAATACAAAAATGAAACAGACTATAGCTTAAAAACTAGTTAATAATTCATTGGTCACCAAATAATACGGTTTCACATCAAATATCAAGTAAAATTACTGTTTTTGATACTTTTTGAGCACTATGATAAAGAAATGTCGACGCTGTATAGATTGAAATAAACAATTAATTTCCCCATAGGCGACAATGATAGCCTTTTTCGAGATACAGACTTCAGAAAGTTGATTTTTTTAACGAAACCTTGCTAGAATTAAAGAAAAGTTATTAGAACAGTATTTTTTGGTCCAAAAAATATAGGTTCGCGTTGCTTTTCTTAGCGTAATTTGTATTTATCTCCCATGCCTATCCATTTTGCACTTAAAAATATGTGTCTCATCCTAGCGTTTAAAAGACATCTCAGTTCCGTTAGGGCTAAGGAAAATAATTTATTTGGCCTTTGGTATAATGCAGAATGCACGAAGTCTCTAATAACAAAAAATAACGGTCGCACATATCAACCAATCAGGATTAGCTATACTCTTAATTCTGAATACCATGTTATGCTCATAAAATGGCTGCGCCCATGAAATATAATGGTGTAATGTAACCTGTTGGTGGCGTCACTTTAACCGTTCTAGAGTTATGCCCCTTTATAAATGGAAAAATTGCAAAATTTTTATTTTCTTCTAAATATCAAGTTATTTTTAAAATTGGAGTTATCTTCCTTTGTCCATGATTATAGTTGAATCAACTACAATCAATGCTTTATACAATGCAATGTTTAATTTTGACTTCCACTGATAAAACACAGATCAAGTGTCTATAAACTATGTCTAGTGCTATATCTGTGTCTTTGTAATATTTTGTATCTGTCAAATTCATGCCTTTTTATCTTGAATAAATATATATGCTATGCAAGCGGGGGCATCATCTGTGTCCACATTTATTTTTTTCTAAATATCAAGTCATTTTTATACGACCGCAAAAAAATTTTGTGGTCGTATATTGGTATGACGTTGGCGTCGTCGTCGTCGTCGTCCGAAGACACATTAGTTTTCGCACTCTAACTTTAGTTTAAGTGAATGGATCTCTTTGAAAATCTGCCATAAGGTTCTATACCACAAAAGGTAGGTGGGGATTGATTTTGGGGGTTATGGTACCAACAGTTAAGGAATTAGGGGCCAAAAAGGGGCCAAAAATAAGCATTTTCTAGATTCCAGACAATAACTGTGGAACGGTGTATGGATCTTTCTGAAATTATACTACAAGTTTCGATACCACAAAGGGATGGTTAGGATTTGCTTTGGGGGGTTATGGCTCAAACCGTTTAGGAATTATGGGTAAAAAAGGAGGAAAAACAAGGTTGTCCTGGTTAATGGACAAATACTTTAGTACAAAACATAATTTAAAGCAGTGTAAGGGAGATAAATCAAATACATCATTGAAATTATCTCCCTTACACTGCTTTTAAATTATGTATAAAGTAATGGTTAATGAACAATTAAGATAATTTAAAACGGTGTAAGGGAGGTAATCCAAATACAACGTTTTGGTTACTTCCCTTACACTGCTTTTAAATTATGTTTAAAGAAATGCATATTTATAAAGGAAGACCAGTAAAAATATCTGCAAATGTTGCATCTTTTTTTTTTACCAAAAAATCCATATGAAAGATTTGACACTATATTTTAAATTCTATTATAAAATAGATTAAGTTAGCACTATGGTAAATTTAAATGGGTAATTATGGTTGCAAACTCCATAGGAAATTTGAGAATTGAGATTATGACCATATCTTGAGGGAAAGAATTTTTTTGGGGAAAAAAGGGGGGGGGGGGGGGGGGGGGTAAAAAGAAATTGTGGGGGGTCAATTTTTTCTCATTTCAGATTTCAGAAATTAAAAAGAATTATTCTTCAAATATTATTTTTTTTTCAAATTTCAAATATTGAAAAATTTCAAGAAGTAATCTTTAATTGCACAGTATGGCGCATTAGATGTGTAAAATCTTTGACCACATTTATTTATTTGTTATGTCGAAACAAGATGCCGTATTTAGATTTTTAATTTTGGGTCCAGTTTTCAAATTGGTCTACATTAAGGTCCAAAGGGTCCAAAATTAAACTTTGTTTGATTTTAACAAAAATTGAAAATATGGGGTTCTTTGATATGCTGAATCTAATCATGTATTTAGATTTTTGATTTTTTTGGCCCAGTTTTCAAGTTGGTCCAAATTGGGGTCCAAAATTAAACTTTGTTTGATTTCAACAAAAATTTAATATATGGGGTTCTTTCATATGCTGAATCTAACCATGTATTTAGATTTTTTATTTGTGGACCCCGTTATCAAATTGGTTCATATTGAGGTCAAAAGGGTCCAAAATTAAACTTCGTTTGATTTCACCAAAAATTGAATTATTGGGGTTCTTTGATATTCCAAATCTAACCGTGTATTTAGATTTTTAATTTTGGGTCCTGTTTTTTAAATTGGTCTACATTAAGGTCCAAAGGGTCCAAAATTAAACTTAGTTTGATTTTAACAAAAATTGAATTCTTGGGGTTCTTTGATCTGCTGAATCTAAACATGTGTTTAGATTTTTGATTATGGGCCCAGTTTTCAAGTTTGTCCAAGTTGGGGTCCAAAATTAAACTTTGTTTGATTTCAACAAAAATTGAATTTATGGGGTTCTTTGATATGCTGAATCTAAACATGTATTTAGATTTTAGATTTTTGGCCCAGTTTTCAAGTTGGTCCAAATTGGGGTCCAAAATTAAACATTGTTTGATTTCAACAAAAATTGAATATATGGGGTTCTTTGATATGCTGAATCTAAGCATGTATTTAGATTTTTTATTTGTGGGCCCTCTATCAAATTGGTTCATATTGAGGTCAAAAGGGTCCAAAATTAAACTTTGTTTGATTTCATCAAAAATTGAATTATTGGGGTTCTTTGATATGCCAAATCTAACCGTGTTTTTAGATTTTTATACGACCGCAAAAATTAAAAATTTTTTTGGTCGTATATTGGTATGACGTTGTCGTCGTCGTCGTCGTCGTCATCTGGCGTCGTCCGGCGTCGTCCAAAGACACATTGGTTTTCGCACTCTAACTTTAGTTTAAGTGAATGGATCTCCATGAAATTTTACCATAAGGTTCAATACCACGAAAGGAAGGTTGGGATTGATTTTGGGGGTTATGGTACCAACAGTTAAGGAATTAGGGGCCAAAAAGGGGCCAAAAATAAGCATTTTTGTAACTTCCAGACAATAACTTGTGTGTAAGTGTATGGATCTCTCTGACATTGTACCACAAGGTTCCTTATCACAAAGGGAAGGCTGTAATTGATTTTGGGGGTAATTGCCTCAAAATTTTAGGTATTAGGGGCCAAAAAAGGGGCAAAAAAACAAGCATTTTTCTAGTTTCATGACAATAACTTGTGTGTAAGTGTTTGGATATTTCTGAAATTGTACTACAAGGTTCCATATCACAAAGGGAAAGCTGGAATTAAGTTTGGGGGATAATTGCCCGAAATGTTTAGGAATTGGGGGCCAAAAAGGGGCCAAAATAAGCATTTTTCTAGTTTCCAGACAATAACTTGTGTTCAAGTGTATGGATCTCTCTGAAATTGTACTGCAAGGTACCATACCACAAAGGGAAGGCTGGGATTGAGTTTGGGGGTGATGAATCATAAGGGGGTTCAAAAAATTTGGGGGGGGGGGGATTTTTTTTTTTTCTTTTTTTTTCTTTTTTTCCTTTTTTTTTTTCTTTTAAAATTTTCCATTTTAAGTTGGTTATTTCTGATTAATATTTAAAAGCAAATAATAATAATATGGTAGGAGATACACACCAAACAGGATGTGTAAATTATTATATAATAAGTATTGTGCAATAGCAAGAAATTTTCAATTGCACAGTATTGCACAATAGCAAGAAATCTTCAATTGCACAGTATTGCGCAATAGCAAGAAATCTTCAATTGCACAGTATTGCGCAATAGCAAGAAATATCCAATAGCACAATATTGCGCAATAGCAAGAAATTGTCAATTGTACAGTATTGCGCAATAGCAAGAAATATTCAATTGCACAGTATTGTGCAAAAGAAGATACTTCGTATAAATTGCTTATTTCTTGATCAATTTCAATGGGGTTTTATTCTTGAATTCTTGGGGTTCTTTAATATGCTGAATCTAATCGTGTATTAAGTTTTTGGATTTTGGGCCCCGTTTTTAAATTGGTCCACATTGAGGTCCAAAGGGTCCAAAATTTAACTTTGTTTGATTTCATCAAAAATTTAATTATTGGGGTTCTTTGATATGCCGAATCTAACCGTGTATTTAGATTCTTAATTTTTGGTTCCGTTTTCAAATTGGTCTACATTAAGGTCCAAAGGGTCCAAAATTAAACTTAGTTTGATTTTAACAAAAATTTAATTTTTAGGGTTCTTTGATATGCTGAATCTAAACATGTATTTAGATTTTTGATTATGGGCCCAGTTTTCAAGTTGGTCCAAATCGGGGTCCAAAATTAAACTTTGTTTGATTTCAACAAAAATTGAATATATGGGGTTCTTTGATATGCTGAATCTAACCATGCATTTAGATTTTTGATTTTTGGTCCCCGTTATCAACTTTGTCCACACTGAGGTCATAAGGGTCCAAAATTAAACTTTGTTTGATTTCATCAAAAATTGAATTCTTGGGGTTCTTTGATATGCTGAATCTAACCATGTATTTAGATTTTGGATATTAGACCATAATAGGTGAATGTCCAATTTAAAATTTTTAAGTTCTTAGACCACATTCATTCTGTGTCAGAAACCTATGCTGTGTCAAATATTTAATCACAATCCAAATTCAGAGCTGTATCAAGCTTGAATATTGTGTCCATACTTGCCCCAACTGTTCAGGGTTCGACCTCTGCGGTCGTATCAAGCTGCGCCCTGCGGAGCATTTTATTAATTTTGGGTCCCGTTTTTTAAATTGGTCTACATTAAGGTCCAAAGGGTCCAAAATTAAACTTTTTTTGATTTCAACAAAAATTGAATATATGGGGTTCTTTGATATGCTGAATCTAAACATGTGTTTAGATTTTTGATTATGGGCCCAGTTTTCAAGTTTGTCCAAGTTGGGGTCCAAAATTAAATTTTGTTTGATTTCAACAAAAATTGAATATATGGGGTTCTATGATATGCTGAATCTAACCATGTATTTTGATTTTGGACATTGGACCATAATAGGTAAATTGAAAAAAATCAAGTTCTTAGACCACATTCTTTCTGTGTCAGAAATCTATGCTGTGTCAAATATTTAATCACAATCCAAATTCAGAGCTGTATCAAGCTTGATTGTTGTGTCCATACTTGCCCCAACTGTTCAGGGTTTGACCTCTGCGGTTGTATCAAGCTGCGCCCAGCGAAGCATTTTATTGAAATTGGAGTTATCTTCCTTTGTCCATGATTATAGTTGAATCAACTACAATCAATGCTTTATACAATGCAATGTTTAATTTTGCCTTTCACTGAAAAATTAAAGCAATGTTTACCCTTCATTTCTAAAAATATTTTAAAGTCTTCTTTGAAGATTGGAGTTATCTTTCTTTGTGCATAATGGTAGTTGAATCAACTACAACCAATGCTTTATACAATGCAATGTTCAATTTTACTTCCTACTGATAAATTAAAGCTATCTTTACCATTCAGTGCTTACAAGCACTTTGATTACCGTTCTAGGGTTATGCCCCTTTACAAATGAAAAAATTGCTGAATTTTTCATTTCTGATCTCTAACTTGAGTTTGTCTTAACTAAATGTAATTTCTAAAAATATCAATGTCATTATTCAAGTAATTTTTAAAATTGGAGTTATCTTCCTTTGTCCATGATTAAAGTTGAATCAACTACAATCAATGCTTTATACAATGCAATGTTTAATTTTGACTTCCACTGATAAAACACAGATCAAGTTGAATTTGGGTAGTGTCACTTTAAGCATTATTGAGTTATGCCCCTTTATAAATCGAAAGATTGCAAAATTTTAGTTTCCATTCTGTAACTTAAGTTTGCCCCAACCAAACATTATGAAACCTATACACAATATTCATTACCACAAAACTTGATCAAGTACAATTTTTTTGTTTCTGTTTTCTAACTTGAGTTTGCCTCAACCAAATGTTATGAAACTTATACACAATGCTTATTACTACATAATACAGATTAAGTACGAAATTTGGTGGCGACACTTTTACCTTTCTTGAGTTATGTCCCTTTATAAACATAAAAATTGCTGAATTTTTCGTTTCCATTCTCTAACTTTAGTTTGTCTCAACCAAATGTTATAAAACTTATACACAACTGTTCTAGAGTTATGCGTGTTTACAAATAGAAAAATTGCTGAATTTGTAGTTTCTGTTCTCTTCTTAAGTTAGCCTCAACCAAATGTTATGAGACGTACACACAATGCTTATCACCACAAAACTCAGATCAAGTTCAAATTTGGGTAGCGTCACTTTTACCGTTCTTCAGTTATGTCCCTTTATAACTATATGATATGCAAGCGGGGGCATCATCTGTGTCCACATGTGGACACTATCCACATTTATTTTTTTTTAATTTGATTGTTACATTATAGGAAGCAGGTGATTTTGCCAGTGTAGCCTACTATGTTCTAAAGAACAGATGTCCTGAAAAAGGATCCTTAACCATTAAGGAAGTCAATAACTGTCTTGATGGAATAGCAACAAATAATGCTGCGAAGAAGAAAGAACTTGTCAGGAAGAACATCTTACATCTCCTGACCAATATGTCTGCTATAGAACTTAAATGGTTGATAAGGATGATTGTTAAAGAACTCAAGGTTGGATTAAGTCAGGCATCTGTCCTTTCTGTTTATCATCCTGATGCTGAAGAATTCTACAATGTGAACAATAATTTAGAAAAGGTTAGTGTACTGGTGTAAAATCTGATATAATTAATGAAAACAGTGATTTCCTTATCTATCCCAGTTTGCATCAGGTTATGGGATAACCAATGTATTCCATTTACGTAGACGTAAATAATCATTTTCATGATGTCTTCATTCGTAAAATTTTTAAAACAGAAACAAAGCAGGCATAGTTGCATATTCTTTCAATTTGTTTTGAAAAAAAATCTTCATTGATTTAATTTCATTGTCATGTCAACTGATAATCACCAGTTCAATGGTTTATTGTCAACAGTAGTGTTGTTAGTTTTTAAGCAAACATTAGTTGTATAACATCAGTATTTGAGTAGCAATATATCATATATAGCCAGTCTTTTGCATAACAACAAGTTTAATATCAACTATATTTTTTGAACCAATTGGCCTGACCTACTTTCGTCACAATTTTGACCTTTTCCACATCTTACTTGCTTGATTGTGGGCATTTGTGTTGGTCCAGCAAGTGTAGTTTTATACAAAGATAGTTTTAATTTTTCACAAAAAACAGGTCTTGTTATGGGCTGATCTATAGTAGTTTCTTTCATAATCAAATCAATAATATATTTAGACGACTCTTTATGATAAATTAAACTTTAATAGATGGAGGGTAAAATATCCAGTTCTATACTGCCAAAATACAGTAACAAACTGTAAATACAGTACAAAATATGCTGGTTTGAAATTAGTTTTTGTACAAATTTGAACTTATATTTTAATATTTTTTTCATTCATGATATCTTTTAGGTGTGCAGAATGTTGAGAGAAAAAGATGTGAGGGTGCATGAGATTGGAATATCTGTATTCTCTCCCTTTACACCAATGTTAGGAGAGAGGGGAGCACCTGATCAGGTATTTTATATTGATTTGTCAGATTAGAACCATCATAATTATAACTTGACTATTTGCTCATTAGGCCTTTGTAGTAAGTACATTATGTTGAGTGGAGTATCTGTAGTTGATTCATTTAAAGAGATATAGTCTACAATTTTTTCATTAACAGTCACTTTTTTTCATGTTCAAATAAAAATATTAAATATCAATTCAAATATAAATAATGCATAGTCAAGTGACCATACAATATATCTCAGAAAGGCAAGTGGAAAGATATTTACAAATCAATTCAATTTAAATTTCCATAATTGCATATAAAAAGGCTGTTTTTGCAACCTACATAAAAAGAAAACAAAAATTGATAAAACAACATTTAGTTCAATACTTTTATTTTTTTTCTATTTAAAATTTTCGTGTGATAGATAGAAAAGATAATGGAAGGAAAGCCCTACTATATAGAGACAAAGTTTGATGGTGAAAGGATGGTGTTACATAAGGATGAAGGGAACTATAAATATTTTACAAGAAGGTTTGTGTTTTGAATTGTTTAAACATTACACTGTATTCAGAAATAGTTCTGCTTTTGTTTTATTTCATGATATGCTTGAGGTATTTAATTTTTTTGGTATTTTAAAATTTTTGCTGAAAATGCTTGTAATACTTTATTGGATTTGTGACTGCGTAAAGTTACTCACAAAACCTTTAAAAACTTTAAAAGTAGAAATTTTAATTAATGCTGAAAAAAATGGCCAGGTGTATTGAGTGTCATGACTCTTGGTTTCAGTTTTTCAACTTAATATGTATGATGAGAATAGGATATATAATTGTACCAAGAAATTCAAATTCTTTATAACAACATCACAAAATATGTTTGAAGTATTAGTCTCTTGTGTATTTCTAAGTTAAAAGTTGCATGTGTTAAAAATATCTAATAAATTATATTTAAAAGTTTAATGTGAACAAAATATCTTAAAATGATATTTAAAGTTAATTCTTCAATTATAAAAATGATAATGACTGAATTCATATTTAGGAAATTTTAGAAATTAAAGCAACATTTATTTTGAAAAATTTTATTTAAACACTTAAAAAAAATGTAATTGTTTAAATAAATATCCAAATATAATTTCAGTAAATTTTTTTAAAAACCTACAAAAATTGCATAGTTCTGTTAGATTTTGTAAAAATTTACAATCTAGATCAGACCAAAAATATTTGTTCATGTGAAAATGTTCATCATTGAAATATCATGTAAAATTTCCATTTAATGACAGTGTTGTTATATTGTGTGGAGGATTTAATTACACAAGCCTAATATTCTTTGATGTCCCTGTTGTAAGATTTTCTGATTTTCTACTTATTGGTTTAAATTGAAGGGGACAAATAATGGCTAACATTACACCTCCTTTTTTTATATTGGAGTCTTTAAAATATTACTAATTTTTGCGTATGCAGAATCTAATCTATTATGTCCACAAGCTTAAAGAAATTTATGACAAGGAATGATACAGTATTTTATATTGCAGTGGTAATGAATACACCAGTACATTTGGAGCTCATGAGTTGGATGGTAACCTCACACCACACATACACAATTGTTTCAAGCCATTTGTCAAGAAATGTATCCTGGATGGAGAAATGATAGGATATGATCCTGTTACGAAAACATTTGGTAATTATCTCAGAACTACTTTACAAGTATTGTCAACCAGTTATAGTGGACTGCTGTGTATTGGTCCAGGTCTACAATAAACAGTTATCTTTTTGCTTGTAAATTTAATTTCTGAGGTTTCAATATATTTTTAAACACAATTTCTGTATGACAATATGCTTTGACAGATTATGAAAGTGTGGTTCTTTAATCAACTTATTGCAGAATTTATTTTTCATGTTTTCATTCACTCTCCTTTGAACCATCTATTTGACATGAATACACTTTAGTCAGACTAAGACAAACTGTCAATGAAAGGCATTACAACATCTGATGGCTTCTACATAAGTAAATCATCATATGAAGGTGCGAAGAACATTGATGGACACCCACATTACTTTATACACCAATTTCAAGTTTGAACGCCATTTAAAGAAATAAAATGTCCTGTAATATATTAACGTCACAACAGAAAAAATTTGACACTCCAATAGATGTATTTTGTATTTAACAGCTACAAAAGCTATGAATACAGATATAAAGAGACAACATAAAGTTTGTACACAAAAAGAGTCATGGTTGTATATATGTATTTCGTATTTAACAGCTACAAAAGCTATGAATACAGATATAAAGAGACAACATAAAGTGTGTACACAATAAGAGTCATAGTTGTATATATTGTCTTAAGATGTATTTCGTATTTGACAGCAACAAAAGCTATGAATACAGATATAAAGAGACAACATAAAGTTTGTACACAAAAAGAGTCATGGTTGTATATATGTATTTCGTATTTAACAGCTACAAAAGCTATGAATACAGATATAAAGAGACAACATAAAGTGTGTACACAATAAGAGTCATGGTTGTATATATGATGTTTAGATGTATTTCGTATTTAACAGATATAAAAGCTATGAATACAGATATAAAGAGACAACATAAAGTGTGTACACAATAAGAGTCATGGTTGTATATATGATGTTTAGATGTATTTCGTATTTAACAGCTACAAAAGCTATGAATACAGATATAAAGAGACAACAACAGGAAGGTCTACAGTCTTGTCTACATGTGTTTGATATTGTATTGTTGAATGATAAAGTCCTCACCAACCAACCTCTAACAGAAAGACTGAAGATACTAAAGACAGTGTTTGAACCTGTAGAAGGCAGAATTTTACTGAGTGAACACAAAGAGGCTAGAACAAAGTATTTCATTTATTTGCCAATTTTTGGCATTAAGTTCTCATATTGAAAAGATATAAATTATCACAAATCTTAAACTTTGCAACAAAGGAATGCATAACAGATACATTTCCAATAATTACCAGTCAGACATACATATGAAAAAAAATGGAGATATGTTATATTTGGCAATGAGACAACTATCCACCAAAGACCAAGGGACAACTAAGGTCACATCTATGCCTTCAATAATGAGCAAAACCCATACCGTATAGTAAGCTATAAAAGACTTAGAGATGGCAAACTGTGAAACAATTCTTAGAGAAAACCAACAGACAGATTTATGTTAAAAACCATAACTGAAAAACATTTATGGCAGACAGCAACGCTTCAGCTTTGGAAGAGGCACAAAAAAGTAGTGAGGTTAATCAAGTTTGTGAGTGCTCAACCCTCCCCTAGCCTAGGACAGTCGTGTAACAGGACAACAAACTAAAAAAAATCCTCCATTGAAAAGGGCTAGTCTCCTCAGGTTTTCACTAAGCACAAACATTACAAAAGACACTAATACCACCTGTAAATTACTCTCCGTTACTAAAAGTTAGTTCAAAGTAAAGTTTCAAATAATAAATACACCATTTTTTCCCAGACAAAATGTTAATTACATAAAAAATGGAGTAGATAAGGTAAAATATTCCTTCTGCAGCACTTGAACATTTGCTGTTTACTAACAGGAAATGATGTATATAAACTTATTGAAGAACAGTCTGTGTGATGTATTTATAGCAAATGATAAGTAAATTGTATCAAAGTATTTAAAAGTGCACCCGCCGATCAAGTTAACTCTGTTTAAATTCACCCATATATGTTTTATAAATACTTTTCAGTCAGGATTGTGCAGATGCACTGAATGATGCTATTGATGGAAGGGAGGAAGGAATTATGGTGAAGAATCCCGAATCTGTTTATCGTCCAAATACAAGGAAAGGAGGATGGTATAAAGTTAAACCAGAATATGTAGGCGGTTTGATGGATGAATTGGATGTATTAGTAGTTGGTGGATTTTTTGGTGTTGGACATAGATCAGGGATGATGTCACATTTTCTGTGTGCTGTAGCTGTACCACCCGAAGAAGGAGAAGAACCAAAAATATTTCATTCATTTTGTAAGGTACGATAACTTTTTTCATTCAATAAAATGGTTAGCTATGATATCACGTCACCAAGTGTTAGCAATGAATTCTATATCAAATGGAAAGTGTACTGTAAACCAACTAATTTTCTTGACTTTCGTGAGTAAAAAAAAAACACAAATATTAATTGTCGCAATAATGTATATTTAAGATATTTTCTAAAAAGTTGTTATGCCCCCTGCCGTAGCGGAGGGGGCATTAAGTTTGTACGTCCGTCCGTACGTCCCAACGTTGGTTTCTGTTCTCTAACATTAGTTTGCCTCAACCAAATGTTTTGAAACTTATACACAATACTTATTACCACAAAACTATTACCACAAAACACAGATCGAGTTTGAATTTACTTAATGCCCCCTCCGCTACGGCAGGGGGCATTAAGTTTGTACGTCCGTCCGTACGTCCCAACGTTGGTTTCTGTTCTCTAACATTAGTTTGCCTCAACCAAATGTTTTGAAACTTATACACAATACTTATTACCACAAAACTATTACCACAAAACACAGATCGAGTTTGAATTTTGGTGGCGTCAATATAACTGTTCTAGAGTTATGCCCTTTACAAATGGAAAAATTGCTGAATTTTTCGTTTCTGTTTTCTAACTTTAGTTTGCCGCAACCAAATATTATGAAACGTATACACAATGCTTATTACCACATAATACAGATCAAGTTCGAAATTGGGTGGCATCACTCTTAAAATTCTTGAGTTATGCCCCTTATTTAACAAAAACTGCTGAATTTTTCGTTTCCAATCTCTAACTTTAGTTTGCCTCAACCAAATGTTATGAAACTTATACACAATGCTTATTACCACATAATACAGATCAAGTATGGAATTGGGTGTCATCTTTTGTACCTTTCTTGAGTTATGTCCCTTTATAAACATAAAAATTGCTGAATTTTTCGTTTCGTTCTCTTACTTTAGTTTGCCTCAACCAAATGTTATGAAACTTATACACAATGCTAATTACCACAAAATACAGATCAAGTTTGAATTTTTGTGGTGTCACTTTTACCGTTCAAGAGTTATGCCTGTTTACAAAGGAAAAATTGCTGAATTTTTTGTTTCTGTTCTCTAACTTAAGTTAGCCTCAACCAAATGTTATGAGACTTATACACAATACTTATTACCACAAAACTCAGATCATGTACAAATTTGGGTAGCGTCACTTTTACTGTTCTTCAGTTATGTCCCTTTATAACTTTATATGATATGCAAGCGGGGGCATCATCTGGGTCCATGGACACATTCCCCATTTTTAGCTCACCTGGCCCGAAGGGCCAAGTGAGCTTTTCTCATCACTTGGTGTCCGTTGTCCGTCGTCGTCGTCGTCCGTCGTCGTTAGCTTTTTACAAAAATCTTCTCCTCTGAAACCACTGGGCCAAATTTAACCAAACTTGGCCACAATCATCATTAGGGTATCTAGTTTAAAAAATGACCCGGCCAACCAACCAAGATGGCCGCCATGGCTAAAAATAGAACATAGGGGTAAAATGTAGATTTTGGCCTATATCTCTGAAACCAAAGCATTTAGAGTAAATCTGATTATCAGGTCAAGATCTATCTGCCCTGAAATTTTCAGACAAATCTGACAACCTGTTGTTGGGTTGCTGGCTTGCTGCCCCTGAATTGGTAATTTTAAGGAAATTTTGCAGTTTTTGGTTATTATCTTGAATATTATTATAGATAGAGATAAACTGTAAACAACAATAATGTTCAGCAAAGTAAGATCTACAAATAAGTTGTCATGACCAAAATTGTCAGTCGACCCCTTTAGGAGTTATTGCCCTTAATAGTCAATTTTTAACAATTTTTTGTAAATTTTTGTAATCTTTTACAAAAATCTTCTTTTCTGAAACTGCTGAGACAAATTTAACCATACTTGGCCATAATCATTATAAGGGTATCTAGTTTAAAAAATTTGTCTGATGACTCTACCTTCTAACCATCATGGCCGACTTGGTTAAAAATAGAACATAGGGGTAAAATGCAGTTTTTGGTTTATATCTCTGAAACTAAAGCATTTAGAGCAAATCTGACAGGTGGCAAAAATGTTCATCAGATATAGATTCATCTGCCCTGAAATTTTCAGAAGAATCCGACAACCCGTTGTTGGGTTGCTGCCCCTGAGTTAGTAATTTTACAAAAATTTTGCATTTTTTTGTTATTATCTTAGATATCATTATAATATCTAATATCTAATACTATTAATTATGATTTTAACCTTATTTTACATGATTTCCAAAGCATCAGTAAATACAGGTGAGCGACACAGGCTCTTGAGAGCCTCTAGTTTTTAATGTTTTAGCTCAGAAACTGAAAGTACCTTATACAAATAGGGTAATCTCGTTAAAACATCATATCCATGGATAGACAACATCAGCAACTCTGAATCAATTATATGATGGTAATATTATTACAGTAGTATAAGTGTTTACCTTTAAATGAGAATTTCTGCTAATAATTAATTTAGATTTGTATAATTGATCAATTAGATTTTTAAATTGTGTACTTGTAGAATCATGCCTTTATACTCTGTAGGTTGGGTCTGGCTACAGCAAGAAAGAGCTGTCAGAATTTAACAATAAGCTAGTTGACCATTGGAAAATATTTGATAAAAAGAATCCTCCAACTAATATAATTTTGGCTTCTGGATTTAAAGAAAAGCCTGATGCATGGATAGAACCTTCTAAGTCTTGTATAGTTCAGGTACATTACATTTATTAGGAAGTTTACCTCAGAAAATCTGTTACGGTTTTGGTATATTCCACATCAGTGATTACAGAAAGGTTAAGCTCTTTAATTATTTGAACCAAGTTTCTTAAAGAGAAACAACTTTGCCATAAATAGGTTTTTAGGATTATTGTGTATTTTATACATGAAAGCAGGAAAATTGTAGAAAAGAGAGTACATTGGGTGTCTCAATGTCTATGGTCTAATGTTATATAGTCCTGTTTTCCTTACATAAATGACAACAGCAATGTAAGATCTATCGCTTGATGAATGATTATTTCCTTGTATACATTGTGAAAGGTATTTCATGTATATCCATCCATATCACTTTCCCTCTATATTTCTACATTTTTTATGTTAAAAAAATCAGAGGCAGCAGAAAAATTAATGATTTAAAAATTCTACATGGGCTTAGATAAATACAGTACAATTGGCACTTTGCCATGTTACCTTTTTGCATCAATTATCTATTTGTCTCCTTTTATAAGTCAGGGCCGGGCATTGGTGGCCAAGTGGTCTAAGTAGTTCAATTACTGTATTGCTAGCCTGTCAACACTAAGGTTGTAAGTTTGAACACCGCAAGTAGTAGGTGTCACTGTGCATTTGACTCCAATCTTAATTCACTTGGATTGTCAGTTTTCCTACCGAAGGTACAGTAGGTGGATTTCGTGACTCCCATGATATAGCCAATAGTGCTGAAAGTGGTGTTAAACACCAATAATCAATCAATCAACCTATTATAAGTCCTTTCAAAACTCTTAAGAGAATATTTTCTTAGGACGGTTTATCATTCTTTAATATTTAAAAATATTGTTTTTCATTGTCAAGTAGTTTTCCTATGTGAAATATTTCAATGTCAAAGTAGTTTTCCCAAATGAAATATCAGCCAAATATAACAGGAAGGTTCCAGGTAAGTCTTTTTATGCTGATTTCCCAAAGAATTTTCCCCAAGGAATAATAAGTTATAAACCAATATGGACCCATTAAATGTAGACAATTATTTTTAAGTAGTCAAAAACAAAATATGACATGAAGTTTTTGGGTTATTTTATTACCAAGTATTGTTACTTAAATACCAAATTTCTCCATTAAGAAAGGAGGAGGGGTAGCTTAGTTCACCTCAGATTCTATGGAAACTTCTTGTAAAATCCTCTAATTATTACTTAATTCATTGAAAAAATATGTTTTCAAGCAGTAGAGATTATCCAGGGATACAATACTATGAATGAATTTGTTCTATATAGTTTTCATACAAGACTAAAATGACAATCATACATAATATAGGGCTATGACCAAATTTCAGATAAAGGCAGCAGAAATTATTGACAGTGAAAGATTTAAGACAGGTTGTACCTTAAGATTTCCACGAGTTGAGAAGTTCCGAGACGATAAACACTGGCGTGAATGTATGACAGTCACTGATATCATAGAATTGAAAGAGGTGAGAAGAATTATAACTGTTATATTTGATACTTGCATCAAACTTAATATTTGTAACACAAAAAAAAAAGTGTTCCATGCATCCATCTTTATATCTATATTTAGCCATATTTTTGTTAGGAAAAAATACAGCATAAAATTTTGATAGATTAACCATTGAAACTTTTATTATTCATCTTTGAATTATAATCATCACATTTATAAGTGTCTACAGTGTAGTAATACATGATTAAATAATTTATTTTTACTTTGCTGCATAATTCTTACAAAAGTGATTGATGTGACAATTTCAGCTTTTCTCTTACTGACCATCTTAATCATAGGAAAATATTCAGGTTTAAAAAATTTAAAGCATAATTATTATGCAGAAAGTGTTTCATTTTCAGAAATCTGGAGGCAAATTAGCTGGTGGACGTGTAGAAATTAATGAAGAAGCTGAACCAGCCAAGAAAAAACGTAAGGTTGTAAGCAGGGTAGTACGTCCCACATTAGCTGATCGATTTAAAGGTGTTGATGCATCGTCTATCACAAAGGTATGGTCAGACTGGTTATTATTTGCATATACAATGAATAAAGTAGTATTGTCAATGATGGATCCAAGATTCTGAAAAGAAGGAGGGGAGCACTTTTTATATTATTGACATTTAAATTTTTAATGGTCCTGTGGCAAGTGGCAAATCACAAATTGGAGTCCTTAATTTAATAGATCATACTGTATTGTGTGAGTATTTTTTTAGCTCATCTGTTAAGTATGTCTTGTCTAATATATATCCACACCATGTCCATTTTCCTTAAATATACAGCCAAGGCTCAGTGTTGAAGGCCATACTTTGACCGATAATTGTTTACTTTTTACACATTGCGACTTGGATGGAAAGTTGTCTCATTGGCACTCATTCCACATCTTCTTATTTCTATGTACAAGTATTCATGATGAATACATACTTTTCTATATTTTGTAATTGTTAAAGTACATAGAATTAATTGCATGGTTTACCTATTTTATGGGATCTTTTGTCTATTATTTTAACGTTTTTTAGGTGTCAGAAATGTTAAAAGGTAAAGAATTCTGTGTTGTGAATGGATCTTCATCTTTTTCTAAATCTGACGCAGAAAAGAAGATCATAGAATATGGTGGTACTATTGTTCAAAATCCAGGTAGATGCAATACCTTTATGACTGATAGAAATTAAACACAATCCAGGTAGATGTAATACCTTTATTATTGATAGCAATTAAACAAAATTCAGGTAGATGTAATACCTGTATTGCTGAAAGAAATTAAACAAAATTCAGGTAGATGTAATACCTTTATTACTGATAGAAATTAAACAGAATCCAGGTAGATGTAATACCTTTATTATTGATAGAAATTAAACAAAATCCAGGTAGATGTAATACCTTTATTACTGATAGAAATTAAACAGAATCCAGGTAGATGTAATACCTTTATTATTGATAGAAATTAAACAAAATCCAGGTAGATGTAATACCTTTATTACTGATAGAAATTAAACAGAATCCAGGTAGATGTAATACCTTTATTACCAATTGAAATTAAACAAAATCCAGGTAGATGTCATACCTTTATTATTGATAGAAATTAAACAAAATCCAGGTAGATGTAATACCTTTTTTGCTGAAAGAAATTAAACAAAATCCAGGTAGATGTAATACCTTTATTACCGATAGAAATTAAACAAAATCCAGGTAAATGTAAAACTTTATAATCGTTTTCATAAAAGTGCGGACAAGACCATTTCTTGGCATGATCAGGTCTCCCATTGACAGGGTTAGATTAGGTGAACGTTCGTCTGTAACACCCACTTATCACGTCGTATTTATTATAGACATTTAAACTGGGGTCACCAAAGGTTCTCAATGCCTTAATCAAATAATTCGAAAAACTAGTACAGGAATAACCTTTTAGTTTTGATTAATATTGAATACTTAAACATTCTTTACTTGCCCTTTTGTTATGTTGTGATAAACAATTTATATGATATCGCATATTCTTGTGTAAAATTTTATTTTAGAACGAATGCATTATCAACTTTTGATAGTTGTGCAATTACAAAACATAGACAAAATATACTTTCGTACGGTCTTTTTCGTACTTGCAAGAGATTGGACAATAAAAAGCTATTTGGACCAAGCCTTATGAAATTTGCATTTACTTTACTAAATAGGTAAAATGTAAAGTTTGGTGTATATTGGAAACTGTAACTTTTCTGCTAACTACCATACTTGTGAAAAACCCTTGGTAGCAGAATGATTATGCACCGACTATTTTTCCTTTCTGAGTGTGTGTGTGTGTTTTTTTTTGGGGGAGGGGGGATTGTTTTTTTTTTCTCATACACATACATGAACATTACTTTTTAATCTCAGTGTCATATTTTTTTCGTCCCTAATATGAATGTAAATCAATTCATTTTTTTAAAAAAACGGTCCAACTTACACACACACACAATAATTGACGGCAGTTTATATATCAACTTCGTCCTTTTTAAGATCGCAATGAAAATGTGCATATAATATATGTATCATATTTTTTCTCTTAAGGTATTTTGTGAATTAATCCCATCGACTTAATGTTTTTACAATGAAAATCGAAATGTGTAAATGTATTTTTCGATTATTTAATGATATTAGCTCTGAACATTTATCATTCTCTAAAATGAAACTATTGTGTGTGCGAATATTTCAAAAAATTCCTTTAAAGTTTTGTGAAAAGAGTTTCATTTTATGTATCAAAATGTATAACAAGTGATTATTTAAATCCCCACTGGAAGGCCTCTGACAGACTGAGTGAGCGTAAAATCATTGTTACCGATAGCCGATGACAAACAAGTTAAAGGTAAATGATTCGGTATTATTAACAACAAAAGTACTACAGTGGTCCACATTGTTACGGGAATACAACTATTACTGATAAAAATTAAACAAAATCCAGGTGGATGTAAAACCTTTATTGCAGATAGAAATTAAACAAAATCCAGGTAGATGTAATACCTTTATTTCAGATAGAAATTAAACAAAATCCAGGTAGATGTAATACCTTTATTACCGATAGAAATTAAACAAAATCCAGGTAGATGTAATATCTTTATTTCCAATAGAAATTAAACAAAATCCAGGTAGATGTAATATCTTTATTTCCAATAGAAATTAAACAAAATCCAGGTAGATGTAATACCTTTATTACTGATAGAAATTAAACAAAATCCAGGTAGATGTAATATCTGTATTTTCGATAGAAATTAAACAAAATCCAGGTAGATGTAATACCTTTATTACCGATAGAAATTAAACAAAATCCAGGTAGATGTAATACCTTTATTACTGATAGAAATTAAACAAAATCCAGGTAGATGTAATACCTTTATTATTGATAGAAATAAAACAAAATCCAAGTAGATGTAATACCATTATTACCAATAGAAATTAAACAAATTCTAGGTAGATGTAATACCTTTATTACCAATAGAAATTAAACAAAATCCAGGTAGATGTTATACATTTATTACCGATAGAAATTAAACAGAATCCAGGTAGATGTAATACCTTTATTACTGATAGAAATTAAACAAAATCCAGGTAGATGTAATACCTTTATTACCGATAGAAATTAAACAAAATCCAGGTACAAGTAATACCTTTATTATTGATAGAAATTAAACAAAATCCAGGTAGATGTAATACCTTTATTACTACCTTTATTATTGATAGAAATTAAACAAAATCCAGGTAGATGTAATACCTTTATTACTGATAGAAATTAAACAAATTCCAGGTAGATGTAATACCTTTATAACTGATAGAAATTAAACAAATTCCAGGTAGATGTAATACCTTTATCATTGATAGAAATTAAACAAAATCCAGGTAGATGTAATACCTTTATTACTGATAGAAATTAAACAAAATCCAGGTAGATGTCATACCTTTATTACCAATAGAAATTAAACAAAATCAAGGTACAAGTAATACCTTTATTACTGATAGAAATTAAACAAATTCCAGGTAGATGTAATACCTTTATCATTGATAGAAATTAAACAAAATCCAGGTAGATGTAATACCTTTATTACTGATAGAAATTAAACAGAATCCAGGTGGATGTAATACCTTTATTACTGATAGAAATTAAACAAAATAATCCAGATCTTTACAATAATCAACCAATAATCAACCAATAACATAATTTTTTTCTTCTTTTATGACTTAGTATCTCAGTTTCATTTGATTTTTATAATTTTGAATATTTTCCTTAGATTAAGATTGTTAGCTGATAAATAGCTTTTTCAGTGTCTGCAAAAAGGTAAGCAAATATTATATGTAATGATAAAAAAACAAGATTAAAAATTATCATGAGATTTTTGAGATTAATTACTTTCTTTTTACAGGTTCATCCACATTTTGTGTTTTAGCAGAAAAGGTTGCTTTAAGAGTAACCAATCTAATTAAACGTGATATGTATGACATTGTAAAGCTTGAATGGTTTCACAGATGTATTGAAGGTAGCACATGGGTTCCATGGTAAGTGTTATAGGTACAACCCTTAATACAGTCAATAAACTAATTAGTAATAAATTTATTACTATTTACTGATAACATAGAATTGAAAGAAGTGAGAAGATGTTTTTATTATGGTGATATCTTATATTATATACCATTATATGTCCTATGAGAATCATTAAGAAAAATCAAGTTTTGTATCTATATAAATGGTCCCATTTCAATATCTTGTAATTGGTTGAAGCGTGTAATTTCTTACAAAGAATTGATGTGTTCTTTTTTGTGTGTGACATATATATATATACAGTTAGACCTGTTTTCATTTAAGAAGTAATGCTAACTAGGCATCTAAGATAATGAGACCTCCAAGAGCGTAAATTGTCGAAAAGTAAATATCTTTGTATTTATAATTTATAATGCTAAATCCATCCATGAATGAGTGAAGCGAGAGGGGGTCTGGTGGCCTTTCCCTGAAATTTCTCAATGTGTACGTTTTTTTTTCGTAAGGATTAGACCAAATAAGCTATATCATTTTATTTTACATACAGGTATATTGAAGATGTTCTTTTCTGATTGGGTTCCAGTAATAGTCATTTTTAGACATATAAGCCCCAATTTGACTACAGCGGTTATCTCAATACCTGAGTCTATTACAAATGGGATGATTTCAATTTTGAAATTATGAATTTTCCACACCTTAGTAGAAGTTTACCAACTTCATCTGCATATGGATTATGCAGTTCTCAACTCATACGATATTCAGGAACTTGCACCTGCTACTCAGAATTTGTAAAATATCATCAGTGTCTGAGAAAATAAATTAAGCAGCTAGGCTTTAGTGAAAGAACGTCTCGTTCCTTTTTCTCAAAAAGTTCATCAGAAAGTACCAAGACAGAATAGATAAATATTCTTTCTTCACAAATAATAAAAGATTGTCTATTTATAGATTCTAGGTGCTGACTCTGTGTAGGATTTTATCTACTTTACAGTTTTACGTTTATTTGTCTTTGTACTGTTATGTTCCACTTGGTCGTATAAATCTTGACATGGTTTGGTATATGTGCATCAAGCTTTCATGTTTTTGGCTTTTATGCTATTGGGTCCAGAGATGCGATTTGGACACATGAGGTTTTCATTTTGTATACCCTTGTATTTATATTTTACTTATTTTTTATTTTATCGGGAAAGAATAAAAAATAGGCAGAACCACATTATTAACCTACATACAAGTGTGCTCTTGTGAATATTCATCTGAAAGCTTTCAAAATGATATTGATCATACTGAGCAGCACTGACAGACAAGTGTAAATCAGGGTTGCCACGCTTTTCCAAGAAAACAGGAAAAAGCAAGGAATTTTATTTGAGGTACTCTTTGCCAAAAAATAAAAAAAAACTGGGGAAAATCCTTGAAAGTTAAAATCTGGAAGTTTAAAAACAAATTGAATTACCTCCAATGTGCTCGTTGATTCGTCCCTCGAAAATTTGTACCCCTATGTTAAACAGGTACTCATGAGCTCATTATGTGGGACAATATGAATGGGGCAACTTGAAAAGTGAATCCTGATCTCCATTACGCTTGATGCAAATGGTCTTGAAATGTTTTGCAATGTTATTATCAAGCTCAATTTCAACGTCGATGCAAGAAGAGCTATCCTTGAAAACTACTGATAATCCTGAAAAAACTCTGTAAAAACCCTTGAATTTCATGTCTGAAAAAAGTGGCAACCCTGGTAAATGTATAATCTCCTTCCAAGTTTTGAAAAAAAGTGGTAACCCTGGTAAATGTACAATCTCCTTCCAAGTTTTTAGACAAGGCATTAATATAGTTTTCTAAATATTAAGAACAATACTGTATTTCAGGTCACCAGGAGATATGATTCACACGTCACCAAAAACACAAAAGTCCTTCCAAGTAGATTATGATCAGTTTGGAGACAGTTTTACAGAGGATACTACAGCAGAACAACTCAAGAATGTATTTGAAAGAGTGAACCAGGTTATAAATCAATATACATAAGAACTGTATTCAGTAGAATTATCATTTTTGTCTTGAGTCTATACAGATTAAGGAGAAATAGTTCTTAGCTGTATTGAAAGATTAACGTCCAGTTGTTACCATATTTTGTTTATGATGACAAAATTACAAAACTTAGTCACAGGACTTAAAATTTGCAAATAAAGCATTGCATAATCACTATAACAAAGCAAATACTTTGTTCTTTTTTAGCTCGCCTAGCTGAAAGGCCAAGTGAGCTTTTTTGATCACTTGGCGTCCGTCGTCCTTCGTCGTCATCGTTAACTTGAACAAAAATCTTCTTCTCTGAAACTACTGGGCCAAATTTTACCAAACTTGGCCACAATCATTATTGGGATATCTAGTTAAAAAAATGTGTCCAATGACCCTGCCTGCCAACCAAGATGGCCGACATGGCTAAAAATAAAACAATAGGGTAACTGCAAGTTGTGTCTATTATCTTGAAAACCGCAATGAATAGAGAAAATCTGACAGGGACAGATTGTTCAGAATGTTGAGATCTACCTGCATTTATTTACTTCAAAATTGTCAGATGACTATTTATAGGAGTTATTACCCTTAAATGTCAAATTTTACCAATTTTTTTAATTTTTATACGACCGCAAAAAAATTTTTGTGGTCGTATATTGGTATGACGTTGGCGTCGTCGTCGTCGTCGTCCGAAGACACATTAGTTTTCGCACTCTAACTTTAGTTTAAGTGAATGGATCTCAATGAAATTTTACCATAAGGTTCAATACCACAAAAGGAAGGTTGGGATTGATTTTGGGGGTTATGGTACTAACAGTTAAGAAATTAGGGGCCAAAAGGGGCCAAAAATAAGCATTTTTGTAACTTCCAGACATAACTTGTGTGTAAGTGTATGGATCTCTCTAACATTGTACCACAAGGTTCCATATCACAAAGGGAATGCTGGGATTGATTTTGGGGGTAATTGCCTCCAAATTTTAGGAATTAGGGGCCAAAAAGGGGCAAAAAACAAGCATTTTTCTAGTTTCATGACAATAACTTGTTTGTAAGTGTATGGATCTTTATGAAATTGTACTACAAGGTTCCTTATCACAAAGGGAATACTGGGATTGATTTTTGGGGTAATTTCCTCCAAATTTTAGGAATTAGGGGCCAAAAAGGGGAAAAAAACAAGCATTTTTCTAGTTTCATGACAATAACTTGTTTGTAAGTGTATGGATCTTTATGAAATTTTACTACAAGGTTCCATATCACAAAGGGAAGGCTGGGATTGATTTTGGGGGTTTTTCCTCAAAATTTTAGTAATTAGGGGCCATAAAAGGGCAAAAAAAACATGCATTTTTCTAGTTTCAGGACAATAACTTGTGTGTAAGTGTATGGATCTTTATGAAATTGTACTGCAAGGTTCCATATCATAAAGGGAAAGCTGGAATTGAGTTTCGGGGTAATTGCCCTAAACGTTTAGGAATTTGGGGCCAAAAAGGGGCCAAAAAACAAGCATTTTTCTAGTTTCCAGACAATAACTTGTGTTCAAGTGTATGAATTTCTCTGAAATTGTACTGCAAGGTACCATACCACAAAGGGAAAGCTGGGATTGAGTTTGGGGGTGATGAATCATAAGGGGGTTCAAAAAATTGGGGGGGGGGATTTTTTTTTTCCTTTTTTTTCTTTAACATTTTCCATTTTAAATTGGTTATTTCTGATTTATATATAAAAGCAAATAATAATGATATGGTTTGAATAGGCATACATGTGAACCTCCCGACGGGAGTACAATAATCCCGTTTTCAGGGGTCTCCTCCCGACCTCCCGTTGAAGAGGAAAAAATCCCGTGTATGAAATTTTTCATGAATGAAAAATTTCTGCCCAACATATCATCTCAGGCATCTGGTGTAACTGACATTACCTGAAGTTATATTTTACCTCTAAATCAATTAACATGCATAATTATATGGCTTCACTTGTCAGCTTGGGTGTCAAACATACTGGTAATCAACGATTTTTACCTCAGGCTAACTGCCGTTGTGTAACAAAAACTGTGTATTTATTGGGTTACTTCCCTTGATTTATCCTGTTTTAAGTTACTTTCCTTTTAATAATGAAAATTTTTAAAAGAATATAAATAAAATATAAATTGAACAAATAATCATAAAAGGATGGTTATTAAATGATTTTAAATGTCTTAGGACAAATAAAAAAATAATAATTTGAAAATTATTTGAGGATTCTATACATTTTGTACTTCCTTTCAAGGCTTAAATTGAAATTTATATAATAACTAATGACCCTAATTTTACAGTTAGAATGAATTTCTGAGTTTGCAAATAAAAACTATTTGCAAGAGAAAAAAAAAAAAAATAAAAACTATTTGCAGATAGCTAAACAAATGTTCTGGTTGCAATGATTGTTTTATAGAATATGAAGTAAAAAATTTAAAGAACATACTGAAAAAAAACAATGTTAGATTGAACATGTAGAATATAAAGATGGAGAAACTTTATAAGTACAAGGGTACTATAAACATAATAAATTGGATGGAAAGTTGAAGAAAACACACTTTAAAAGACCATTTTTACAGCACACGGTTACATTTACAACAAAATTAATGTCGATTAAAAACCTCCTGATCTGAGTCCTAATCTCCTGACCAAAATTTCCAAATCTCCTGATCTGAGTTTCACAGTCCATCACATGTATGAATAGGTAAATTGAAAATTTTTAAGTTCTTAGACCACTTTCATTCTGTGATAGAAACCTATGCTGTGTCAAATATTTAATTACAATCCAAATTCAGTGCTGTATCAAGCTTGAATGTTGTGTCCATACTTGCCCCAACTGTTCAGGGTTCGACCTCTGCGGTCGTATCAAGCTGCACCCCAGCGGAGCATTTTATTGCTTATTAGTAGGAAAATTATAATAGATAGAGAGAAACTTCATTTAGTAAAAATGATCAGCAAGACAAGCTCTACAAGAAAGTCAAACATGGCTGAAATCATCATCTGTTCTGCCAACTTTAACAAAATTAATAGAGAGACATGTATCTAAACATCTGTATGATTATTTGACTAAGTTTCAAATTTTACACCCTTCCCAGTCTGGTTTTAGACCTAACCATTCGTGTCAAACTGACCTCATCAATATCATTGATAAATTGCTACAAGAAATAAATAATGGAAATATCAATTTGGCACTTCTCCTGGATTTTTAAAAAGCTTTTGATGTTGTTGATCATGAAATTGTATGTAAAAAACTTCAAATTTATGGCTTTCATGATAATAATGTTGATTTTTTAAAATTATATTTGAAAGAAAGAACACAGCAAGTCCATATAAGTAATTAATATTCTGACATAAAAATTATAAATGTTGGTGTTCCACAGGGCTCAATCCTTGGTCCCATTTTGTTTGTTTTATACATAAATGACCTTCCATTATATATCAAAAACTGCCATACAGACTTGTATGCTGATGACACAACTATGCATACATCAGGAAAGAGTATTGCTGATATGCAATTAAAAGTACAAGATGATCTCCAATGTGTTGAAAAATGGTGTCATGAAAATAACATGTTCAAAAATTCGGATATAACGAAATGTATGGTTATAGGTACTAGACAAAGGCTGTGTTTCCATTATGTACAACCAGTTCTAACTATTAAGAATAATATTCTTCAAAAATCATCAGTTGAAAAACTTTTAGGTGTTAGAATTGACCGATCTGTCATGGACAGGCCATGTTAATTTCTTATGTTCATCAATATCATCTAGACTTCATTTACTCTCTAAGATCAAAAAATTTTTAAATATTGATTCAAGAAAATTATTTTATAATGGTTATATTCTCCCACTGATAGATTATTGTTGTATTATTTGGAGTGGTTGTGCTAAAAATGAGCTAGTAAGAATAATGAAAAGAAAAGAAAGAAAAGGGCAGCAAGACAAATTTTAGATGCTGATCCACTTTCAGCATTAGCACCTCTGTTTAAAGACCAAACAGCCTATTGTTTATGCGCATCAACTAATGCAACTTGGTTGTGACATAAAAGCTCTATGACGTTGTTTCTAGCCATGAAAAAAACGTCAAATTATAACGTCCTATTTCGCGTTTTTCACGCCTCCATTCTAATAAAAATAATAAAATATAAATTTTGCACTCGGCTTTTTGCATTTGCGCCGATCTGCATTTCACTTTTTTTCTTTCACTTGCGCCGATTTTGTCTTTCATTTGCGCTGATTGTGTACAGGTAAATTATAGGTGAAAGTTAATTTTTTTATTTATCATGTAAACCTCTTCCGTTAGCCAGTTGTACATATGTCATGAATTGTCAATTATAACAGATGTATATAACTGTTGTTCCCTGCCCACAAAGGGGAGGTAGAAGTAGAATTTCGAGCAGGATAAGTCAATTTAAAAGATATTTGTGCACTCTGTTTACATCCATTAAAACGACGGAGTAAAATTCTATTTGCAGCATTTTAAAGCACCACAATAAAATCCATAAAAACGTAATACAATGAATCATTATCTGTTCTTGCCGAGTATTTATACGCTACACATCTGATATATTCCTTTCTTGTCATTTCATCTTTTCTATACTTTTTGTACTTGTCAACAACGAAGTCCATCTTTTCTTTCTAGTGTCAAAACGAAGTTCTCGAACAATATGACCAAAATTATCTTAAACATAAGGAAACACTGTTTATATCCATATATTACAATGTACCAATATACATTCTAGGTTTACTACCTGTATATGTATTTATTCGAATAGCAAATATTATATATAATAATATCAGGGCTAGTGATAAAAAAATAAAATAGGCACTAATGAAAGAATCAAATCGGCGCAAATTAAAGATCGAAATTTTTTTTAAATTGGCGCAAATCCCATTCGCCCGTGTAACTTTAATGACTTACTCTTAGAATTTGAATTTATGTGATTTTCAAAATCGAGTTTTCAGAAGGAAATTTCTCACTTTCAAAAAACTACAATGACCGGAAAGATTGAAAACAAATTTCGATTTTCAATGCCGGCAATCTATACATACAACCTTGTCTTTGTTTTAATTTCCAAAATGAGCAATATAGATTCATAATATTTCATCCTGTTTTGGGAAATACTTTATAGTTTTCAACGGAAAATTATTTCTTAGATTCTAAATTAATTTATGAATTAAAAACTTATTTGTATTTTATATTTAATGTCTCGTTTATTCATAACACGTGAGGTAGTAATAACGGGGATCGTATTTTATGATAGGTTAAATGGATGTAAAACGTTTTAGAATCAGAAACTTTAATTCATATATTATACCTATAACTTTAATTTCCTTATATTTTGAAAAATTCAGAAGTAATGAATCCACAAACTAGATGGAATAATTTGTAAACGCTCGTCTTAGTCGGGACATATAATGGTTATAAAGAAGTCCGTCCGTGCTTATGTCTGTGTGTCTGTCAACAGTGGCGTAGGAGTGCGCTAGGACAAACTTCTGAAATTGACGCAACAAAAAAACCCACACATCTTGTCTAATATAGTCAAATAGTCTGTAAGTTAGGCAGTGTCATCTTTTATTTCTCTTTTTATTTTCAATGATTTTGCTAATGAAAGGGAGAGGACAAAAACAGACTTTTCTTTCTAAAGCGCGTAACAGGTTATTTCGAAAACAATTTTTCATTCCGATGGATGGTGTTTCTGAAGGTTAATTTTGTGCGGCAACAACATGTAATCTCTTGTATTACCGGATAATAATGTAGGTGAATATAGTTGTTATTCTTAAAAATTTAAATGTGGGTTTCAAACGTCCAATTTGCGATTTTTGTCAAATAGTGTGCCAGCAAGGAAAACTTGTTTTATGACGTCAGATTCAATGTTCTGAAAAAAGACAACTCTTTTCTTCAAAACGAACGAAAAAAAAACATGAAATTTACTCATAACTTTTTTGAAAGGTCGGTGACATATACTTTTTTTTGCTTTATTTTGAAGAGCACACATGGCACTTTCCTTCTTGAAATTTTTATAAAGAAATCACTGGTAGATATTTTTTAATACTGGAAACGTTTTTCATTCTTACGTTTTATTTTTGGCGGGAATGAAATAAATCATATTTTTTAAGATCAAAACAATAAGAGTCTTAAACTCTTGAACCTGTATTTGATAGACACAAATCTACTGTTTAACGTGAAACAAGAATTATGCTTGTAGGTTTGATATAATGGGATCTTTTGAGAGTTTAAATAACAAGCAAATATCACGTTAATATTCGGGAAAACACGAAACTGAGGTTGCTATAGTGACAAAACTAAGTCGGTGACCCCCAATTTTTTTCATCATATTTTGTTCCTCAAATCATGAAATACCTTCACATAAAATTTTAAGGAAAAATCACTGGTAGAACTGAATAGGCTGTTTGGTCTTTAAACAGCTTGGGTGGATGACAGTAGAAAACAGAATCTCATACCATAAATCTGTTGTGATGCATAAATGCATTAAGAATGAAGCCCCTGTATATTTAACTGAAAAATTTATGGAAATGCCAGAATACGTCTTCCAAAAAATTGCAAGTTCCAAAAGCCAAAACAGAGCTGTATAAGAAATCTTTTATTTATTCAGGATCTATTTTATGGAATAACTTACCAATATCCCTGAAAGAATCGACCTCAAGTACAAGCTCATTCAAAAAAGATTTAAAAAATTACTTGTTGGAACATTTAGAAGCTGTGTAATTTTATATGCATACTGGTAATAATTTTTCACACACTAACCTAAACTTTAAATATTGTTGAGGTAATTTGAATGATGCCAATACTATATGAATTCATCATTTTTACCGGTTTTGAAAATTGCATATTTCATAACAATTTCTTATATGATTTTTCTTATGTGTGTGTTTGTTTCATTATTTTGTAATTTTCTGTTTGTTATATTTCAATGTATTTTATGAGGGCCTCAGGAAAGATTAGTTTTATGGCTAACTGTGTAACCCTCTTTAAAAAAAGAATTATTATTATTATTATTATTATTATTATTATTATGAATCCTTATTGGAGTTATTTCACTTTAATGATGATTTTTAACAAATTATTACATTTTTGCCTAATATCTTACAAAAATCTTCTTCTCTGAATCTACTGGGCCAAATTTTACCAAACTTGGCCACAATCATTATTGGGGTTTACCTTTTAAAAAAACGTGTCTGATGACCCCGCCTGCCAACCAAGAAGGCAGAAAAAGAAGAGTAGACTGCAAGTTTTGTCTATTACCTTGGAAATCGCTATGTATAGAGAAAATTTAACACGGTGAGAAATGTTGAGATCTACCTGCTGTGCATTTATGTCAAAACTGTCAGACGACTTCTTATAGGAGTTATTGCCCTTAAATGTTAAATTTTATCAATTTTTTTTTCGTTTTTGTCTATTATTTTGAAAATTATAATAGTTTTAAAGAAACTTCTATTAGGAAAATGATAAGCAATACAAGATCTGCAAATAAGTTAAATGTGGCTGAAATCATCAGATGACTCCTTATTGAAGTTATTGCTCTTTAATGACGATTTTTACCAATTTTTGGGGTTTTTGTTAGTATCATAAATAAACTGTAATAGATAGATAGAAACTTTAAAATGAAAAACAATCAGCAGGACAAGATCTACAAATAAGTCAACATGATAAAAATTATCAGTCAACTCCTTATTGAAGTTATTGCCCTTTCATGATGATTTTTACAACAAAGTAGCCATTGTTGAAGATGCAGGTGAGCGACACCTGCTCTTTTCAGCCTCTAGTTTAAAGAAACAATAGAAAAAACATTATTCTTTTGTCTGAGCTTTTGTCTAAATGTGTACTGCATTTAGAATTTTGCAGGAGAAATCAGAAACTTTCTACAAGCTAAAACAGGTTTTCTGAAAAATTTATGGCAATTTTTTAATAATTTGAGAGATTTCATTATTTAAGAGTAGGGTTACATTTACTTTTTGTCTATTAAAATTCAAACTGAACAATGCAAATTGTATTTGTCTTCCTTTTATGTTTTACTCAAATATATTAGTATGAGTAAGATGTAAGAACATGCATGTTTCACTTCATAATAACTATACATGTTTGTAGGATGATATAGATGAAGTCAATGAAACTGATATTGCAGAACTAGAACAGAAATATTTTCCTGATGAGTCTCCATATGGACTGTTCAGAACTTGCAGGTTTGTAAATATTATTCAGGTTATGTAAACATGGATAATAAACTTCTTTTAACCTGCATCACCAATGGTGAAAGCAGGTCTAATAACTGGTTGACTCTGTCTGTCATTCCATCATTCTGTTTGTCCATCCTAAAGACCTTGGGATAAAAACTTTTGTCAAAGTTTTCTTGGCTTCTATGAAAGGGAATGGTCCGGAGCAATTATACACCATGATGCAGGGTCAGACCCAGTATTGGTATTGTTTCAATAGCTGTAAACAGTTGAAACACACAGATTAATCAAGCACATTCAGACTGATCTTCAATACAGTGTAATCTTAGAGTAAACTGAAATGATATTCATTGAAAAAAATAACACATTTTGAAACAGCTGCCAGCAGTTTGCACATCAAAATTTATCTAGCAGTATGATTACATTTACAATTATAACACATTTTTCAGATTTTATATTGATAAATATTTGGTGATTGATGATACCACAACTCACATTAAGGATTCCAGTTTAGATCTTTTAGAATTAGAACTACGTTTCTTTGGAGGGATAACAACAGATGAACTAGATGATGAAGTGTCACATGTGTTGGTAGATAAGAAGTAGGTGTAGATACTCATTCTTTTTAAGCAGGAATAAATATTAAGGTTAATTAATCTGTTGAAACAAATTTAGTGTCTAAGGAGTCAGAAAAAAATAAGTAGATGAATTAGATTAAATTGATATTAATTCATAGATATTTTTTGGTCTGTGAAAACTTGACAAGAATTTAATGGCAGCATAGAATGTTTGGCTTATGAAAATATTTAGCAGAAAAGTGCAATTGCTCCCTTGATTCCCTGCCAACCTTAGTTGCACTGCCTATTCATGCATTTATTGATGAACAAAAATACAAATTAACACATATCATTTGCATCAAATTTCATATCATATCATGAAATGAAGACAACTGCCAAATTTTCCTTAATTTTAAGTGCTATAAAATGTTCATGCCCCCGTGCGGCAGAGGAGGCTTTAAGTGTTACCCCTGTCCATCGGTATGTGATAAGATGAGATTCCATTCTCCAACTAAGTTTGCCTCAACCAAATGTGAATCTTGTACACAATGCTTATTACCACAAAACACACATCAAGTTCGAATTTGGGTTGCGTCACATTTACTGTTCTTGAGTTATGTCCCTTTATAACATTATATGCAAGTGGAGGCATCATCTGTATCCCATGAACACATTCTCCATTTATTTGCTTTAAGGGAATGTTTTAGTAAAATTAGATTACTGTAATATTCAGTTTGATTATCTCCCCCTGAATATGATAAATTTTGTGCAATTATCTCCCCTAGCTTAATCACATACTGATCATATTCATATACATTTCTTCTAAAATAAAGATGTTGTTTGAAAATAAAAATAAAACATGATGCTGACAAATTAAACGAGCAACAAATAAATGTGATAGTTCCAATAAATACTTGGTGTAATAGAGTTAGTCCATTTCAAATACAAGCGTTGACAATGAAATTTGTTTTATTAGCAATTTCTCAAAAACCCCTGCAGGTGTTAACATTTAGCTAAGAAATAATAAAAATGCATACAAATTTGAGAAAATTATTTTTGTGATTTTATGTTTTCAGAGATTTGTCAAGAGTACCAGAGATGAAAAGAGAAAGGCGCAATAGAAGAACAAAATTTCATATTGTAACACAAGAATGGATAAAAGAATGTGTGGAGGAAGGAGAATTATCTTCAGAGAGACAATTTGAACCAACTTAATCAAACTACTTATATTTATTTCTACTTTTCAAATTTCTGTTAATTCTTTAGTAGGAAAATTAAGAAATGCTTTAAAAAGAGAAAATCATCAGTGCTGTCCTTTAAAGATTAAAATCTACATTAAAAATCTAAAAGTATGACATTATTTATGTGTGTAAATAATGTATCTGTTTTCTCCTCAGTTAAAAATTTGTTTACTTCTTAAGTGAATTTAAAAATGTGATGTAGCAGAAAGCATGTGAGAGGTTGATGTATTATAAACTTGGTTGTTGTTTTGTCACTTAAAACATGAAATCTATTTAAAATGTTTTAATATTTGATTTTTACCTTTATGACAACTTTTTATAAGACCGCAAATTTTTTGCGTTCATATAATGTTATCATGTTGTCTGCCTTGTCGTTGTCCCAAGACATTTGGTTTACAGACAATAACTTGAGTATAAGTGTATGGATCTCTATGAAATTGTACCACAACATTTCATACCACAACAGGAAGGTGGGGATTGATTTTGGAGGTTATTATTTTAACTGTTTAGGAATTAGGGGCAAAAAAGGGGCCAAAAACAAGCATTTTTTCTTGTTTCAGGACAATAACTTGTGTATAAGTGTATGGATATCTATGAAATTGTACCACAAGGTTCCATACCTCAAAAGACAAGTTGGGATTGATTTTGGGGGTTATGGCCCAAACCGTTTAGAATTAAGGGCCAAAAAAAACTATGATTTTCATGTTTCCGGTCAATAACTTGAGTATAATCTATGGATCTCTATGAAATTGTACCACAAGGTTCTTAACCAAAAAGAAAGGTTGGGAATGATTTTAGGGGTTATGGCCCTTACTGTTTGGGACAAAGGGGCCAAAAACATTACTTTTTTAATACTTTGTATAAATGGCTTATTTCTTGAGCAATATCAATGAGGTTTAATTCAAAGTCTTGAATTTTAAAGGTTCTTTATTATGCTGAATCTAACTGTACATTTAGATTTTGACCTCATTTTTTAATTGGTCCACATTGAGGTCCAAAGGGTCCAAAATTAAACTTAGTTTAATTTAAACAAAAATTGAATTCTTGAGGTTCTTTGATATGCTGAATCCAACTGTGTAAGTTAGATTTTTATACGACCGCAAACAAATTTTGTGGTCGTATATTGGTATGACCTTGGCGTCGGTGTCATCTGGTCGTCGTCGTAGTCGTCGTCGTCCGAAGACCCATTGGTTTTCGCACTCTAACTTTAGTTTAAGTGAATGGATCTCTATGAAATTTTACCATAAGGTTTAATACCACAAAAGGAAGGTTGGGATTGATTTTGGGGGTTATGGTACCAACAGTTAAGGAATTAGGGGCCAAAAAGGGGCCAAAAATAAGCATTTTTGTAACTTCCAGACATAACTTGTGTGTTAGTGTATGGATCTCTCTGACGTTGTACCACAAGGTTCCATATCACAAAGGGAATGCTTGGATTGATTTTGGGGGTATTTGCCTCAAAATTTTAGGAATTAGGGGCTAAAAAAGGGGCAAAAAACAAGCATTTTTCTAGTTTCAAGACAATAATTTGTGTGTAAGTCTATGGATCTTTCTGAAATTGTACTTTAAGGTTCCATATCACAAAGGGAAAACTGGAATTGAGTTTGGGGGTAATTGCCCTAAACGTTTAGGAATTAGGGGCCAAAAAGAAGCATTTTTCTAGTTTCCAGACAATAACTTGTGTTCAAGTGTATGGATCTCTATGAAATTGTGCTGCAAGGTACCATACCACAAAGGGAAGGCTGGGATTGAGTTTGGGGATGATGAATCATAAGGGGGTTCAAAAAATTTGGGGGGGGGGGGGGATTTTTTTTCATTTTTTTTTTCTTTAAAATTTTCCATTTTAAATTGGTTATTTCTGATTTATATATAAAAGCAAATAATAATGATATGGTTTGAATAGGTAAATTAAAATTTTTTAGGTTCTTAGAGCACATTCATTCTGTGTCAGAAACCTATGCTGTGTCAAATATTTAATCACAATCCAAATTCAGTGCTGTATCAAGCTTGAATGTTGTGTCCATACTTGCCCCAACTGTTCAGGTTTCGACCTCTGCGGTCATATCAAGCTGCACCCAGCAGAGCATTTTATTGATTTTGGTCCTGGTTTTCAAATTGGTCCAAAGGGTCCAAAATTAAACTTAGTTTAATTTAATGAAAATTGAATTCAAGGGGGTTTTGATATGCTGAATCTAAACATGTATTTAGATTTTTGATTTTGGGCCCAGTTTTCAAGTTGGTCGAAGTCAGGGTCCAAAAATTAAACTTTGTTTGATTTCAACAAAAATTTAATTGATCGGGTTCTTTGATATGCTGAATCCAACTGTGTGTTTAGATTTTGGATTTTTGGCCCCATTATCAAATTGGTCCACTTTGACATCCAACGGGTCCAAAATTAAAGTTTTGTTTGATTTACTCAAAAATTGAATTCTTGGGGTTCTTTGATATGCTGAATCTAACCATGTATTAATATTTTGAATATTGGACCATAAAAGGTATATGTCCCATTTAAAAATTTTATTTTCTAAGACCACATTCATTCTGTGGCAGATACCTATGCTATGTCAAATATTTAAATCACAATCCAAATTCAGAGATGCATTGCACAATTAATAGAAATTGAAAGTAGATTCATAGTTAAAAATAGATATAGCATCATCATATTCTAATCTAAGAAATTATGTATCAATATAGTTTGAAATTTATTGTTCATTGTTAGATATTTTGAAAAATAATTAGAGGTATGATTTATAGATTTTTAAAGACATAGTATTAATGATGAATTATTTTTTGGAAATTGTTTTTTTCATTTTTTTTGTAAATTTTTTGAAGAACTTCGTGATAGGTTTGATTTAGTATAAATTAGTTTTCAGAATGCTATATATATATATTTTATGAAGTGAAGCTCTTTTAAAATTAGCTAATATTGTCCATTTATAAATAAATAAATTGAATTCTTGGTGTACTTGGATATCAGGGTCCATTAATGAATAAATGAATTGAATTCTTGGTGTACTTGGATATGCTGAATCTAACCGTGTATTTAGATTTTGGATATTGGACCATAATAGGTAAAATCCAATTTCAAATTTTTCAGTTCTTTTACCACATTCTTTCTGTGACAGAAACCTATGCTGTGTCAAATATTTAAACACAATCCAAATTCAGAGCTGTATCAAGCTTGAATGTAGTGTCCCAACTGTTCAGGGTTCGACCTCTGGGGTCGTATCTAGCTGCACCCAGCAAAGCATTTTATTTAAGATATCGTTTTGATTGATATACCAGTATATAGTTTACCTTAGATTATATGGTTTACCATACCAAATAAAATTACTGTCATGAATTTATATGAATGTAAAGAATGTAGCTTTACACCAATATGCCAGCAAACAATTATAAAAAAAACTTGTACATGGCTGTAAGCTATATAGTTACCGAATAACTCACTGTTCGAGTTCAGCAACACATCTTAGAGAGTCTACTAAAATATACCAGTAAAAGGTTTCATTGGGCATTTTAAACCTTTAAATGTAGTTTTTCTGCACTAGGTAAAAATACAAATGAACTTTTTTTTTTACAATTACAATGCCTACACTATTTCATCACATGATTCATACTTAAAATTATGGCATCTCACTTGAGTTGTTGATTCCTGTCTTTCAGGGAAGGGAAGTAGTTGTGAAGTTTGTTAATGAATGCATAAAGGAGATAACTCTCATGGTTTAAAAAAAATGGGTATTACTTCCCTTTATTTCAGGATCAAAGGAAATACTTACTTAAAAGTATATTAAACAATTGTTGTTTGAGTTAAATAATTGATGAAAGATTGGTACTTGCATTTCAAATTGTTTTGTCATATGTATGTCTTTATTTTAATTGAATATTCTTAGGACACAATGCAACGATACTTTATATGCGTAAGTTACATTTGCATGATAGCCCATAATGCATTTGTAAAGGGAATTTACTATTGAAGCATTGTCTTTTTGTATTAAACCTGCGACTATTATACAAACGGGATTAGAATATATTATGTCCCAGATTAAACCAACTGTCTTATCTGAATGTTTTTTAAGCAGTTAGTATATTTCATTATTAATAACTACAGGTACTATTATTCAAAGTGATGGAGATATGAAGTAAATTGACAACTATAGAGGATTGAACAAAATGACAAAAATAATTAAAATATTCCAACAATTATGACAGAAAACCATTATACATGGCAAAATTTGCAGAGATCAATGATTGATCTGACTAAATTATCCAGTTGTTTAATAAATGAGAAAATCATTATCATGTCTGTTTTTGATATTCTGATGTTGTAAATTTGTATGTTTTGTCATTTTGTGTATATTTTATTATTTGAAGATGTTATGACTGAGAGATGATGGAAGGAGTGAGAAAATTTTCAAGGACATGTTGTATGTAAGAAAAATATGAGTAGATTAGAGTACATTATTATATTTTATTATATTTTTAATATGGCAGCTGTTTGTTAGAAAATAAATATTTTTACTTATAATCATTTTTGTTTCTTGTTTGTTCATAGAAGACATCTGATTTACTTCTCAGTTTCATGTGGCATAAAGTATTTCAGTCTTGGAATATGTTCAGAGAAAATCGAGATAAAGTGATGAACTTTTCCATATAATAGTTAGATAGTTATCAGTGTTTATTAAAATACATGCATATAAACAGATATTGAAGTTAGATGTTTTTAAAGAATGCACTAGAAATGATGAAAAAAGGGAGACAACTTTTAACCAATAGCAGTTTATTTCCCCTCTAATTGTCCATAGAATTACATTTTAGAAGATAAAAGGGCTGGACAAATATAATTTTGTGATTGTTCATAGACAAATTTGTGTTGAAATTATTTGTTATTGAATAATGCTATAATTCTTTCATCTCATTGTTTTTTCAACAAGATATTCTGTTAAATTTGTTAAAACTGTGCCATATGGTGTGGCCACATATCCATCATTGACAACTATATATGACATTTAGATGGCTATTGTGGTAACCTTGTGTTTTAGAATTGCTGTCTTATTTGTATTTAAGCTGTAATAATTTACATAAAAAAGTAACTCTTTCTTGTTTGTTCTGTATGGAATGGATATTTTATGGAAACAGACAAAGTTGAGGTTAGACTTGATAGTGTTACTTCAAATTTCTTGCATCTTTGATATACTCTTATTAAGCCCCAAACAAACAAAGTTTGGAAGGGTATATAGGAATCACCTTGTTTGTCTGACTGTCTGCTTGTCCCTCCATCCCATCTCCTGCACAACTTTTGTACCATTGAACTTAGGTTAAACAAACTTGGTATGCAGTTGCGTCATAGGCTGGGGTGTGTCATATACCAGTCAGGTCACTCTGACCTTGATTTTGACCCTTTGATAGTAAAACCTTGTCTGATTTGTGTCCTGCTCATAACTTTTGTACTATTGAACTTAGGTTTACCAAACTTAGTATACAGTTGCATCATGGCCTGGGGATGTGTCATATACCAAAGTCAGGTCACTCTGACCTTGACTTTGACCCTATGATAGTTAAACCTTGTCTTGTGTCCTGCTCATAACTTTTATACCGTTGAACTTAGTTTAATCAAACTTGGTATGCAGTTGCATCAAGGGCTGGGGTAAGTAATATACCAAAGTCAGGTCACTATGACCTTGACCCTATGATAGTAAAATCTTGCTTGATTTGTGTTCCGTTCATAACTTTTGTACCGTTGAACTTAGGTTTACCAAACTTGGTATGCAGTTGCATCATGGGATCGGGATGTGTCATATACCAAAATCAGGTCACTCAATGACCTTGACTTTGACCTTTGATCCTATGATAGTAAAACATTGTCTGATTTGTATTCCATGCATAACTTTTGTACCGTAGCACTTAGACTGACAAAACTTAGTATGCAGAAACATCATGGGCTGGGGATGTGTCAAATACCCAAATCAGGTCACTCTGACCTTGCCCCTATGATAGTTATTTGTGCTCCAGCCATTACTGTTCTCTGGAGAACTTAGGTTAACCAAACTAAGTCAAACTTAGTTTGCAGATGCATTATGGGAAGGTGATTTCATTAAGATATGGGAATTTTGGCTTTGACCTTTGACCCTTCAAAAGTTGATTGACCTTTAACATTGATATCAAACATTACATTTGGAATGATCATCAAGAGATTCACATTATTAAATGGATGCATTAATTTTTGAGTTTATAGTAAACAAACCTCAGACTATGTTCCTGAGTCAGTATTGTTCTGCGAGATTGAAATATCAGTAACAATGTGTCAACCTTACACAGAGGCAATGATGATATGAAATGGATAGCTGAAAGCCAAAAATCTAAATACTGAATTTCACAACAGCAATTAAAATGTATGTATGTGGGGTATTAGTCTTACTGGTTTGTTGAGCTTCCAATGTCAAACTGATTAAAATGGGAGGGTTGAGATCTAAAAACACTAATTAAACCCCAACACATTTTTTGCCTGTTCAAGTCAGGAACCTTCTTTGTTAAATCATAGTGTATGGTATTTATGGCAGATCTTTGAATGTGAGATTAAGAGTTTGACAAATAGCGTAGAAACCTGTCTATTGTTGAAGAACCAGATGTCTTTTAGTTTTTGTATATTTCTTTGACAAATTAAATATGATTAAATACATGTTTGTAATCTAAAATGAAAACTTAAAGTTATGCTAAAATGAATACAAGCTGAAATGATATGTCAATGCATCATGTATTGTTACATTGGACCTCATAAACTGTTACTCGTGTGTCAACACTAGTTCATCTAGGAGAGACTTGCAAACTTGAAGAGGAATAGGAGTTATCTGCAGGTGAACAAAAAATTCCAATAATATATGGTACTTAAAGTGTAAGTGTTGGATACAATTGTAAGGTGGTAAAAAATATTCATACAACCTTACCAATGAAACTTGTTGAATTGAGAAACAACGAGTTTGTAGTGTAAATTATTTTATTCAAGAATTTATAACATAAAGTACATCAATAAGAAAATAAAGTGTTAATTATTCAATTTTTAATAACTGCATATGATATTATTGCAGGGTTTTAACATATAAATGCCATTTTCCCCTGTATTAGTTTTCTATGTATAATCTGAGCCTTACTAACATTCACAGTGTCATAACTACATGTGTGTGTGGAAATTGAAATTTTACTAGCCCTAACAGACAGGTTGAAATCTCGCACTTTGGACAACCTGCCAATTGACATTATTTTATTATCAATTGTTGTTTACCATGTTAAAATTGACAAAATTTTTTATGAATAAAGAATTCCAAAGCTACAGTGTGTGGCCATAAATATTCTTCACTTACAATATTTCACCATATATTTCATATAAAACTACTTTATCTAAAAAATATCATTGAGGGGTCATTCCTGGTTGGATTTCAACCAACTTGGTACCAATAGAAGCAAAATTATCACAGATTTATTTGTTTATTTGGTTGTACTTTAAGTTGTGGAGCTTTATCATTTTCTGATGATATAAACACAAGCATTATTTTTTATTAAAAATTTTCTATATATTTCAACCAAATTGATTTGTACAAAAATATTATACGTGTTCACATCATGAGAAAACAAAAACAACTGAAGAATAAAACCCCATAACTTGGAAATGTAAAATCTAAAATTTATAAAAAACGAAAGGGAGCTCACGTCAATAGATATTAACAATTCACCAAAGTTTCATGCAATTTGGTTAAAGCGTTTTTGAGTTAATGTCCGACATGTTGACGACGGACGGACGGACAGACGGACAGTCAGACGGACATCGGTATGCCATAATACATCCCGTAAACGGGCGTATAAAAACTACAATCAAATAAACAAATATAATTTAGACAATTCTGCATCTTTCAACACCTGGTTTGTAAAAATCCAAAAACAAATGGTTTCAAGACATATTTTTTTAAAATGTGTTTTTATATGAAATATATAGCAAAAAATGTAGGTGAGAAATACTTTTGGCCAGGCACAGTACCTGACATGTTTCAACTTATTTATGTATTAGTGATTTGAATTTTGAATAGGAGAATTTTTCATTCTAAAAATTGAGCTGCAAAAATTAAGCTGAAATAACATTGAAATTTCTATGCCAATTCTCCATAAAAACATCTTTATAGGGAGATCTCCCACTTTTGTTTGAAAAACTTGACACCTAGGACACTCTTTAGATGTTAACAAATCATCAATCTGACGGACATCAATATTGATATATTTGAATTTGCCTAAATTATAATCTAGACAATTACATGACTATTATATATCAAATGGCATGCAGACATTGAAAAATAACCCAGTTAAATGGGGAGTATTTACATAAAAAGGTACAGTAAAAAACACCAATATCACAGTTCATTTCATACCATGAATAAACTTTATAAAATAAATAATAATAATTTTCATAACATAAAAAATAATGGTCAATAAACCTGAGCATTATATAACATTCAATATGTCTATAAAAACTGGATCATAAATTAATTTTTTTTTATTAAGCATACTATAAACAATTAGAATAAATCCTATGCCCTTTCTCCATGACTTATAATATAAAAAAATAAAAGAACAGAGTTCCAATGTCCCCCGTGTTGCAAATATTTTATCTATCCAAGGCTCAAAGGCAATAACTAAAAAAAAACCTCTTTATTTTTGTCCTTTAAACTGTTGATAAATATCTTAGAGAAATGAATGCTTCAGAGCAAAGCACAGATTTTCCAACTCGTCCAAGTCACCGGTGATATAAACCTACAATATAAGTTTCATAAAAATCTGGGAAGAATGGTACGAATGAGAGTGCTAATGATGCAATTTTCCATATAATAATGTTTCCAATGGGCATAACTCTTTTAAAATAATTGATCGGCACTGATTTTCCAACTCGTCCAAGACATTGCTGATATAACCCTACAATATAAGTTTCATAAAAATCTGGCAAGAATTGTACACATGAGAGTGCTAACGATGCAATTTTCCATATAATTATGTTTCCAGTGGGCATAACTCTTTTAAAATAATTGATCAGCACAGATTTTGGAACTCGTCCAAGACATTGCTGATATAAACCTACAATATAAGTTTCATAAAAATCTGGCAAGAATTGTACACATGAGATTGCTAACGATGCAATTTTCCATATCATAATGTTTCAAAGGGACATAACTCTTTTTAAGATAATTGATCGGCACTGATTTTCGAAACGCGTTGCACGGGGGACAATATGATATTAAGAACAAACAAAAATCACCGCCCCTTGCAAAGTCAATGCTTTGGTAAGGGAAAACAAAAAAATAATTGCTATCAAACACAAAATAAGAGCTGCACTTTGGAAATATATATTGAATATTCTGAGGTAATTTCATCAAATTCTGACCAGGCATTTTGGGGATTGAAATATGAATGTGCACATGATCTGCAGAAGGAAACCCAGAAAATTCTCCAGATAAAAACAATTTTGAACGTGCTCAATAGTATTATATTGTTAAGATTGTGAGGTTGTTTCAATAAATTGTAAAAAGGGGTTTAGGAGTTGTGGATACAAAATGGCTACACCCTAAATAAAGCAATGGCAAAGTCCTGCTTTGGTAAGGAAAACCCAAAAATGGTTCAAGTCAAAAATCAAAATAGGAGATGCACAAAAGCATTATATGGTTAACATTGTAAGAAATTGTCAATAAATTGTAATCTAAAAAAATAAACCCCAAAAATCATTCATTTAAAAGAAACTGTTGACACAGACATATGTCTTGCCTGACGGCATACAAATCAGAAAAAGACAATCTGCTGGACAACAACATTGCTAATTAATTAAAAGTCCCTGGACCATGAACTAGTGGACAGGGCCTTGAAATGGTCATCAAACTGATTTAAGCAGAAAACTTAAGAATTGTTGGCGGTTGATGACAACGACATTGCCGGAAAAGAAATACCTATGTGTCGACTTCCACCAGTCACAGCCGAGAGAAAAATGAAATAAGAGGTGCAAAAGTACATTATGTGATTAAGGTTCTGTGAAAGTTTCACATTATTCTGTCTAGCAGTTCAGGAGCAGTTTTGGATACTAAATCACAGAAGGATGAAAGAATGAATGGAATAGCCAATGGATAGTATGAACGGACACCCCCATCACTATTTAAAGTCGCTTTAGAAAGCAGGGGTATAAGAAGTTTGTACACAAAGAACCTGAGTTTATTGTAGTTGATAGGATTATGAACATGGATTAGCCACTAGTGGGAAGAGGGTAAATAAGTTTGTTATTTGTATCCCTCTAGAACCCCCAAATGCAAAAGAAAAAATACATACAGGGCCTAATTAAAAATAAATGAATTTGGCAAGAGTTCCCCTAACCTTACCCTACCTAGCTGGTGATGAGATAGGTTGTAATTGCCCAGTTATACTGCTTTAAATCAACAAGTTTATGTTATTTGCAACCCTTTTGAATGTAAAAAAAGATGCATAATCGCTTCTTTTTTAGCCCATTTAAAAAGATGACTAGACCTACCAAAAACTTGAATCAAGTCATGTAAAGAAGTTCTTGTAAGACTGGTGATTGCTTTGCAGGGCTGCTTTTTCTATTGTTTAAAACCTACTGTAAAAGAACTTTTTAAACATGACTTGATTTTTGTTTTTTGTTATGTAGTCTGTATTGCTATGGCATATTTGCCTTAATGTTAACAGTGGGTATCCAAAGATAGTGCTTGAAAACAAATATGTTTCACAACATGTTATTTGAATCATGAGTCCCAACATTCAATAACACCTCTTTTGGAAGTCCAATCATCAAAATTGGGTAACGGTTTTCCATACCCTGCTGGTCTTTATCAACTATGACCTCTTAAATGCAACTGTTCCCTTTAAGAATCAGATTCAGAAAAAGAATTGGGTAGGGATTAAATCTCAATATATCCTGAAACTAAGGTCAGTTAGATTGGTACCCTTATAATATTTGTGGACTTGTCGCATCACAAAATAAATGGGGAATGTGTCCATGGGACACAGATGATGCCCCGCTTGCATATCATATAAAGTTATAAAGGGACATAACTGAAGAACGGTTAAAGTGAGACCACCAAAATTCAAACTTGATCTGTTTTTTGTGGTAATAAGCATTGTGTATAAGTTTCATAACATTTGGTTGAGGCAAACTAAAGTTAGAGAATGGAAACCAACTTTTGGACATATGTACGTACATACGGACGGATGGACAAAGGTAAAACTTAATGCCCCCTCCACTACGGGGGGGGGGGGCATAAAATACAGATCCATATCTGCTAGGAAGCTAGACACGAGTGCCTTCAGAAAACAACCAACTTTCAGTAGGAAAACTGACAATCCTAGTCAATTAAGATTGAGCCGAACACACCTGCCACGAGCAGGATTCGAACTCACAACCTCATTGTTGACAGGCTAGTGATACAGTAGATGGCATTTTCATGAAATTGACAGACTCCATCAGTTATCATAAGGTAAAATAAAAAAGTCAAATCAAACTCAAATATAAAAGGTGACTACCCATACATTATCATATATCATTTACAGCTCACCATCTACAAGGACCGCAACAACATTGGACCAAAAAAAAAGACCAACCAAAATAAAAGTCATGTCTGATCTGTGGAGGAGAACTTGTTTCACATTCTATACCAAATACCTGCTGAAGGACAAGATACAGTAAGGGGCTTATTTGTCCCTGTAAATTCACCAAAAATAAAACATTGTCTGATGTCACCACTAATCATATTTTTCAAGCATCAAGAGAAAGGCTTTTCAAGCCTTGATGACACTATTTGACTGTGATGTCGTTAAAGTGACATCAGAAACCAGATTTGTCAGAATTTAATTAAAAATTAGCTTTATATTAGGACATTTCGGCTAAATTTACATAGAGCACAAGCTTCTCCCAAAATATTTTTGCCAGTGAATAGATGAACACAATATATATTTATTCTCTATGGTTGTGCTCTATATTATTTCTGAGTATGCACAAGTCAAATAATCAAGATTTTACATAATTTCACCGATTCACTGAATTTAAACTCATTTCATGGCTGTATACCTCATAAAAAGATCTTTAACTAAAACTGTTGTTTTACTAAAAGACATACTTCACAGATGCAGATCCAGGATTTTGAAAAAGAGGGGGCCCCCAAACTAGACATGGTAAGTAGAACATATAAAAATCCAATGCATCAACCATATACATGTAGCTCCATAAAGGACCCCACTATTTCCACCCCTAATTCAGATGCAAGGTAGATTAGACAGCCTAGACAGATGCCAAGTGATGGCAATTACTCACTTAGTAATTATTCTCATTTACTATACTATTTGTTAACTTTCTTATTTTGCTCAGTACTAGTACTGTTAATGACTCTTTCTTCAATGTTGTTCTCCATACTTTGATCATTCAATTCATTCATTTCTTGCATGTCTCCTGAAGCATCAGGATCTTTTACACCAGGTAAAATTCCAACTTTCACAGAAAAGTCTCTTCCTTTGTTCCTATCAACTGTAAGAGATCTATTTAAATGATCTTTATCATGGTCAGGCAGTGGAATTTTTAACCTCTCTATTCTAGCTCTGGTTTTTCTTGCTGTGACATAATTGTCAACCTTGACCTTCAAATCATGCAGAATACCTCGTGGATCCACCTCTGGTAATGGCGGACATTTACACTCATGCCGTACATGGGTGTACTGTAAATAAAAATGTTTCAAATATCTTTAAATTCAGTATTATGAAAAATGTTTACCTTTTTTCCAGAAATGAGATAAGAAAATGTAACAGATGTCAAATTTTTCCCTTCTATGAATTGGAAGGATCTTCCCATGAGAACAAATGCTTACCCCGGTAAAGCCTTTTTTGAAGTACATTTACAAAAACAAATAATCAAGTGCACAAGGATAACGCTAGCTTCATGTAGTATTAACCTAGCTGAAGACGATCTAGGCAGTGAACTACAATGAGCTCCAAAGCAAGCTAAAATTATCTATTTTAGAAAAAATTAGATGTGGTATGATTGCAAGTGTGACAACAATCAACCTGAGTCCTAATGATGTGGATGTAAGCAACTATAGGTCACCATACCTTAAGTTAACTTTAGTTGCTGTGTTGCTTTCTCATTTGTGTATAACCACCATCTCATTTTATACATACTGATCACTTAAATACTTCAAACATATACCCGGTATCATAAAAATATAAATAAAAACATACATATGCACACTACGGTAATCTATCTGGTATTTGTCTGATATTGCAATTTTCCAGCATTTTTTTATTTAATAAAATTTAAAAAAAAAAATTAATTCTGCACTACACTTAGCCTTAAATGAACCTATCAAAATATTGTATACCTTATGAATGAGACAATCAAATAATTCTGCTCTTTTAAAAGATGATGGGTGAGTACTCAACCATTCTGGTTTAGATCTGCCTTCAAGCTGCTCAGCAAAGCTCATCATTGTCCAGAATACAGTTCCACATCTGATGTCATAACATGCCTGTAAATAGTTTATCACATGTGTCATAAAATTGTTTCAAGCTTTTCTTGTTGAGTCAAACATAGATGAACCTTTTTGACACTTCAGAGGTAATTGCATCTATGTACAAGTTTTGGCTTTCTAAAAAGCTTTGGAGTGCTTTGCTTACCATACTTTCAAGTAAAATAGGGTCTATGTGGTTGTTTGAGTATGAGAAAGGTGTTATTTATCTCCTTTGAGCATATACTCATAAGTGTGGTATTATAAGCTCGTTTTAGATTGGACTTATTATGGTATACTGTAGTTATCCACGAACACTTCCTACAATAACTCAAATTTGCTTTAACCTTTAACAGAATATCAGGATTGATTGAAGGAAGCTTCCTTTTTGATTGTAAAACTCTTTTTGGCATCATTCCAGAGATACAATTTAATTTTGAAAATCTATGATTCTGTTATTCCACAGTTTTGGGAATTTGACAGTCAGATTAATAAAAGGAAATATTCTACATGGCATGCACTAGATCTGGTATGCTTGGATCAATTAAATACATTTTACACTTTTGTTGGTATTGGCGAATCTAGACTCACTTGTAAATTTTACGGTTAGTCGTTTCAGAGTTATAGGACTTATGACATTCATTTTTACGCTATATTTATTTTCACATATGGATATCTTCATGCATGTTTTCCTACACAGTCATTTTACTAACTTGTTATAAGATGTTTCCTAAATATTTCAGATCATTCTCACGACAATTCTAATGCACAATTTGGGGCTTTCATGTGCTGTTTGTGTAGCTATCTTTTTTTATATATATCATTTGATTTTATAACATGGAATACATGCATTCTGACAATATTCTTGAATATAATTGGCAGTATTATGTATTTCAAGTGTTGGTGTATATGCACATATAGTCAGATGATCACTTAGAAACTTGTTCATCTTTGCCCCTTCTCTTATTTATCAATATGAATTTGACTGACATTATATAAGCAAGCTCAACCAGTAAAGACAAAATATTCATAATTAATCGTGCGGTCTGGTATCGGGTATCAGATCGGATTTTGAATACCCATATTGTAATTTTGTCCGTATTTAATATCGTCTCCTATTCAGGACATGTTCCCAATTCTATATCTCATTCTAGCCAATAGAATCTTTCCCACATCATAAGGGAACCAATGAAAACCAATATTTGTTACGTAATAATTTCAAGATGGCATGAATATCGTATGAAACTAATAGCTTCGCACCGTGATGCGAAGCAAAATATGGGAAAAAAGTACATAATGAGAACATTTTAAGTGGTATTTCCTAAAGTCCATTACTAGCAAAAGTGATCTCTGGTAAGTGTATTTCTAATTGTCTTTTACAGTTATTTTTATTCATATCCTTGCTTAGGGAACAAAGGTTGTTCAGAGATGGAAAATTTATTTCTTTGTCTGCTTTGGATCCATGTATTAACTTCTAAATTATGTAGAATAAGTTCTGTTCAATACCATAGAAAATTTTTGCCAGTCTTTGCCAACTAAATGGGTCAGTTTTATATAATGCTGCAGTGGAGTATATACATTTTATTTGTAAGCTTTGATCATAGAACATACAGTTGAATCATGTTAAATAAATCACAGTGATAATAAAACTGAAAGTGATCCTACTAATGTCTGGTCAGAAATAAAAGCCGAATAGATAAAATTTTAAAATACTTAAATGTATAAAAGTGTCAATGTAATGCAACTATATGACTAACAGACAAAATTTTGATTGTACAATGGTCTTACAAATGTGAATACTGTTTTCCATGAAAGAAATAAATCAAGAATTTTGGCAACTAATACTTTGATTTATTCATTATTATTTGTAGAGATTTCTCCATAAGGCACAAACTACTTAAGCCTTCTGTTTATTCATAGTCAAAATACACTAACCTGGTGCACTTTAGTCGTTGTAAACATAAATATCAATTGAATTATAACATGTTGTTATTTTGGTGTGTGTGTTTCTTTCTTCTATTCTTTTTATTATTGCGAACCCAATGAAAGTTTTCCACAGTGCCATCTCTATCTTGACCAGGTATTTAAACTTTTGTAAGTTCACCTGTCCTATTGAATGAATACAATAGCTATTTTTCTCTGTGTAGTTTATTCACTGGGACCTTTAAATTTCTTCTAAGAGAAATCTATCACTCATTGATTAATTTACCTGATTAAAAAAAAATCTTGTAAATAGAGGAAAATAGATATAGGAAGATGTGGTATGAATGCCAATGAGACAACTCTCCATCCAAGTTTTATACTCAAAACTGCATGTGATGTTATATTTATTCAATATTGATAATATATTTTCAATCGGTTGAATGTAAACAGTGATGCAAAGTTGAAACATTAATAAAATATAAAAAAGAAGATGTGGTATGATTGCCAATGAGACAACTCTCCACAAGAGACCAAATGACACAGAAATTAACAACTATAGGTCACCGTACAGCCTTCAACAATGAGCAAAGCACATACCGCACAGTCAGCTATAAAAGGCCCCGAAATGACAATGTAAAACAATTCAAACGAGAAAACTAACGGCCTAATTTATGTACAAAAAATGAATGAAAAACAAATATGTAACACATAAACAAACGACAACCACTGAATTACAGGCTCCTGACTTGGGACAGGCACATACATACAGAATGTGGCGGGGTTAATAGATATAAGAAGATGTGGTATGAGTGCCAATGAGACAACTCCCCATCCAAGTAAAAATATAAACATGTGAAAGCTCTCTCACAGGCAAACAACCCATAATTAAAAAATATAAGGGCATACACCACAAGCACGGGGACACATTCTACTGCATCCACACAGCACGAGCAACAAACCCTGCAGTAAATAGATATAAGAAGATGTGCCAATGAGACAACTCTCCATCCAAGTAAAGATATAAACATGTGAAAGCTCTCTCACAGGCATAAACATGTTAGCGTTGATTTATGTTATATTAATAATATATTAATAATATATTTTCATTCAGTTTAATATAAACATTGATTCAATCATAAAAAGTTGATTTCTGACAAAACTTTCAACATTGTTCCTTTTAAAAAAAAATTTGTTTGACATGAATAAAAACTTGAAAATTATGAATGTTCAAATCAAGATCTTCTTAAATGTATTCTATAACTAGACAAAAAAAAATCAAATTTCTCAATACGAACATTGATAAAACTTTTGTTTGAAATCAACTTTTTATGATTGAATCAATGTTTATGTTAAACTGAATGAAAATATATTATTAATATTGAATAAATGCATCATCACACGCAGTTAATGAGTATAAAAAAAGTATTTTTGTCTATATATAAGAATTTTTTTTTACTCAGGTTAATTAATCAATGAGTGATAGATTTCTCTTAGAAGAAATTTAAAGGTCCCAGTGAATAAACTACACAGAGAAAAATAGCTATTGTATTCATTCAATAGGACAGGTGAACTTACAAAAGTTTAAATACCTGGTCAAGATAGAGATGGCACTGTGGAAAACTTTCATTGGGTTCCCAATAATTGTTTATTGTTTAAATTGCATTGCATATATTATTGTTTAAAATGATATTGTTTGTGTGTTATATGCCCTCCTGGGGACCTAATTTGGTGAATAAAAATATTCTATTCTATTTTATTCTAATCTATTCTATGGATGGTAAATTATGACTTACTTTTGCTGCCAGTTCCAACCCAACTTTATCTGCTTCACTCTCCAGGAATCTACTGTAAGGCAAATCTAACAGAACCTAAATAAATTATATGTAACAGTAAAGAATGATCTAGCCTACAAAATTACCACAATGTATGAACGAGCAACTAATATTTCTACTATCGGTAATAGAATTGAAAAAGTACCTCTCTATTAAAAATAATGGAGGGCAGTTATATATCTAATGTGATGTATAGCAGACAAATATTTCACTATAAATAATAATGAAACATGTATATGAAAGCTTTATTAAAAATTTAAAATAACCATGTTCGTTTTTTATTAACAAGTCTTTGAATTACTTGAGACTTTGTCTTTTTTTAATTATATTAGATAGTTTACATTGCAGTTTTGCCCATATTTTAAGAAATTAATGGTACATAGTAACTGTAATACATCAATCTCTTACATTGACAACTTTGTTCAGGAACCAGTGAAAAACAATAGCTATCCCATCATTTGGCATTAAGGCCCATAAAGCTGTCATGGTAGATATCACAAGGTAATCAACTAACTGTAGCCTGCTTAAATTTTCTGCCTGCAAAAATAACAATTAATGTATCTTATTATTTTTTTGTTAGGTACAGACAGTATGATGAAGGGGTGCTCCTTTCAACCTTATCAGTTGCAGAATGGCTGTTTACCAGCATACCATGTTGTAAGCTGCTGATAGTTTAAAGTCTGTGCATTCTTGTGCATAAGATATTTTATTGGAGAAAAAAATCAAGGTAAACATGAAAATATTGACCATGTCATGTGATGTTTGTTGTTATTATACCTTGCATATATTATAAACAATTCTATTGGGTAACATGTTATCACGTGACATGGAATAATTCAGTTAATTTTCATTTAATTGCAAGGAAGGACGAATAACCCTAAAAATTTACACCAGTGGTGAATAACCCTATTATTCACCGATGAATAACCTTTTGAGTTTCTTGATTTGTACTCAAGTTATCTCCCATGAAAATGACGTCACAGACGTAAGTAAACAAAATGGCAACGTTCAAGTAAGGCCTACAGGAAGCCCATCAAGTGACGAGGAAACAAGGCTTTGGAAATGCAACTAGTGCAAAGGACATCTCTTAAAAACGGTCCTTTTCAGGGCCATCAATATTTTACAAAAAGATTCTACCTTTGTTGTACAGACGAAAAATTCTAAGACACAAATTTATTTTCGAACGTTTACTTGTGTTTGTTACGATACAGTAAGGTTAGTGATTTTTCAATATTTCAAAAGGCCGTTCCACTGTTAGTTCGGTATAATAAAACAATTGTGGCCCCTTAGAATCGATGAATATCCAAAATTGACAACCCTAAAAAATTATTTCACTAGGGTGCCAGTTTTTGATATTCACCTTATCTACGGGCCATAATTGTATATTGTTTGTGTTGGTGGTTGGAATGGTCTGTTGGATTGTCTAATATTTTTGGTGAGACCTGCAATCCTTTTTGTGTATTATGACATGCTAAAATTTAACCAAGAAACAAATACTCTGATTATGTAGAAACATTTTTAACAATTTCATGATGTTTCTTTTTAAGCATGTACAATTTTATATAAGTACAAATACATACTGTGTGTTTAAGAATAGCATGAGACATTTCATGTGCTAGTACAAAAGCTAACTGATCCACATCATGTACAAACTCCATTAGTCCTCTGTCTACAAATATGTGGCCTGTCTAAAATATTAAACATTTTACTGATATGTCAAATTATTGTAGCTAATTTTAAAGCTGTTAATTTTATGCACTGCATTTGTACTCGTGGTATTAATTATGTATAAATATACAGAAACAAGACACATCAATAAAATAATAGAGAGAGCGGAGATTAAATTTTGATTAGATTGAGTGTCAAGCTGCAGGCATTTTCCAATATGAATATTATGAGAATCGAATTATCAGAATGTTTTTGTATGGTGTTTAATACTCATAATAATTGTTTGACTTATCTAAAGCTGTCAATGCATCTAGAAGAATTTTTCAAGATAAGATAAAAAATTATGATCAAGGTCAAGTTATCTCATTGACTGACAATGCTAATTCATCAGGGGTTTTCAAGGTCGTTAAACACTCCCATAGTTATAATCCTTTTACATACCATAAGCCATGATATGAGATTTTTGTAAAGAGCTGAGCAGAGTAACATAGGCATAGAGAGTACTAATAAAGTAACATAGAATACAGGATGTTTAGAGATATATGAAGATATGAAGAAATTGCAAGTGGCCTATGCAAAGTTTACCCCACTCGTAAGTAGATATTGTTAAAAAAAAAATCCTAACTCATTTGGAATAATAAGAATCACTGTATCATAAAACAGGAATTGACCGTCTGATAGATCTGAAAATAGCTTACACAGTACAACATTACATAATAAAGGTCTAGTCCAAAAATCAAATGATTCCTTAACAAAGAATTCAGTGTTCTCCCCAGGCCATTAAAGGACCACGGGCCTGCGATGTATAATTTTTTTACTGCGGTGGTATCGTTCTTACCGCGATGTATAATTTTTCTCCGTGGTGCTCAAATTTTCAGTTAAAAAATCGTAAATCAGTAAAGTGTTAAACGACTGGTTAAATCTTTTCTTTGCGGTATAAAGTTCAAACCAGTTCAACATGGATTGTTTACACCACGTGATCGATTTACCTTTATGATGTTACCTTTGTTGATTGGATTTAATCGATGTAATTAACACTTTTTACATGATTCTTTTGTGTTTTAATTTAGAGATCATAACTTTATGATCATAGATAACTATTTTAAGGCTTCACTCACCACCTGACAAGTCGGCAAATACATTGTACACAAACCGTGTTGACCCGATAGTTGTACACAAGACGGTACATATTTTGTACATTATAAAGTTAGCTCAATACTTATATTATAGTTTTATATGTCTCTGATTAAACCATGGCAAAAATTATCTTTAATTATGACATAGTTATTGCATGATATTCCGGTTTCAAACTGTCAACAAGTAATTCAAAGGGGAAGGATCACATGACCCAGTTAGTTCATGTAGAATATTCAAGATTATTTACAATTAACTGCAATCTATTCTATTTTATAAATAAAATGCATGACTGTACCTTCCAACTTGATATCTATATCCATATGATCATTAATGAATAACAGAAGTGATCTTGCAATTTTAATCCATAAGCACATGTTAAATCTATTTATATCTACTTCCTGTCATTTAGGCGGGAAAATAAGGAGACTTTGTTGTTGACATTGTTACTTATAGATCTATAGACATAAGATAAATTTATAGATTTAGGAATTCTTTTTAAATGGATCATGACAAATAAAGATTTAGATTTCAGTGCAGTATTAAGTCTGTATCTATGTTTGATTATCACCAAAGACAAGAAAGGTTAATATTTACATGTACATGAAATCTATCGCAAAATGTTTTAAAATTTATGAAAAATATCTTTTTATTAAAATTTAAGATAGAAACTGGTTCAAATTATAACACAATTTTGTTCTTGTTAATTTTATATCTCCTTATGACAGGAATCCTTTCACGTACAACAACTTTCTTTCTTGAAACTAGAAATTTTTTTTAAATTGAACATTTTTGTTCTCTTTTGAATCTGGGAACAGTATATCTTACAATATATATGTTCCTGATTGAATGATATTTTATTCTTATTGATCATGGATAAAAGATTTAATTACTTTAAATTTAGATGAATATTATGTAATGAATCATGTTTTATTTATTTTTAAGAAATATTAAAAAGAATACAAACTGCTTATTGATCTTTTTAACCAATAATATTCTGACATAACACAGTACCACAGTATTAAAACAAAACAAGAGACATAAAAACTGCAGTAACTAGAAATATAGCGATGCCACGCGACACAACTGATTGTATGAATCATTTCACCAAGCTGTTCACACGCGTTACCCTGGTGCTATCCAAAAATCCTGGGGAGAACACTGAAAGAAGCCGAGTTATATATATATATGTACAAAAAGTTATGGATGAACAAACAGACTGATGGACAGATGGACTTACAAGGGGCTTGCAGTTTTCAACTCACTCTGTGATATAGGGTTTCATATTAAGGTTTTACTGTACTTGCAAGTATTTTAATGGCATGGATGGTAAGATTGCAGTTTGGTTGTCCATATAGGTAATACAATAGCATTTATTGCAGGATTAAGGTTTCACTATACTTACTAGTAACACAATAGCATTGACTACAGGATTGAGGTTTCACTATACTTACTGGTAACACAATAGCATTGACTGCAGGATTTAGGTTTCAGTATACTTACTGGTAATACAATAGCATTGACTGCAGGATTTAGGTTTCACTATACTTACTGGTAACACAATAGCATTGACTGCAGGATTTAGGTTTCATTATACTAACTGGTAATACAATAGCAATATTGACTGCAGGATTTAGGTTTCAGTATACTTACTGGTAACACAATAGCATTGACTGCAGGATTATCAACTATAGCCACTGTCCACTTTATGTCCTTTACCTCACTGATGTCTTGATTGGCATTAATCAGTACATTCAATGTATTCAGAACTACATCATAGTACAAGTGATTAGCCGGGAGGAACTTTTCCTTTAAATTAGCACACAGCTGCAAATAATAGAAACTCAATGAATGAGACACTTACAAAATAAAAAGTTGAATATAAATTTAACTGTCCAGCTGCAAGAAATAAATACATTACCAAAAATGTACTAGGGAGTTGTTTGTGGTAATATTTTTCAAAATTTAGGTAATTTATCAATTGTTGCAAATATAGAGATTGTTATGCTTAACTTTCCATAACATTTTGAGTGTTCAGTCAAAATTCAATAACTGGAAATAACGGTTGCCTAAAACAAATACTTTGGTCACTTAAATGCTTGTTAACATTTGCAAACTTATCCGGTTATGTAACTTTAAAAGTCTCATAATTTAAACAATATTTAACAGGTGCTCAAGGTGTTTGAAGTTGGTTTTGTAAAGTAAATAAATAATTAAACAAACCTTTTGAGCATTAAATTCCATAATTTTCTCAAACTGATAATCTGTAAAAGCAATAAACCTCTCTCGTCCTGAAACTGGTGCCACCTGGAGATGTTTCCAATGGTAAACATAGAAACAGCAGCCTAACAATGTGATTAGTAATATCAGTTCATGGCGCTTTTTCCTGGCAGAATGAAAGAAGTATCTTCTTTTTTTATCTGGAAGTGATTGCCACCATTGTCTAAAACCTCTGGAATAACATAATAAAATATAATATCTTAAAAAAAATAACAAAAGCCTTATTCATTGTTATTGATAAAGGTTCTAAAAGTGTTGTTCTATCATTTGTAAGGCATTTTTTGTGGCGATCATCAATTGGCGAGTTTATAGTTTGAAGCAAGACTAGAATATTATGATTTTTCTGCATTGTACAACATCTGCTGTCTTACTGTTTTGTTTATGAAGTTGCTGTAATAAATCTACTGTTCAGTACAGAGAGTGATATTAGCACGAAGGATGATACGATTCCACATCATCAGGTCAAAGTATTGAGCTTGCTTACAGTAACTGTGAGCATTCTTTGATAAGATATTTTCTATTTTTGTTTTATTTGTGCTTGTGTTTTTTATTTATTATTCTGTTATTATAGAGTTGAGTACTTTCCCTTTACTGATTATCATGTATTCTTTATGTAACTTTGGCCACTGAACGAGATCAAATTAAGAGGGAGGGTTGAGAGCTAAAACAAATTGTTTAACACTTCACAACTTTTAAATCTCTGTGATTTAGCGCTTGACATACATGTAATATATAGACACCTTTCTGTTGTGTGACCGCCTTGTGTAGGTCTAGTACAAAGCAAGGTTCATATTCATATGACATTAACATGTTCTTGTCCTGAATATGCATTTAACTTTCCACTGGAAAAAAAACAGCCATCCAGCCATCCTTTCAATTTTTAAAGACTGTAGGTTAAAACTCTAGGTGTCTTTTGGTTATTGTTGTTGTTGTGTTGTATACCACACAAGTCGAGAGAAAAACTCAACAACACCTGAAAGCACAAACGAAACAATAATAAATACTATTGTATGCCATAACAATTGTTGTCAAAAATCGTTTTAATTCCATTTTTAATTTGATAATTGGACATATTTTCCAACCATCATGACATGGTTCAACAGATATTGTTTCATGCTTTGATTTAGCCCCCTCACTATTCTGCAATCACTTGTTTCATGAAAAAATTACCCCCTCATCACTTCATTTCTATCAACGTGAAAAAAATCATGTAATGCTGCAGAGTAAGAGACAAAGCTCTGTGCTAAATCTAGGACTAATATAAATGTATTATAAAATATATACCAGTCAGCAGTGTAGTAGTACCAGCTTAAGTTAAGACTACCCTTACGTCAAATGGGATTACCTTTACATGTTTTTTAAAAGTGTATGGTCTTAATTAAAGCATGACATCTTACACCTGGGACCAATTAGTCCAAGCTTTCACATTTACCTTCCACTGATAATCCCTGTACCTTTCAAGACATTCCTAATAATTGGCCATACTGTTGGATCAAAATGACGTCTTGGACTAGTATGAAATTTGCTGTGTTTGTTTGGTGATTGCTGGGTATAACAGAATTTTGAGAAATTAAGCTCAAATAATAAATTTGGTCTTTTGCTGTTCAGATGAAAAATATGAATAGGTTTCCATGTCTTATGCACAATGATTCTATATTGACTATGGTAGTTAAATTTTAAGAGTGATCCTGTTTTAACTGAATGCATTGCTGTAAAATGACAATCCAAGCGATCATAATCAGCTCTTCTTCTTCTTCCTGTAAGGAACCGGATTCAAAACTGAATGTGATTGGTTCCGCGCGAAAACTTCGCAAAGTGTCGGGCAACACAGAAAGTTCAACACCAGTTCAGTTCATTTATCATGACTGTTGAATACACAAGTGATTACTAATCTCGCAATTTCTTATGTTCTTAACGGAAGAAGACACGGTCATGTTTAACTCATCATGTTTATTGTGAAATGGTTGTCAAAACGAAAGTAGAACACAAGGGAGATAATAAAATAATGATTTAAGCTAATAACCAACCAAACAGTTTATTTTTTTATAAACAGTAACGGCCAATAAAAGTAAAAACTCTTTTGATAAATACAAACAAAATATACAAGATGTTATGATAGATTGTTAACATTGTCTCAGCACCGAAAAGTTTTATGGGATATTTAGTATTCTTGTTAGGGAATGCTGGGAAAGAGTTTACACTTGAGATATTGGTGATATTTTCTACTTGCCAATCTTGGGCACTTTATATGTCTCTGCCTGAGACTAGCATGCATGTAGTCTGTTCACTTTCAAAATTAAGTATGGATTATCTGAGGGATAGTTTAGAATATAATTATTTCCTCAAGTCCTTTCCATTAATCTATGTTTCCATTTTCAATATAATCATCCCTTCAGAAATAATATGAATAAAAACCAACAACAAATCCAAACAACAACAAACCACAATGTATAAAATATCACAAGATAAGTCCAAAATCCCATTAAAAATGTCAAACACTATACATCAAAACATTCTTAAATGATATAACTGGTCTAATCATACAACATTTCCTTATTTTTATAAAACTAAGGTAGCAAAATGGTGTCCTTGAAAAACTTAATAAGGCAATTGAACTTGGAAAAAAATGTTAATTTATTTTTCTTTCCATTAGTAATTAATACAATTACTTTATCAGTTGTCAATGTGACTTTTGAAAATTAAAATGTTTATCTAGTTCACTTGCCAGCCATTGTGTGTGCATCTCTTACAATGTCAAACTCTAGAAGATACCAATAACTAGTTATTTAAAAGTAATAGTAAACAAACACTGGATCTACAATTCAGGAATGTATATGTTTACAATCATGCTATCAGACATATATTTAAAACTAGATACCCAAATGATGATTGTGTCCAAGTTTGGTTAAATTTGGCCCAGTAGTTTCAGAGGAGAAGATTTTTGTAAAAGTTAACAGACAATGGAAATTTGTCATTAAAGGGCAATAACTCCAATAAGGAGTTGTCGGACAATTTCCTCCACTTGTCTTTAATGTAAATCTTGTCTTGCTGATCATTTTTGATTATTTAATTTTCTACCTATCTATTATAATTTTTAAGATATGAGGCAAAAACACTAAAAATTGTTAAAAATCGTGATCAAAGGGCAATAACTCTAATAAGGAGTTGACTGACCATTTCGACTATGATAACTTATTTGTAAAACTTGTCTTGCTGATCATTTTTGCGATTTAAAATTTCTCTTCATCTATAGTTTTCAAGATAGTAGTAAAAAATGAAAAAAAATGGTAAAATTTGTCATTTAACAGCAATAACTCCAATAAGAAGTCGTCTGACAATTTTGACGTATATGAACAATTGGTAGAGCTCAACATTCTGATTATTTTTGCCACTGTCAGATTTTCTCTATTTATAAAGGTTTTCAAAATAATAGACAAAACTTGCATTTTACCCCTATGTTCTATGTTTAGCCATGTCGGCCATCTTGGTTGGCAGGCAGGGTCATTGGACACATTTTTTAAACTAGATACCCCAATGATGATTGTGGCCAAGTTTGGTCCAGTAGTTTCAGAGGAGAAGATTTTTGTAAAAGTTAACGACAACGGACAATGACGACGACGACAGTCGCCAAGTAATGGGCCAGGTGAGCTAAAAATGAAATAATGATCACTGTATTCATTTGAACAATGAAATCAATATAACATCATCCCTTGTCCTAAGTTGTTAATAGTCCATATCTTAATCTTTCTGTAGTGATTAAGGTTTTTCTTGTTATGGGTTGCTGTCTCATCTTAATATACCCTGCATCTGCTAATATTGATATAAACATTGTGATGTACATTGTGATGGCACTTTTTGAATTAACAATACAGACTCATCAGAAAAGTTCAAACAGTAATATATACCTCATATCACTCAGACACTGATCTATTCTCAAAAAGTTCAATTAAAAATAGATTCTTTGGCCATAATTCATAAGACACTTTAAAGTTATTTTTTTATTAATCTCTTAAAATATGTAACTTTCAAATATCACAGAATAAAAATAATCAATTCTGATTTTTTTCAAGAATTGGCTTCACATAATAAATTTCATATTACAACTGAAATGTACATTTTCTCTACATGAGAACCATTTATTATTTCATGAATGTCAGAAATGTTTGCCAAGGTCCATTCCTAGGCTATCGAACCCCTAACATCAAATCCTGTGTCTGTCCCTGATTGAGACATAAAAAAAAATGTGAGCTATTGCTCACTAATGATACTCCCACAATAAGTATTCTGTTAACAGTGTGAGTGATAGATGTTAAAACACATCACACTGTAAAGCGTGCTCATATGAAGGTTGATTCCAAATTTTGGAAAGCCTTGACTGGTAGTTCTGAGAAAAATTAGCTGAAATTTCAAATATTGGCATTATGTGGAAGAATACATAAGTATTCAGTAAATAAGAAGTTGATGAACAGTCAATCTGAAAACACCACACAAAATACCATGCTCACATGAATCTTGATACTAAATTTCAGAAAGCTCTGTTTTGTAGTTCCTGAGTAAAATGTGACAAAAATTACATACATGGTCATTATGTGAAAAAATAAGTAAGTAAATAATAAATAATTTAGTAAACAGGAAGCATTACATAGTATAGCATGCTCATTCCAAATTTCAGAAAGTCTTGGTTTGAAGATCCTGAGAAAAATGAAACAAATATTTAATGACAAGGTAAGCCGTAACCTCCGCTCCTTTGGAGTGGGTGTGTAATTATATGATAAGATACAAATATCACTGCTTCAAACCTTTTCTTGAATACAGAAAATCAAAATTCCATTTAAACCATACCCTGTTTGGTCAAATCAATGGAGTAATAGATGTAAATTAACTTCCCCCACAACTAGCCCACCAAGGCCTCTATTACTGTGGCTTGACCGTATTTGCTGTCGTTTTTACTTTGACATATGCTTTTGCTTGAAGCATAACTACATGATAGAGCCTCATATACTAATAATGCAACAGGATGATACATGTACCAAATATAAATATTTATAGAATAACTAATCGAAGAATTCAAATAGAGAAAAATATTCAACGAGTGACCGAACAACACATTAATTCACGAATGCGCGTAGCGCTTGAGTTAATTATCAGTGTTGTTCGGTCACGAGTTGAATATTTTTCGATATTTGAATTCTTTGATTAGTTATTCTTTTTATTACATTGGCAAATGGCTTTTTTTAATGAAATTAATGTAGAAAATGTAAGGAACTATATCTTTTTTCCACGCATTCCCAATTTGTTTTGATCCGAAGTTATCGACGTCTTGACAACGCCTATTGTTGTATGACGTCAGAGAGTGAAATAACCATGTTTATTTCACATGTGAAATTATCGGTTTTTATTTAACTGGGAAATCAATGTAATTCAATGCTACCAATGTAATATTCTGCTGTAAATATTTCTCTTTAAATTTGTCTAACCAGAAAACTTTTCATTTGAACAATTACAAAACGTCCATAGTCAATAAAAGATGATTGAGGGACCAAAGATTAATATTTTCTCCTCAAAACTGATGAGAATGAATGCTAATGCATCAGTATTCCATTTATCAATTTCAATTTTTATATAATCATAAACAGCTTTTTATAAACAAAAGTAATCTGAAAACTTAATATTTAATTTTTGAAGTCAATGGAGCATGACTGAGGGGACAGAGCCTAACATAATACATGTATTTATTAGGAAAGTCCATTTGCATTTCATTCTTTGTTCAGAAAATTCATTTGATTAAAAAAAGAAAGAATGAACTATGGAGTCAATTTCATTTTTCTGGGGTGATTTTGAGAAAGAGAGAGCTATGCTTTTGTATTTTTTTTTAATCTTTAAACTGTTTTGGTAATATCCTTTACCCAATTCTTTAAAAAATTGGTATTCCTTTGCTCTATATCATTTCCAAACCATTGATTCGATTATGAGTAAAATCTATAAGCAAAAACTTTATAATTTCATGTTCACATAGGTAATGCATTTTTTTAATAATGTGTTTTCAATAAATAGCTTAATTAAAAAAAAGAACAGATTCCTTTCTCAATTTCTTGTTAATTTTGTTGTATATTTCTTTTATTAAGGAAAATATATGATTAGTGAAAATTGACATTATGGCTGAAAAGTTCTTATTACTAACTTTTAAGGACAACATTTGTTTAGTCACTTTAAAAGACTAAACAATTGACAATGATACATTATTGAAATCCATCAGTAAAACACATTTCTTCACCCAGCAAAGAAAAATGATTACAGGCAGCAAATAGCAATGGGAAAGAAAAAAAAACAAAAAACAATTTTTGTTTGATAGAAGGACCTGCATGTCTAGTTAAAAATGTACTCCTGCAAATCTAATCTGTCATTGTAGAAATTTCATAAAGAATTCAATATATAGTAACCCTAATTAAAAAACACTGCATACCTTCTCAATGACAGCTCAAAAAAGCTTTCTAGATTCATATGATGAGATTTTTCATAACAATATATTATGTTTGATCTTTTTAACATGTTAAAAAAATAAAGTTACAAAATATTTTCTGCTCATCAACAATAAATATAATATGTATAAAAAATATATGTGCTTGAGTTATGAATCAGAATGAATTTTGATTATTAGATTATGTCTGAATTAGCCTGATTCCATGTACTCTGATGGATAGACATAATAGAAGGAATGAGGACTGTTCCATTTACTGCTTTGTAAATGGAATGAACTATTTGAATGCGCTTAGATTGATTCAGCCTCAGGCAGAAATGAGTTATTTCTTCAAATTGCTTGAAAAAGATAGCATGAGGCTAGTCAGAAGCAGCTGCATTCCTGGATTTATGTGTTTCACTTCATTAACATAACACTGTGGATTCATTATCATTCATTGGTTCCCAATTTTTATGGATTTTATGGGTATAGGTGAACAACTAAATTTAAAGGTTCAACTAAGTACAAATTTTTTATAGGCTTCAAGGTAGACTTTGGCAAAACCACGAAATCAAATATCTATTAATTTACAATTTTTACTCGACCCACAAATACTAGTACAATGTACCCACAGAAATGAATGAATCCACAGTATTCACCAAAATACATGAACAGGGATAAAGAACTGTACTTAACTTCAAGTTATTGAAAATAAAAAAATATCAGAAATATTTGCTTTAACATTTGAATCTAACTCAGTTATGAACCTAACAAAAAGGTTAATCATGCAAGGCCAGCAATCTATATAAATGCATTTTGAGCTGATGTATTAATATTTTACCTTTAAAGTAAATAGACATTTTTAACTGAGTACACAATTGAGAATCAATGGGCAGCAATCATGATTGTTTTGCTTGGGTTTCTTTTAAAGTTGATATTAACATTTTTATAAGTTACAAAAAAGTTCAAAGAATTTAAAATGCCTTAAATCTATAAACACCATTTAATAACACTAAAATTACTAACTTCTTCATGAATAAATAATCTCTGATTTTTGCCAGGGGAGATAAATTTTGCAAAAATGAGTTTAATTCAAAGGGGGTTTATTAGATATTTTGCAAATAAACCACATTTTTCACTCTTATGTGAAATAGCAAGAAAATGAAAATGAATAATAAATTGTATTACAATTTAATTTTATAATAGAAAACTAACTTCTAAAGTGTACAACAGTATCTTAACACTTCGTGCTAAGATTGATTGACTCTTTTTAACATTCAGCACATAATATAACACAATATCATGGTCAGAAAAAGTATAAAATATTGCAATATATAATGCAAAAAAGTTTGTAAATATTATTTGAAAATAATGCTTATTCAAAAGTAAAGAGTCAATGTACTGAGTACATTTCTTCTAAAAATTCAGTGACAGAGACACATACTATGCTGAAAATTCACTTGCTAAAATTAGTATATTAACTGTGATATATAAATATGAAAGACACTCAGCTGGACACAAAGTTATGTGTTAACAATTTAACCCTGAGATATTTCTTTCCAAAAAAACTGTCAGGACTAGAATAATAATTTTATATTTTTGTAATGCAAATTGTAAAAGAAGAGCTATTTCTAAGAGCAATATATAGCTTATATACTCCAACTCCAAATGATATTTGACTGATTTATACCTTTTTGATCCCTTTCAGGAGGATAGATTTATCAAATAATATTCTTTTGACAATTCAACCCCAAATAGCCCTACACTGCACAGCTTTATTAAACAGCAGAAAGTTGACAAGTGCTTAATTTTGACCTACCAATTATAGTATCAATTGGATCTTCCACTTGCAAAAAGGAAATTAATAAAAAAAAAAACATTAATAGTTATAACTATAAAAAAACAATCTAATAATAATAAACCTAATAAATAAGTCATCAAGCCCCTATTACTTCTTCATTTCTTCCAACTTGAATATTTTTGCCTCTACTATCCAGGTCCTGTGATATAATAACATTTGGCACAAATTTAGGAGAAGAAACAGCTTTTTCACTTTCTGCTTCAACAATCCCATCATCAGGTACTTGTTTATCATTTTTATCTGACCTGATAGGAGAAGCTGTTGACATAATGTTTTCTTTTTCAGTTGTGTCTTTGTCATTAGGAATTGTTTGATTGGTCTGTTGGTTCCTTGTTGATGGGTCGTTTGCCTGATTTGGTAAAGGTAGTGGTTTACGACTTGCAGGTGCAATCCTTAATCTTTCGATGTTTCCCCTTGATCTTTTAGAAGTAATAAGATTATCAATCTTTTCTTTAAGAGGAGGAAGTAATCTTCTTGGATCTTTTTCTGATAATGGTGGACATCTACACTGTTTTCTCATCTCTATGTACTATAGAAAAAAAAATATACATTTAAAATTATGTTGGTAATGTTTTAACATTTTATTTATGCTGGTAATAATTACAGTGGATTTATTCATTTATTTTCACCTGTTGCTAGACTGGCATCTCTATTACACTTTTGTACACAAATATTTCCTGCATTTTATGGGTCATAATTATTTTTATCATTCTTGGGCAATAACATGTTTTTAAATTCTTACCAAGCAAGGATATTCATTTCCAAAATTATCCTGTCTATCTCACAGACATACGGACAGATGGGTGGACAGACAGACATATAGCAGTATACACCTCCTTCATAACAGAGGTATAAAATAAAGTGTGAATCCCCATCTATATGTTTTAATATGATAGTTATAAAGAAAAAAACATTGTAATCTATTTTTTCATAGTGAGTGTACTTTAGGTAACTGAAAAGGCAATGCTAAATTCCTGGCTGCACAGAGATCACTTTGAAGACAGTAAACTGAGCTTCTAACTGGTTGAAATATTTGAAGATTATTTCTTATTAGTTTCGTTTATAAAATTAGAATACAACTTCATATATAAATAAACATTAAGTAAACAAATTTTTTTTTAAGAATCAGAATGTAAGGGATAACAGTGAAACTATGCACATTTTGGATTATTATACGTTCTGTTGTTTTATGTGTAAACTATTGCTTTGTTTAGCAAATTTGTCATGCTATGAATTTCAAAGAAAAAAAAACAAACCTCAGGAATAAAATGTTCAAAGAAGTCTACTCTTTTATCACTGGCTGGATGAGTTGATAACCATTCTGGACGCTTTCCATTTTCAAGTTTGTCTTTAAATTCAAATTTTCTCCAGAAAACAGTTCCAAATCTCACATCAAAACATGCCTACAGTTTATAATGTGCATCATAAAAAATCAAAGACAAAATACAGTAGCTGTACAAAAGAATCTGTAACTTTTCTTAAATTAAAACTGTACTTTATAGCAGTCATTTGAAATTTTGACTATATCATTCCAGATATCTGAAGACAACAGAATAGTATACACAAATTTGGTATGCCAAGATATATACTGTACCAGTAATTTAAGTGGTTTATTTTTTCACAATTTAAATTTCATGATTAATTTTGCTAAACCAATTCACAGGGTTTTATTTTTGTGCTTAAAAAATTGTGAAATTTGTGAAAAATAAACCCCTCACATAAATTTGCAATCTTACAGTAATCTGCAAGGATTTCTTACAAGAATTTCATGAAATATCCTTTAATCAATTAAACTGTGTGCACCAAAGAGAATTCTAATAAAACCAATTTCCCTCCAAAATTGGTTTTGGTTTAGAGAGATTTCTCAGTATTTTGTGTAGTGTACACACCTGGTGTAGCATAAATGATACATGCATGTGATCACAAATACAAAGGCATGTAAAGCGAAGAAGTTCCAAGTTTGTTGTTCTTAATCTGAGAAAAGTAGATGTCTTTCAGTTGCTTGTGCCATTGGGTTGCTGTCTCACTAATATATACCCCATATCTTCTTTTATTAACATTTTCAAAATACCAGTAACTAAAATTACAGGTATGTATTCTTTCCTCAATAGTTCGGAACAAGCATTAATAGTAATATCAAACAAGAGTTGATAAGAAGAATTCTCTTATGTTTGTGGCCTGTTCTCTATATCTGACATGAAGAGATATCACACTAAATGGAATGCGATATGAATAAGTGATACAAAAATGCCTTTATTTGATTGGCCTATCCTACTATCTGTTACAAATTTAAACATTTCCATTGGCTATTCACAGCGTCAATGATGACTTTCAAAAGCATAACAGACTTCATGGCAATGGAGATTTATGATTTCTTTACTAATACATTTATGCAAAAAACACTGACATGTTTCACCTGAAAGTATTTTTTTGGTCAAATCTGATTCGTTTTTGAAGAGTGCATTAGCTTGAAAAACTCTGATGTTAACAGTAGTCTGGGTTACGTTATTTTGATTGGCTAACAGCAATCTTGCGTCATTCTGAAATTAATCTTCATTTCAACATGAAATGTAACATTCATAATGACACGAGCTTCCACAATAAAGTGCACAGGTAAACAAAAGAAAAACTTGATAGAAATCGTGTTTTCATGATCTTAGCAAGAAAATATAATGATAAGTATTGAATGCTTCTTTTAGTAATTTTATAGGGTTGTAAAAGCGTTGACCGGGTGCATATTTTTAGGAATGAAGCGCTTCTGCTTCTGCGCTTCATATAAAATGTACTTCGGTCAACGTTTTTACACCACAATAAATTTACAAAAAGAGCATTCATTTCTTAAGTGAAGATTCTGATTGTGAAATAAAAAATATTTCACTGAATTTTCTTATTTTTACCATAAGAGAAATAGGTTGAACAACTCATGACAGTGGGATATTTCTTGTCATTGATATCAACTCAATTATCTAACTTCAATAATAATAATAAACTCACCAAAGGCTCGTTTTGAAATCATAGAACAAAATAAACTTATAACTAGCTGTTCCACTCTTATTACAATTTATTCCTTTATTGTTATGAAACACAATGTCTGCCTTAACTGCATAAGACCCAATAGAACTCCACTTGGTATATATATGTAGGACTCAAATCTATTGTGGGTTCAAAATGTATGGCAGATTCCTAATCTATGGCAAATATGACGTTACAAATCAAATCTATGGCAGTTTTTTGTTTTCTCCAAATCTATGGCAGATCTTGAAATTGCGTAATTTTCCGGGGGAAAAGAGTAACATATAGTGTCACAATTAAATAACGCCATAATTACGTCAACGTTGCCAGCGCTAACGTTGGCAGAACCGGCATAGATTTGAACACCATTTATAATTTTTTTCTTTTAATTGTATGATGTAAACCAAAAACAAATATTTAACAAGGGGCTCACAGATTTCAAATTTTTACAAACAAAAACACAGAGAAACACTCTCCCTCTAAAAACAATTTGCCGATGGTTTAAAGGAAGATGTGCTGTACTGTCCGAATCCTGCGATGAATAAAGGCATGGCTGTTTTTAGTAGTGGATATTTTAGTAGGGAATTATAATTAATATTTGAGCATCTAAGCCTGGCAAAGTATATGAAGTGAGAGATGAAATTACAGGATACCACTTTGACTTCAATCATCATTAGTTAAAAAAAAATTGATTAACGCTCAAATAAATATTTTATGAAAAATTAAACTGTTTTTTAAAATTCTTTTTATAAAAAACTGCTTTCTTGTTTGTCATGGGACTACTATTTTTATTAGTTGGTTTAATAAATAGACTAAACAGGTACCATGCACAGATAAGAAATGTTCATTTTTCCGGGGCGCATCATTTTAATCCTGAAGTCTGTATTATGGTATGGAATGTTTGTTTCAAAAATGTTTATAAACATGCTTCCGTTTTCATACATTTCCACTTGTTTAAGAAAAGGCATCGGTCGTATATGTACTGCCTTGTTTTCCATATGCACAAAATCCGCCATAGATTAGAAAATTACAAAACTTGCCATAGATTAGGATTGTAACATATCTGCCATAGATTTGGGATGGCATGACGTCATATTTGCCATAGATTAGGGATCTGCCATAGATCTGGAACACACCATTGATTTGAGTCCTACATATATATGATTCATAATATCTGCAGATACTTAGGCAATTTATACACTGTCCATAAGCAAACCAGATTTGATTAAATATGCAAATGAAATTTGTCCATCTCATTCTTAATCTATCTAATTTTAATAGTAGACAATAAATGTAGATTTTTAGACCTTGATATTATAATTTCTCATAGTAATCTTCATACCAAAAATTTTAATAGATGGGACACCTTTTCCTGTCCTATTGTGAATTTTCCTTTTCTTGATAAAGATATTCTGTTGGTTCCTTTTCAAGGAGTGTACATTTCTCAGTTGGTTCTATATGCTTGTGTTAACACTGATTTCTCTAATTTCAACGCACATACATGTAACCTAATTATTACTAAAATACTTTAAAACCAGGCATATAAACTTTTACTCACTTAATTACGAATACATAAATGTATAGAATATTTTATGTGTAAGTATGATTCAACCTGCAGAATTTATTTTTAAAAGTGGGATTTCACATCCAGTTTTTTATGGTAATTTTACTAATAAATCTAACCAGTTCAGAGTTGTCCTTAATTCTTTCTTTAAGAATAATAAACTTATTGATAAAGGTTAGAATAACACTGTTGTTTTTCAATCATTGCAATCAGTTTTTAGGGGAGATGAATATCAATTCATAAATTATGTTTGCTTTTCTGTAATGAAATTCTGTTCAAGTTTGATTGGGGATAATATGGAATTTCTCACTCTTCACCCCTTTAAATATCAAGTTCTATTACATTGATTGCAATGAAATACCGTGATTTCCCAGTGTAATAAAAACCGATAATTTCACTCCTCTGATGTCATACAAAAATGGGTGTAGTCAAGACCTTGTCGATGACGTTGCAGCAATACAATTGAGAAAGTGTAGAAAAAGATATAGTTCCTTTCATTTTTTTCTTTATTTTCATTAAAAAGTCCAAGGTCAATGTAATAAAAAGAATAACTAATTCAAGAATCCAAATATCGAAACATATTCAACTTGTGACCAAACAACACTGATAATTAACGAATGTGCTATGCACATTCGTGAATTAATGTGTTATTCTGTCACTCGTATATTTTTCTATATTTGAATTCTTGGATTAATTATTCTATAAGTATTCAGATAGTATAAGAGTTATTTTAAGTGAAGTTTTAATAGAGTATTTAGAGGGTTAAACTTAACTCCAGTAATCTGAAATAAATCACTAACAAAGTGGTGAAATAATTTATGACATACTTTAGCAGCTAGTTCTAAGCCAACTTTGTCTGCCTCTGTTTCATGTAACCTGTTATGTGGTAAGTGCAACATATACTGAAAAAGAAAGTATCACTTTTTTATTCTCTTTCATGCATACTTATCTATTATCTTCATCTTTATACCCTGTTGTACTTCAAAATAACCACTTACACAAAATGAAAAATATTACCTTAAACTGGATTACACAATTGACCTTGACATTATAAGAGGTATTTCTAATAAGCCTTTTCTATGAATATGTTGCATGACATGAAAGCACAAGAGCAGAAACACAAAAAAGCACTTACATAATTTTGGGCAACGGTTGTGATTTGTATAATTCCTGAATATGTGGAAGTCAACAGTCAAGATTTTGTTTAATTTCATAATTTTACTGAATACTGCTAAATAACCAACAAAAAAGATATACATGTATTCCATTGTCTTTAAAGTATAAACATGTACTAGATTCAACATTTAATTCTGCTAATTGGAGATATATAAAAATAATTCTTATATGATTTGCATATTAGAGAATACGTTGATATGATTGGTTGAGAGGACTTCCGGTAGTTGTTCTTGACGTTGTTTATTTTTCGATAGACGACGTTGACCGAACTTCTTTTCGTAACCAACGTAAACAAGATGGCGGCGATAATGACACAATCCGGATCGACGTTAACAAAATTTATTTTCAATTCGCGTTAACAGGTCTTAATAGTTAAATTAGATAATAAACACAAAACATTCGTTTGAATGATAATAAGAGTTTTTGTAGTTTATTTTTTATCAGATTGCAAATTTCATGGAGTACATATTTTTGCGTTAATCAACAAATATATTCATGCGCTAGGCCTATTCAATGACACAAATATACAATTTACGTGTGATAGAGGTTACGAGTGTGGAAAAATAAATTCCTTATCTCCAATTTTAAAGAATTATAAGGATTAAACGCCTTTTTAAAGGAATTTATTGGTGTATAAACTGTACCAAGTCACTCACAAACATATCATAAAAGTCCTTCGTTTAATCCTATAATAACATTTGATTTGGGACCAAACTGACTTTAAATCACACCTTCTACTTTATAGAGCAGTTATCAAAATGCATGTTTTTAATCATTCACTTACAATTTTTCAGACTGAATGGCACTTTTTCAAACTTTATTCAGTAACTGATATAAGCCCATTTATGAAATGTGAAAATTTGTTACGTACTATCATTCTATGAACTATGCTTAAAAAAAATGAAGTGAACTGATATCTCATTCCAAAATATTACTTGTGCTTGTTGATTTTAGACTTACTCAAGTACAGTTAATACTATTATTGTCATTGATAGGCCCTTTCATACATTGCTCTGCCTGGTACCTCCATTATTTTCCTATTTAAGTAACTTTGTGATAGTGTTTTATATGCATGTCCACCATACTGTAACTCTTATATACATTTACCTTAGTTACTTTGTGAACAAACCAGTTGAAAACAAAAGCAATTCCATCATATGGTATTACAGCCCACAAAGCTGCCATAATCAGTATCACAAAATAATCTACCCACTGGGCCTGACTAAGTGACTCTGCCTGCAAAATCATAATTCATTAAAGGTTAAAAACAAACTGAGGGAATTAACATGTCACAACATTAATCAAAGAAATCTTCTAAAAACTGCTTTAACAACACCCACCAAAAAAAATCAGACACCAAAATATCCCTTTTTTGAAATGTTCAATTAGGACTTTATGTGGCTATTTTGTAATTCATGAAAAATAATTCTTTTGAAATACTGTGGATTCATTAACATTGGTTGGATACACATTTACGTAGATTTTGTGGTGACAATGTATGGGTATATCATGAATTTAAATGTTCAACTATGTATACATTTCCTATGGGCTTGTATGCAGACTTTGACTAATCCAGAAAAATACAATTGACCACAATTCATGAAAGTTGGTACCTACGAAAATAAATGAGTTGTTTGACTGCTAATTGAATGTATGCCATGTATGGCATGATTTATCTTACAATTAAATTTTCATTCATTTTAACTTAAATAAAGGTTATCTATTTCAATGCACAATTTTCCTTTTTCAAATAACTGAATTAGTACATATATGGAATTGGAGTAAGTTTTTAAAGCTAAAGTAATCATTATAAGTCTAACCAATTCATGTTTTTGATTTCGACTATCTTGTCTTGATCAATTGATTAAAACCGATAAATAATTTAAATTGCAAAATTGCAAATTTAAAATGATTTTCTTCCAAAATTACATTATCATAGAATCTTCAGCCATTTATTTACTGTAAGATACACACTAATAGTGTTGGATTTATTGCAATATTAAAAGGCATTATTATCAGTATACTGATATCTGATTTGTTGCATTTATATATGAACACAAAATGTTAATATCAACTTTGTAAATATATTTTAAGGCTTCCTATATAACCATTTATATTGAAAAAAAAACTCTTATCTGGCTAGAGTTATTTCCCTTGTTCAGTGAACTTTTTTCTCAAAATATCCCTAAAAGAACTTCAGAAAAATGCAGAAATTAGTCAAGATCTATTGAAATTTCAAAAGTAAATGGTTAACTCATGGCCAAACAGCTTTTTTCTTCAATAAAACTGATTGACATCAAGTTTTATAAATGTATAAAATGTTGCATTTAACTTGAGCATAATAAATATACTTTAATGTTTAGTGTTTTAGTCCTATAGTTATATACCCGTATTCAAAACTTACTGCATGTTTGAGTATAGCATGTGCCATTTCATGTCCTAATACAATTGCTAATTCATCTTCAGTTTCCACAAATTTAATCAGTCCTGTGTAAACAAACACATCACCTGTCTAAAAGTAAAACAAGCCATGTTCAAATTTTAAAACATCTTCCTTTAAAATTTTGTTTACTAGAGAAAGCACTGAGTGGTGAAAAAGTCATACCGATTTTATTTTTTTTTGATAAAGACAAACTAGGAGAAACTGCTCCACTTCATTGAATACTGGAAATTTCTTGTCATGAAGAATAAGAAACTATATGGTTATCAGATGGAATCTTAACTCTTTTTGATATAGTTAACAATTTAAGGCTATGAGAAGGGGGTGGTACATGAACCACATGATATTGGACATGTTTCTAAATGATAGAAATGACTACACTTGACCATCAAATAAAGCTGGAAAAACTATGCATTTATTAAATTTTTCCAAGAATTTCGCTGTGTAAAATCAGAGAAGTCATATCAAAAGGGCTCCTGCTAAATGATACAAAATATAGTCTCATATAGTGCCCTAATTTAAATTTAACCATGTATGTGGAAATGTCTCAGTCAGTATATCATAATTCATGATAAGGACAAAGAATTGAAGATAATGTTACTATTACCACTTACCTGAAATGTATTTCACACCTGTGCTCACACACACTAGGACTTATGTAAAAATGTAGTTCTGTCAATTTTTTGCTCAAAAACATTTGGAATTTAATAAGTTTTTATATTATTTTGACAAACTATATCATCTACTGCTAAAATTATTTAGTTGCAAACCATTTAAACATGATAAATAACTTCAAATTAATGGATCTATTTCTGATTCTGTTAATCTGTCAGGTGAAAAGGTAAATCACAGCTGTCAACTAACCCTTGTTTGTAACTGTTTTAATGACAGGGTATTTTACTGGAGCTTGTTTTTACAGTAATTACGCTTCATGTCAGTTTTATGACTGAAATAGTTTGCCTGTATAAGGGAAAACTGTTCAACCAGAAAAAAATGCCTAGACCTTCCATTTTCGTTCTTAATCATATTTTTCAGATATGCTTAGTTTTACCCCGCCACATTCTTTATGTGCCTGTCCCAAGTCAGGAGCCTGTAGTTCAGTGATTGTCGTAGGTTCATGTCTGTTATATTTGTTTTTCGTAAATTGTTTTGTTGTAAATTAGTCTGTTAGTTTCTCAATTGAATTGTTTCATATTTTTCATGTTGGGCCTCTAATAGCCGACTATACAGTATGAGTTTTTCTCATTGTTGAAGGCAGTACGGTTGCCTATAATTGCTTACATCTACTTCATTTGAACTTTGGTGGATAGTTGTCTCATTGGCAAATCATACCACATCTCCATATTTTTATACTAGTGTCTTCTATCTGGAAATTTATTGAAAGATTCGTCCGGCAAATATGACTGTTTTGAAGCCCTGTTTATAACTATATTTTCTAATTTACTATGATAAAACATCCAATGAAGTATTATATGTAATAGTAAAAAGTCAAGCTCTATTTAACTAGAGGCTCTAAAGACCCTGTGTCGCTCACCTAGATCTGTGTGCGTCTTCAACAATGGACAACCTCCAATATTGTAGACTAGAATAGTATTCATGACAAGAAATCTCTTTTTGTTGATTTTGTATTGCTGATAAAAAAATTTTTTTACAGTTTCTCTGTATCTTCTTCAGTTTTTGCCCAAAACACAAAAAAGGCTAAAAAATCATCATTGGGTAATCACTCCTATAAAGATTGTACTAACTATTTAGCCAAAATTTGACTTATTTGTAGATCTTGTCATGCTGATAATTTTTTGCTATTTAAAGTGTCTATCCATTATAGTTTTTAAGATATTAGGCAAAAACGCAAAATATTGGTAAAAATTGTCAATAAAGAGCAATAACTCAAATAAGTCTTCTGAAGATTTAGACCATTATAATCATTTGTGGACCTTGTCTTGCTTATCATTTTTGTAAAAAAAGCAGATTGCATCAAATAAAAACAATCAATGAATATACTAGAAAAATTAGGTTCCCTTTGAAATACCTACTGGTAAAACAAATGCATTGACATTATCAGGGTCATCTACAATAGCTAGTGTCCACTTCTGATTCTCTACTTCTTTAATATCTGTGTTAGCTAAATATAATCGCTGGACAATCTTTAACAAAGCAGGATATAGCGGATGGTTTGTTGGAAGAATCTTTTCTTTTAGCTGCTCCTGAAGCTAAATAGAAAAAATTTTAAAGATTTTAATTTATTATGAAATTATTGCATGTGTCAGATTTGGTACCTATAGTTAGTTGTTTACTTCCTTGTACATGTGCTTTTTGGTGGATAGCTGCCTCATTGGCAATCATACCAAATATTCTTATTCTTATATTTAAAACTAAAAGATGGCACTGATCAAACTAAAATCAAAATATCACTGAAAAATGTGATTTAAATCAGACTATTTCTAACACAAAATATGTCTTGAAATACACATCTTCTTATATTGCTCATATAAGAGTAAAACCTGGTATTGTTTGATATTCAATTATAACTCACAGAATGAGATTGTGTAAAGTTATTGCTTATATAAGAGTAAAACCTGGTATTGTTTGATATTCAATTATAACTCACAGAATGAGATTGTGTAAAAGTTTTCAATAACAAAAATTTAATTTTCCTTCAACCTACATATTGTAGATTTTATATGCTAAATGAACACTAAACTCTCCCAGTGTTCAGATATTGGTTGATACATTTTTTTAATCATATTAAAATCACAGGCAATCAACATAGAATTAATAAAGTTTACTGAAGATAGGAAGAGTAATTTGTCTTATGCTTTATATTACTATATCCCTCAGCAAACTTTTGTGCAGGTAAGGGAAACCATTAGAGTTATCTCCCTTTCATCTGAATCCTGAGTAAGGATGCAATGTCCATGGAAAAGTAAAGCATAATTATGAAAATAAGATCTGTATCAGTCACTCTAACTTATCAAACAGATTACCTCCTCAGCTTCAATACTCATCACACGTTGAAACTGTTTATCTGTAAATGCTATGAATCTTCTCCTTCCTGTTATAGGGGCCTCTTGTATATGGCTCCAGTAATAAAGACTTCCAAGAACAGAAATTCCTGATATTGCTAATAAAATTTCCTTCCACTGTTTTTTGGAAAGATGAATAAAGTGAAGTCTTTTATGGTCAGGTAAGGTTTTCCACCATTGTCTGAAACCTCTGTAAAATGTATAAGAACTCATAAAGTTAAATTAATGTTACTAACAATAACAATAAGTAAATGCAAACTAGTATCACTTTCCTGTATGAGTTGAAAATAGATAATAAAGTAACAGGTATTTATTATATGATATGGAACTGTTGAAAAAAAACATATCTTAGGTCAAATTATTGGCTGTATATTACATTGTAACCTGTACATGTATATTAAAAAAGAATACTGGAATTTAATCAAGTCACTAAAAGATGATAAAAAGGAGGGTCCAGAAAAAACAGTAAATACAAATGTTTGGTATACCTACTTTAAATCACTTAATAAAATACCAGATAAATATCAATCTAGAATTAATCAAATTGACAAGATACTCAAAAACATGGAATTAAGCCACTCGTTCAATGAACTGGATTTTAGGATAACCTCCAAGGAGGTGTTAGACACTATTTGTAAGTTAAAATGTGGAAAGGCAGTCGATTTAGATGGCCTCCCAAATGAAATACTGAAGAGTGGTGCTAGTATTTTGGCTCCATTATTTCAAAAACTTTTTAATCTTGTATTTTCTTCAGGAATATATCCCAAAAAATGGTCATCAGCATATATTTGTCCAATTTTTAAAGCTGAGGATCCATCTAAACCGAAAAACTACAGGGGTATTACAATTAATATGTGTATAGGAAAACTATTTAATTCAATACTAAACAAAAGGCTTGATAAATATTTAGAAACAAATAATATCATAAATCCATGTCAGATTGGTTTTTCAAGTAAAAGTAGGACATCGGATCATGTTTGTATTAAAAACTATAATGGATAAGTACACCAGTATGAAAGGTGGGAAACTTTATGCTTGCTTTGTTGATTTCAAAAAAGCGTTTGATAAAGTCATTCATTCAGGTTTAAAATATAAGCTATTAAAACATAATATAGGTGGTAACTTTTATGCAATCCTGAGAGATATGTACAATAAAAGTGAATTATGTGTTAAAATAGATGATGTGCTTACTCCTAATTTTTATTCTCAAATTGGAGTAAAGCAAGGGGATGTTTTAAGTCCAAACCTTTTCAAGATTTTTATAAATGATTTACCGGATGCATTTAAGGAAAGCCCAGACACTGTTGATATAAACGGTCGCAGGATTGACTGCCTCATGTATGCAGATGATATTGATATTTTATCTAGTTTCAAGGCAGGTCTTCAAAAACGACTTGATGGTTTAACCAAATTTTGTACTAAATGGTGTTTAGAGGTCAATCTATCTAAAACCAAAGTTATTATATTTAACAAACCTGGTAAACTTTTAAAAGAATATTTTTATTTCGAAAAAGTTACAATAGAATGTGTTAACAATTATAAGTATTTAGGTTTAAAATTTATATCTAGTGGACTTTTTAAGCAAGGAAAGGAAGAATTATACAAAAAATCACTAAAAGCTGTATTCAAATTGCAAAGATCTTTATCATCTTCCAATCCAAGTATTTCTACTCTATTACATATATATGACCATACAATAAAACCCATTTTAATGTATGGCAGTGAAATTACAGGTAAGTTTATAACTAGCTCTGCAGCATGCCAGAAAGAAAGTGAATATTTATTACAGCACATTTATATGAATGATTTTTTAGATAAATCCAATTTAAGATATATGAAGTATATATTAGGTGTAAACAAAAAGTCTTCTAACCTAGCTGTGCTAGGAGAGCTTGGTAGATTCCCTTTATATTTTTCAGTTGTATTATCAATGCTGAAATATTGGTTTAGAATAAAAAATATGAAAGATGGTTTACTGTATGATACCTATATGTGTAACAAAAACATGTTTAATAATAATATTGAATGCTGGTATTCATCCATACATTACATTTTTAAAAAGCTGAATATTCATAATTTGGAGGTAAAGCTCAACTTTTTTATCAAGTCAGTTAAGCAAAAAACTTTGTAATAGTTTTGTAAAGTTTTGGAACACAAAAAGAAGAGATACAAAGAGTAGTAAATTAGATACTTATTCAAACTTAAAACTTGTTTTTCGAAAGAAATGTATCTATCTTTAAACAATTTTCAATTGAGAAGTGCCATATGTAAAATCAGAATCAGTGCACATGATCTCAAAATAGAAAGAGACAGGTATAAAACTTTATATATAGAAAAAGACCAAAGGCTTTGTAAGAAATGTACTCTAAATCAGGTTGAAGATGAACAACATATTATTACTAGTTGTCCAGCATACAATAATGATAGGGAGATATTTTTCAAGGAGATAAACTGTATCTGTCCCAATTTTATATATATTTCAAATGAGGCAAAATTTGTTTGGTTATTTACTAATGAAAATTTGTCTATACTTAAATATTTAGGGAGCTATATTATTACATGTCTAGATGGGTTCATTCAACCTATGCCAACATTTTGAAATTTAGGTATAAAATTGTATGAAAAAATGTTGGCATAGGTTGAATAATTTGTAACGGATTAAACGTTATAACAACATAAATTGATCAGGAGCTAATCAATTTACAACAAGTTTAAACTTAGCTTTTAATACCATTTTTGTTATTACATGTAATAGTAAAAATGTAGGTATAATTGTATTTGTTGAGGATCTCTATTTCATAAGGAATTGATATAAAATAATATATCAAAACAATGGAAAATAAGTGTTAATTTCTATAATTTTATTAAATGATCATCTATTCATATAAAATATATACCAATGTCAATCTAATGAATTATATAAAATATTTGATAAAAATATTTAATTCTATTTCAAATAGATTCCTTCAAATACATAGAAATACTGACTATCATGACTATACTATATATAGTACTATTGAAACACATAGTTCTGTATTTTTGATATTTTACTTTTTTTTTCATAAATACTAACTCGTGTAAAATATCTATTTTGAATGTTCATTATTGAATCCTACAATATTGACACAGACAGAGAATTGTACAAAGTTCACTATGATTATCTCAAAAGTCATACACTTATTAAAACGAAGAAGATATGATGCTGCATCTGCATACATAACTGCTGAGTACTCAGTCTGGATTATTGTAACCTCAATAACTGTTTGCTGTTTCTTCAGTAGTTTTACTTTGTGGTTGTCATGATTGTACCAATTTGGTAGTTTTGTAGGTATGTTATTGCGAGTATTTTAATGTTGCTGGACAATTACGTGTAGTGCATATCATGTATATTTTATCATATAGTCTGGATTTAACTCTGAACTGGTACCCACTGTGGATTAGATTCTGCTGCCTAGTCTATTGGTAACAAACTGAATATCTATATCTAAAACATTTGTTCTTAGATGCATGATTTTTTTTATTAGTTGTTAGTGGCTTTGAAGTAGCTGTCAGTAAGTGCGAGTACTCTCAGATCTGTACTTAATGTCTTTTTGTTGTTGGGATATACAAGTACCCGGCCAAGTCCACTCTGTGTTTTTGTTAGATGTATTTCTATTTGTATCCATCGGATGAGTTAAGCTTTTTTCAACTGATTTGTTTAGTTAGTTCTTATGTTTTACTGTTAAACCACTGTCCCAGGTTAGGGGGAGGTTTGGGATCCCGCATGTTTAACTGTATGTATGTGCCTTTCAAATATTTTTAAATAAAAAACAAACCGACACCAAGCACGTATTTCTAAAGTAAAACTAAGTAAGTAAAGGCTGCACTTTTTTACTGGAAAGCCGCTGTTTAATAAATGAATTTTTTAAAAATTTTATTTGATACTTATTTTAAATTTCATTTTGCTAAATTAATTTGATTTAATACTATTTTATTTGTATGTTGCATATTTAGTATAAGAAAGTTTATCATGAAAATTCTCAAATAAAATAGCTTAATTTCATTCTTTTTCTGTAGTACTACATGTACGTGTTCAATTTTTGTGTATTTTTATAATTAATTTAGTATTTACTTCAACACAATTTTGCTAGAATCAAGTGTTCTATTTTATCATTTTAGTCTTTTTTTATTTAAATCATTTTTACTTAATAGTAACAAAACACTATTGCACATATTTTATTCTTGTTTTTTTTTTATTTTTCAAAGAGTAATATTTTAATGCTTAAAAATACTGACTGTATTTTACCTGTTATTAATTAGTAATTGTTATAACAACACCTATTGCATTTTGTTTGTAGGCATAGGTTGAATATATATTTATCAAATGTTGGCATAGGTTGAAGACACCGTCTAGATGTTAGACGAAATGTTAATTAATGTATGTAATAACAATGATAATTGTAATGATTTTATAGTTCTGATCCTGCCTGGAATTAAATGTAATAAATTTATTACATTGGTTGCAATGAATCACCTTGATTTCACATGTGAAATTAATCTGATAATTTCACTCCTCTGTTGTCATACAACCATGAGTGTTGTCAAGACCTTGTCAATGACATTGCATCATAACAATTGAGAATGCGTAGAACATGTAGAAAGGGATACAGTTCCTTAGTTAGAACTTTATGCTCATTGGTTATAATAAAAATTCAAAAAATTCATGACATCTTTAAACAGGAAGTGGTCTGAAAATTCCTAACATGGTACCACTCAATATTACATAGATCAAATTATTCGTTTTGAAGCTTAAAAAGATGTATTAAAACATGTGGATGGACAAGGTCACAGGATGGACAAGGTCATTGTAGTTTACCACTCACTCTGTGAGAGGAGGTATAGTAATTATCCGAGAATCGGTAGTTAGTTGAATCTGTCATGTGACTTTAAGTTCAAAATTATTAAACTTGTAGGTTTTTGAGTATATACTTATAGTGAAATAATCTTGTCTAGTACATGTGCAACAGGCAATGCCGTTCTCTAAAACTGACTAGGGTACTTAAAAACTGCACTAAGTCATAATGTTTACATGTACCTGCCACTAATAATACTTGCTCCCTTCATAGCCAATTTCACAACAACCCATAGATGTGGCCCAATTGCTTGCTTTCTGGAACTTGTATGGAATCCATATTTGAAGTATTTCATGCATCCTGGTGTTAGTGGTTGAAACTTTAAACTGTTAGTGCCTGAGATCAATGGGCCTGGAAAAGTTTTGAGTGTACACACAATGTGTGTTTTTGTTGTAGTTCTTTCAGATAAAAAGTTTATTATTTTATTCGTATTTGAACGTGTAAATGGGTGAAATTGAAATTTATGTAGATGCTTTAGAAAAGACATTGCTACTGATGAGTAATTATGAAAAAAATCTTGCGTTACATCATCTGTTCTTAACCAAAGCAGGTGAAATCTCAAATCAACATGAAAGTGAAACTAGAAACAAGGGAGATAATGCTGTTGGAAATGGGTCTCACTAATTAGCGACAAGAAGCGTCAAGAAGCGACAAGAAGAATAATTTAGCGACAAGAAGATTATTTAGCGACAAGAAAACATTTTTTTTTTATTAAGATTACTTATTCCAAATAAATATTAAAAAATATGCATTTATTAATATATGGGCAGAAATAAATTGATCATTTTTTATCCTAAGGGATTAAGTTTGACACGGCGACGTGACAAAATCAGTTCGTTACTCAGTATTTACCCTTGCCCAAGAGAATATAAACGAACATGTCCACTATAGTCTAATTATAATACTTCTGATATGCATTTATCGAAGATCGAGTCGTTACCTTTTTTCCTTTGCCCAAAGGGAAATTCAGTGAAACCCTGTACCAAAGGGTTTGTTTGATACCGCGCAGTACCAAAGACGTACAAAATATACTGATTTATTAATCAAAGGTAAACCAGAGAGTCTGACATATATGTCTCTGGGTAAACCAAGATGCGTTTCGGATTCTAGCAATTGCTCTTTTTTTTTTTTTTTTTCTAGCAATTGCTCAGAGCACGTACTTTTGCAAAATTAAGACTGAAATGCTGACAATTTACTTTATACAAAACATAAAAGTTGAATGGCTTCCGTCAGCTTGTTAGAGCAAAGGAAATGCACACGCTATAAAATGGAAATAAAAACAAATATTTTTCAACTTTCCTTTGAAGAATTTATTGAAACAAAAACATGAAATATTATTTCCTTTCTAACAGTGCAATTCATTGTTCTTGTTAGGAACAACATTAGATGTTGGTTTACCATAAGGTAATAACAGTACATACAATGTGAAACATCTGAGATTAACGAGGCGCGTGTCCCTTGTTTTATTGCTACAATAACATCCAATTAACACCTTCAACTTTGTACACGCGCCAGAATATACTATCATTGTAAATAGTGAACACCTGTTGAAAACTTAAAATTGTCATTAATTTCCTTTAATCTTCAATCAACATTAAACTATACATAAACATGATAAATATCGTTAAATGAGGCAATACACAAAATAAAATGATGAAAAATATTCACATTTTATGTTTTCCTCCTGTTTGATTTCAGTTCTTTGTATTTCACAATTTGTGTCTCTATTTTCTGGACAATGATGCACAAATAATGCATTTTGCAAGTTTATTATATATTGAACAAAGAGAGTTTTAAAAACAAATTATAAGATAAATATATTATTGTTCTAAAATACAAATAAAATTAATATCATAATACGACAGGGTAAACGTAATACTTGCTGTAATACATAATAAATAATAAAATATCACAAATAAATGTAGCAATTAGTTCTATGTTTCAAAAATTTGTGATGCTTTATTACTATAAAATGACTTTTTCTATCTATTTATTGATAGAATATTAACTTTCTTGTCGCTAAAATTGTTTTCTTTTGCATATTCTGTTAATAAGGGGACGAAGTCCCCTATAACGGTAGAAAAATCAATAAAAAAAAAAAAAAAAAAAAATCCGGGAAAATTTCCCGAAATTTTCATTGTACTAATGAACTCAAAATCGTTAACTTTTTTATTTTCAGACTTTTTTATTTTCCCGCATTTGCGCAGAAATCTACTTCCTTTTTCCGGTCTCGTTTGCATGAGTCTTTGAGTAAAGTATATATTTATCAGTCTAGTAAAATATAGGAAGGAACGCAATACTAATTCCATTTTTAATAATTCCTTGAATGGCTTGATATGAAAAAACGTTACCTGATAGCGTTTCTTTGTTTACATTGAATATGACGTCATACCATAAATAACGTCACAACTAAAATTCCGAACAACAGAACCGAAATCGGAAACGTAATAGTATTTCCGTTTCTTTTTGAACAGATTTTGAAGTTAAAATATGTTTGAATTAAAAAAAAATAATTCATACAGTCTTCGTCGCCTTTCACAGGTAACGCCTGCCTCATATTAAGGGGACGAAGTCCCCTATAACAGTAGAAAAATCAAAAAAAAAAAAAAAAAAAAAAAAAAAATCGGGAAAATTTCCCGAAATTTTCATTGTACTAATGAACTCAAAATCGTTAACTTTTTTTTTGTAACTTTTTTTTATTCCCGCATTTGCCCAGAAATCTACTTCCTTCTTCCGGTCTCGTTTGTCATGAGACTGAGTGAAATATATATTTATCAGTCCAGTAAAATATAGGAAGGAACACAATAACAATTTCATTTCTAATTATTCTTTGATATGAAAAAACGTTACCTGATGATAGCGTTTCTTTGTTTACATTGAATATGACGTCATAACTAAAATAACGTCACAACTAAAATCCCTAACAACAGAACCAAAATCGGAAACGTTACGGTATTTCCGTTTCTTTTTTAACAGATTTAGAACTTAAAATATGTTTGAATTAAAAAAAAATAATTTATATAGACTTCGTCCCCTTTCACAGGTAATGCCTGCCTCATATTATTTGTTTGGAATAAGTAATTTTAATAAAAAAAAATGTTTTCTTGTCGCTAAATAGTCTTCTTGTCGCTTTTTGTCGCTAAATATATTCTTCTTGACGCTTCTTGTCGCTAAAATTCTTCTTGTCGCTAATTAGTGAGACCGTTGGAAACAAGTGGGCTAACTAATTACCATAACATAAGACCATGAACAGATAAAGAAAGAATTTTTCTTATATATATCTGTAAAGAGCTGGAAAAAAACAACCTTAAAGAAGATACTCATAATATTGGTTGAAAGAAAGAAAGAAACACAAATATTTCCTCGTAGGTTAACAGATCTATCATTTAACCGGAAGTTCAAAACGCCATTTGTCGTTTTGATCTTTTAACTCTTCTAACAGAAACTGGCACGTTCCCAGTGAAACCGACGTCACGAAACCAAAATGGGATATGAATATTTGATAAAATTGTGTCATTGTACGTTACGTGCGTCTAAAACAGTGCTGCTTTGCGTTTCCACATAACGATATGGACACCATCTGGAAAACCCCTTGAAAATATAATTTTCATTTCACTTTTCATTTTCGATTTAGAAAATCAAAGCTTCTTTATACAGCTATATCTTTCGTTAAGTCCGTTGAGTTTAATTCAAACTAATTGGTAATCCATTGATTAGTTAACACATGGTAATAGAATTTATTTTGCCAGAAAAATTGACATTATTTTGCTGACATTGCAGTGATGCTAAATTTAGACAGAACACTTTAAATTTGAAAAGATGTTTTAGCATTGTAAGCATCAATGGATTTCATAGACTTAATTAAATTGAGAATAGCCAGCATAAATTGAACTCTACATGTCGATGCAATTGGTATTTGAAATCCAAAATTGAACTGGACAAGCATAAGCAACAGCAATGGGAGATCCTTTAGTAAGGAAATCTGCAGCGTTGTCTCGCTTGAGGCATCAGTTGAGAAAGAAACGTGAATCTCTAGCAGACCACTTTGAATTCAAGATGTATATTATTTTCCATTTTAAAGATAAGGTAAATGTTACCAATAAAACATGATCGTTTTTGTTGTACCATTTTGCTCTTTACCAAAAAATGTATGCAACATCATCTGTGTGAAGTCTACTAGAATTTCATTTTCCTGTCACCTGTGGTAAGTTTTATATTCCTGAGGTAATCCTCGTACTGATGTGGGGTGTCCAAATCCAAATTATGGCTACTAATGCTAATTTTATTTTGGAGACTGCATGTTACACACTTCTTCCTGGAACAATATATTTTAATTCACTCATTGTAATACTTTCAAGAAATTCAAGTACATTATTTTGATAGCATAACTGTATTTATACAAAAAAGTAACAATGTTTGTGATGTATAAGTTTATTCATTCAAAGATAATTGAAATGTATGATTTATCTTCTTCTATTTATTGAAAAGTATGAATGATCAAATGATTATTTTTTTCCATTTTTAGCAAAAGAAGAATGGTGCAGTATTTGAGGTAGCAGAAGTTATACCAGTAATGACAAACAACTACGAAGACAGTATTATGAAAGGAGTAAAGGTATTCTTATAAATAAATATAATAAAAACAGTGGTCAGCTGGTAATAGTTAATTGTAACTGTTAACACATGGTTTTATAAAAGGTAGAGAACAGGTAATAGTTAATTGTAACACATGGTTTTATAAAAGAAAGAGGAACAGTAGACCCGTCACCAAGTTCAATGTTTAAAAAAAAAACAGTAGACACATTTCAGAAGTTATCTTGTGAATGTAAGTGTATATTTTTTCATGAATAAGTTAACTATATAATTTTTTTTAATGTACAAAGTGACCTATGGTGACCTATCCATCTTTTCATGCGAAGTCAACTAGTAGACTACATTGACATGTTTGCTGGATTTAATAATCCAGGTAAGCTGCATGTACATCTACAGAATCTTGTAAAAATTATTCAAAGACAGGAAATTCTGACTAATATTTTAAGGTATCAAAATTGCTACCTTTGCATTGCCTAAAATGAACACTCTTACATACAGGCCAGGTATACAAATTTCTTGCAGTGGAAACAGCACTGACAGTTGTAATTTTGACACCTTGCTTTTTTTGAACAATTTAAAGGTTTCATGCTAGAAATTAGTGTGGCCAGGTGCAATAAGGCTTATCAACTTGTCCACATTAGCTTACTAAGCTGACATAGCAAAAAATCTCTTTTTATTCATATCTTTAAACAAAATGAATTGTTCATGTATCAGAAGGGAGATGACATGATGATTATTACTTACGACTGCGGATGTGTAAAAGCTATACTGAGATTATGTTTATGTTTTTGTTAAAACATTGGTATATTTTATTCACAATTGGTTGTATTTGTAGGAGGAAGCATACTCTTTAGAAAGCTCAAAAGAATTACTTGAAAAAGATGTAGTTCAACTTCATGCCCCAAGATGGCAGTCAATGAGAAGGGTAAGATTATTTTTTAATGTATACAAAAATGGTGAAGATTTGAATGAAAAGGTGCAAATCCACAAGGAACAAATAAAGCAGCTGCAATACAGGCAAATCCCATTGAGTTGACACATTAATCCATGTAGAAAGGGAAAATTGAAAATATTTCCATTTTCAACTGCAGTAGGGGATGCAAAATATATCGAGAGGAAATGCTGCAATGGAACAATATTTCATAAAATATATCAACCAAAGCTGAAAGCTTAATGCAAGAGTTAAAGAACTTAACCAACAATTATGTAACTTTGTAGTCACCTCTGCTGCGATGTTTCCATTGAAACCTTGCCAGAATCTTGATAAGTCCCTGCAGAAGGATGAAAGCGCTAGTTTTTCTTGAAAAAATTCTTGAATAATTATTTGTTCTGTTCATAAGATAAAAATTTCATTTGATATATATAAATGATAAATAATAAATAAATCCAAAGTGCTGAAGAGAAAAAGTTGGTTTAAGTTATGATGACATTAAAAGAACTTTGGAAAGGGAATATGCTAACATGTTTTTGCTGTGCAATTAATAAAGCATTTTTTATGCAATCAAAATTTAACAGATTGCAATTTTTATTAGCTCACCTGGCCCGAAGGGCCAAGTGAGCTTTTCTCATCACTTGGCGTCCGTCGTCGGCGTTAACTTTTTACATTTTGAACTTCTTCTAGAGAACCACTGAATGGAATGAAACCAAACATGGCATGAATGTTCCTTATGAGGTGCTGACCAAGTGTTGTTACTTTGTAGCCGATCCATCATCCAAGATGGCCGCCAGCGGGGGACTTAGTTTAACATAGGACCCTATGGGAAATGCATACAAATGACTTCTTTTAGAGAACCACTGAATGGAATGAAACCAAACATGGCATGGATGTTCCTTATGAGGTGCTCACCAAGTGTTGTTACTTTGTAGCCGATCCATCATCCAAGATGGCCGCCAGCGGGGGACTTAGTTTAACATAGGACCCTATGGGAAATGCATACAAATGACTTCTTTTAGAGAACCACTGAATGGAATAAAACCAAACATGGCATGAATGTTCCTTATGAGGTGCTGACCAAGTGTTGTTACTTTGTAGCCGATCCATCATCCAAGATGGCCGCCATCGGGGAACTTAGTTTAACATAGGACCCTATGGGAAATACATACAAATGTCTTCTTTTAGAGAACCACTGAATGGAATGAAACCAAACATGGCATGAATGTTCCTTATGAGGTGCTGACCAAGTGTTGTTACTTTGTAGCCGATCCATCATCCAAGATGGCCGCCAGCGGGGGACTTAGTTTAACATAGGACCCTATGGGAAATACATAAAAATGTCTTCTTTTAGAGAACCACTGAATGGAATGGAACCAAACATGGCATGAATGTTACTTATGAGATGCTGACCAAGTGTTGTTACTTTGCAGTCGGTCCATCATCCAAGATGGCCGCCAGCAGGGGACTTAGTTTAACATAGGACCCTATGGGAAATACATACAAATGTCTTCTTTTAGAGAACCACTGAATGGAATGAAACCAAACATGGCATGAATGTCCCTTATGAGGTGCTGACCAAGTGTTGTTACTTTGTAGCCAATCCATCATCCAAGATGGCTGCCAGCGGGGGATTTAGTTTAACATAGGACCCTATGGGAAATACATACAAATGTCTTCTTTTAGAGAACCACTGAATAGAATGAAACCAAACATGGCATGAATGTTCCTTATGAGGTGCTGACCAAGTGTTGTTACTTTGCAGTTGGTCCATCATCCAAGATGGCCGACAGCAGGGGACTTAGTTTAACAAAGGACCTATGGGAAATACATACAAATGTCTTCTTTTAGCGAACCACTGAATGGAATGAAACCAAACATGGCATGAATGTTCCTTATGAGGTACTGACCAAGTGTTGTTACTTTGCAGTCGGTCTATCATCCAAGATGGCCGACAGCAGGGGACTTAGTTTAACAAAGGACCTATGGGAAATACATACAAATGTAATCTTTTAGAGAACCACTGAATGGAATGAAACCAAACATGGCATGAATCTTCCTTATGAGATGCTGACCAAGTGTTGTTACTTAAATGTAGCCGATCCATCATCCAAGATGGCCGACAGCGGGGACTTAGTTTAACATAGGACCCTAAGGGAAATACATACAATTGTCTTCTTTTAGAGAACCACTGAATGGAATTGAATTAAACATGGTATGAATGTTCCTTATGAGTTGCTGACCAAGTGTTTTTACTTTGCAGTCGATCCATCATCCAAGATGGCCGCCAGCAGGGGACTTAGTTTAACATAGGACCCTATGGGAAATGCATACAAATGACTTCTTTTAGAGAACCACTGAATGGAATGAAACCAAACATGGCATGAATGTTCCTTATGAGGTGCTGACCAAGTGTTGTTACTTTGTAGCCGATCCATCATCCAAGATGGCCGCCATCGGGGAACTTAGTTTAACATAGGACCCTATGGGAAATACATACACATGTCTTCTTTTAGAGTACCACTGAATGGAATGAAACCAAACATGGCATGAATGTTCCTTATGAAGTGCTGACCAAGTGTTGCTACTTTGTTGCCGATTTACTGTTCAAGATGGCCACCAGGATATTTTATTAAATAACAGGACCAATATTAATCAAAATTTGGCCTCAATCATTATTTGGGTATCTGTTATGATTTTTATCTATCTTTACATGATTTCTAAAACCAAAGTAGAGTCAGGTGAGCGACACAGGCTCTTGAGAGCCTCTAGTTAGATTATGTGGTTACTTCACTTGGCAAATTGATCACAAATCAAAAGGTAGAATAATTTTGAAAAACACTCTGTATTGTACTTGAAAATGGTAATTTAAATCTTACAACCTAATTAAGATATATGGGCAATTTCAAAATATATTGCAGGATGTTCTTGGATGCACAACGGAAATAGACTTCTTTTTGTGGCCAAGAAATGATATTGAAAAAATTGAATGTATCTTATTCTCAAGATGGAAAGGAGAGGAAGCACCATTTAAACCAATTCAGGTAATTTTCTTTTTTAACTTTAAAGTTAATATTTCAGAAAAATATTGTTTATCCTTCTTTTCATTGCACAGCATGCAGATTATGTCGATAATACAAGCTTGAGCTTGTCAGTCTAACTCTTTATCTTTTATATTTTCATTCAGCATTACTTAAATACAGGCTGGTAAAATTACATAGTTTTTACTTTGTTGTATAATTTTTAACTAGTTATATGTGTTTCCTTTGATTCTGGTCCTCTATGGCAGTGATTTTGCCAGCGCTGGACATTTTCATCATTTATGAAACGGTTTTCAAAATGACGAAGTTATTTCAAATCAATTTCGTCACTTAAATTTGGAAAACGTAAAAATATTTTTGCATGAAAATACTGTAATTCTACCTGTCTTCATGTTTCTGACAAGTTTATGACCCTCAGCTAATTAACATTTAAAACATGTGTAATAAGTTGTGATTACAGATAATTCGCTTATCGCCATCAGATGGGTCACTAATCTGTTAATTATTAATAAACCTCATAATTGACCATCATAATTATTTTTTCCCCAGTAAAATCAATCAGTCGACATTTCAATTTCAATATTTCTCAAACGACCACAATTTGCAGTTTGTTTATCATAATTTTGTCATTTGAGCAAAATTGTTTCCCCCCAGACAGTTTGCATTTTAATTTCAATATTTCTCAAACGATCACAATTGGCAGTTCGTTTGTCTTAGTTTTGTCATATGAACCTATATTCGTCATATTTGATATAACTTTTCATCAAAAACTTTTGAAAATTTTGATTAAAAAGATAGAACTTTATTCAAAACGTTCAGAAATATTTTCACGAGTCAAACAGTTACCTTTTTTTTACTATGTACTGTGCATGCGTGATAGTATTCTTATAAATTTATAGACACTAAAACGTAAAATAAGAAATCATTTAGTACCAAATTAAACGAGAGAGACAAATGTATTTCTTACTTAGCAACTTAATTTAAAAAATGATTATTTCCTGCCTTTTGTTAAACACAAACTAATCCGTAGATGAATCAGGATTCATTCTGAATTTATTATCCACTTGTCACTTCCTGTTTTCTTTTCGTTTAAAAATCGAAAGTAAACGTGATCTATTCTTGATTAATTTACAATTAACAGTCATTAGAATCGTTCCAATAAGGATTTGTACAAAACCTTGGTCCCAACTTTATAGAAATGAATTCCAAATATCGATTTAAATGTTTTTACAAGGATAATGATTATGCAGGGAAATAGTCGTTACAAGTTCATTTCTGCTGTGATTCCTGGTTTTAAAAAAATGGAACCCAACTTTTGTTGATCAGGAATGTCCCCTGAAAATAACTGAAGTGAAATTGTGACCTAGATTTCTGGATCCTATATCATAATCTTCATGTTTAAGCGCCACATCAGTCAAATTATGCAATAGCTGTCTAGCATGCCTAAGTCCTTCAAAGATGTATAGCTAGTAATATACTTCCTTGTTACCTTGCTGTTACCCAAAATGAGGTTGAATTTCATCTCGCGCAAAAGTGACTAAAGCCCTCAAAATCCTAGCTTAAAACCCTGTCTATGGACATTGACCTCTTCTCTGAATCCTTCACTTGTCAAATATTTACATTGGTAAGCATGTATTAAATGTTGTTTATTGAAGCAACTTATGCCTAGCTTTCAAACATGATGATTGACCTGGAAGTCATTTGATGGCTTCCAATCAGTCCATCACATTAAACAGCAACAAATTTTGTCAGACATTAAATTAGAAATAAGCCATTTAGTCCCATCCAATCTACAAGAGAAATGGCAAAGATTCTGAAAACTTAATGTCAATCATTGTTTGAAAAGACTATCTATTCATTACTTTCATAATGAATAAGATACATGAACAAGTAATTCCCAAAAAAATTGTTACTCAAGCAGACTTGTATTTTTAAAACCAATTTTCAAGATCAGAATTATTTACCTAAAATTTGATTTATGGCCTCCAGGTCATCTGAAAAAAGCTCATATCTTTAAAAAATTTGTTGTGGTTTTTTTCAGGCAGAATTTAATTTTCTACGTGGTGACTATGAAAAACAATTAATGCGGCTGCTAACAAGAAAGGAAAAATCTGGAATGATTATCAACAACCCTGCACAATCTATGTTTCTATTTATAGACAAAAATCAATTACAGGTAACTATTCCATGCCAGTAAGGTATAAATTTGACTCCTATCTATTGAAAATGAGTTAAATGTTATTCATGATATGATAATTTGATTTAAACTTTGCCAAATTTTACATGAGTAGAATCATTATTATCTAGCAATGTATGGTCTTAGAAAGTAAGAATTGGGAATACATACTATTGTGTTGAAAATGAAACCTTTCCCCACAATCAGTTGGAATTACCTTTCCATTTAAATATTTGCAGAATGACTTATTGCAACATTGAGTAATAACAATAATTATAGATTATCTATGGTTTTTCAAATGAGAGTGTCTTTCAGCTACAATCTCATTAAAGGGTGACAGCCATGAGATGAGATGTGGCCAAAAAACATCCTAGAGTTTGAAAGACTATTGATAACTTGTTTAACGCTAATTTGTCTATGACGTCATTGATGTATACATTGCAAACAGCACATGTGCCTTTAGTTTCTAGGGATAATTTTCTATCTCCAGTGAGTAGCATGATGTGAAAAATTATCACAAAAAAAGATCAAAGGAAAAATACACAAAACAACAATAATTATAGTTCTCTGTAGAGTTCATTCAATGGGAACTTTGAATTTCACATACATGTATTTAAAATCTAAACATGTGGAGAGTTCAAGGTATAAAAAGCTGATTGTTGACTGATAATGAAAAAGTCATATAAGCAAGAATAGATAGACAAGTCAAATAAGTAAGAATAGATGGACAAGTCAAGTCAAGCAAGAATAGATGGACAAGTCAAACAAGTAAGAATAGATGGACAAGTCAAATAAGTAAGAATAGATGGACAAGTCAAATAAGTAAGAATAGATAGACAAGTCAAATAAGCAAGAATAGATGGACAAGTTAAATAAGTAAGAATAGACGGACAAGTCAAATAAGTAAGAATAGACGGACAAGTCAAATAAGCAAGAATAGATGGACAAGTCAAATAAGCAAGAATAGACGGACAAGTCAAATAAGCAAGAATAGACGAACAAGTCAAATAAGTAAGAATAGACGGACAAGTCAAATAAGCAAGAATAGATGGACAAGTCAAATAATTAAGAATAGATGGACAAGTCAAATAAGCAAGAATAGACGGACAAGTCAAATAAGTCAAATAAGTAAGAATAGACGGACAAGTCAAATAAGTAAGAATAGATGGACAAGTCAAATAAGCAAGAATAGACGGACAAGTCAAATAAGCAAGAATAGACAGACAAGTCAAATAAGCAAGAATAGACGGACAAGTCAAATAATTAAGAATAGACGGACAAGTCAAATATGCAAGAATAGACGGACAAGTCAAATAAGCAAGAATAGACGGACAAGTCAAATAAGTAAGAATAGACGGACAAGTCAAATAAGCAAGAATAGATGGACAAGTCAAATAAGTAAGAATAGATGGACAAGTCAAATAAGCAAGAATAGATGGACAAGTCAAATAAGTAAAAATAGACAGACAAGTCAAATAAGCAAGAATAGATGGACAAGTCAAATAAGCAAGAATAGATTGACAAGTCAAATAAGCAAGAATAGATAGACAAGTCAAACCATTATATTTTTTTCACAAGAAATTTTCTCCAATAATGATTTTTCTACGCCACAATTTGATATTTTTTAGCAAAACGCATATGGCAGCCAAAATCGTCCCCCTGAACTTGGGGGGAATTTCATTTTAGTCAACTTCATTTAACATTGGTTATGACTGTTAATGGATCCTTGAATGTTTTTATGATCTCATGCATTGGACATATATATATGTACTTAATCTGAAATATGAATATTGTATGTTTTGTTTTAGACAAGTAAAAACAAGGTGATTGTGTTCAAGCTGTCAAGTGTATGTCTTTACTTGCCACAGGTAAGAATTATATTCTGTTTTCTTGAATATTGTCAGCAATACATTTCTCAAATTTAGTCAGTTTTCATGTAAGGTAGTTACATTAGAACAAACTTTCAAGAAATGTCTTTATGTAAAATTCTTACAAAAGAATGTTGGCATAAAAAGAAAACATGTTTTATTTTGATATAAAACTGTACTTAGAACTTATTGTTACATCACTTGACGTATTTTATATGTCACCTTTCATTATGATTTAAAAAAAAATATTAATCCATTTGAAAAAATTTCTCCAAAGCTCACTATGTTCCACACTTCTCAATGTGAGGGAAACATGATTGATTGATTGATTGATGTTTGCTTCAAATCCAGTGACAAATTTTGCATACATAGTTAGGATGAGAACATACTCAACAATGCATCTGCAAAATGAATAAACAGGGAATTTGGACTGCCACTTGAAAAGGGTACTTTTTGTAGCTTGCTCCCAAAGTAGAATAAAAAAAGAGGATGTAGACTTGAACATGTTGAAGATACCTTTTCTGAAATATTATATGATTATTTAGAAAATCTTCAAATATTTAGGAGAAATTTATAAAAGGTATTCATTTGACTACCGTACTACTGTAGATACATTATTTTCCATGGGGTACTAACTGTTGTTGATTTTGTGGGTATACGGAAACCAAAAATTAAAATGTTCAGCAAAGTATAAATTGTCTATAGGCTTGTATACAAACTTTTGGTAAACTATGAATTCAAATATCCACGAAAATATCATATTTCTTCAATCCACAAAAATTGTTAACCATGAAAATAAATGAATCCATAGTATACCATATTTTTGGCAATTTACCATAAAGTGTGATGTGTTTTCTATTTTTCAGGATCAGCTGACATCATGGGGACCTGGTACTGTGGAAGAAATTCTCTCACAACATATTCCAGATTAAACCAAAGCATATATAAATCAGGGATGTACTGTGTCATATTACTGTTACAAAGTCAATTTGTTGATATTGGAAATATCTATTGAATTTGCCAGTGCAAAATTATTTTTATGGATACTTCATTACATGACTCATATAAAAAGCTTTTCAAAAGATATATAAAAGAATGCAGACATTTCATTTCACATTTACTTTGTACTACAGATCTATCTGTTTAAGGACAATCACAAAGATGGCATTTACATGTGCAAAGTGTAATTTTTAACTGACCAATCAACTAGGATGGTGTTGATAGAAAAAAAATCAAATTTTCATTGTTTGTTAATAAATTTATTTAAATAAATGCACAGTTATAATCCAAAGGGGTTTATGAAAACATGTTTTGGAGAATTAATTTTTATGCATTTTTTTTTTATGAAATTAATTCAATTATTAACACAGTTTTTAGTGTCCTAAATTTCATTTTAATTTTCCTAATATGAAAATTATTATTAACGACAGTACACCACAGCCAAATATGAAAAAAATAACCTATCAAATAGCAGTTTTATGTAATTGTTAAGCTTTATTATACATATTTCAAACATTTATACCTAAAAAAAAATCATATATGATGAGATCAGAGACAGATTTTTCCTTTTTGTAATTTATTTATGACTTTATATATGACTTGAGAATCTTTAACTCTAAGGGAAGGGTTAAATGGTGTCAGAAAATAACTGCCAGATATATATCTTTACTTCTTCATGTCATCCAAATAAGTTTTCTGCATTTTGATAGCTTACTTGAAATATGACATATATTTGACAAATGAACAGAATCTTTTGTGTGTCTGTAAGTCAGTTATTGAGATATTACAAAAAGCATTTTAACTGTTGACTCTAACTGGTTTCCTTATTTCCGTTTATTGCAGGTTGATATTAATGCATTGCTCATTATTTAAAAATAAATCATTTGTTTTTATGAATTTCAACAAATATAACATTGAACTACAAGCATTGTTCACATCTCAAAAAGTAGTGAAAGTGCAGATATTGGATTTTTAGGTTCCTGTGGTTGGCAGTGATTTTTATTTGTATTCAGATGGTGAACCAGAACAATAGTAATCTTCTTGGACCATTTAGGCTACTTTCATTATCCTTTTTTATTTTATCTTTCCGTATGAATTTCTAAAAGGTTTCCTTTAGGCTAATATTCAATTGTCATGAAAGTGGAAGAATGAAGTTTGTATGGTAGTAATTGTTACAAAGTTATCCTTTCTTAGTTCTATGTTAAGTCTGTAAATTGAAATTTGTGTTATGAGTATGGTTTGGTTGAAAAAAAGGTTATTGTGAGTGTATGTATTTTATTTGTTTGTATATACAGTAGTGTATTGGGTGGTCTCCTGATATTCTTTTCAAGCAAGATGTTTTTCTTTTTGAAACAAGTTGTTATTCTTTTTAAACAAGATTGTTTTTCATGTTTTTATTGTGCGATATTTATGATAAAAGGGAGGGAGAAATTGAGCAATGATATTTTGTATTAAAAACCTATGACCATTAAATTAAGTTACTATTGAGAATTGCAGTAAAGTAGGATTCCTTCATAGAATTGAGCCACGAGAATTAATTTTTCGATTCATAAGATAGGTTGTTTGACTTGCTTGTGTTTTTTGGAAATGCTTTTTTTAATGTAGAAGTTCAAAACTTTATAAATTATTCAAACCAAAAAAAGTAGGGACTCTGAAAAAATTTCTATTAACATTTTCAATAGTTCTAGGATATCAATGTTTTTGAATTGGAAAAGTTGGGAGTCATTCTAAATACAAACTACTGTATGGTATGAAATTTTGTTTTTATCATTTGTTGATTTTGTTTTTATTTTTATTTTTGCTGATATTTATATATTGATATAATCTTTGGCAGCACAGTAATTGTGATTTCCATTTTTGCATAGGGTGAAAATAGATGATGTCTGCAGCTACATATCTTCACTGTACTATTTAAACATTTAAAGTAGGATTTTGGTTTGATTTTTAAACCACATATATTCAGTAAAAACTTGTGATTTTGAATTGTAGTACTTTATATGAATTTGCCAATGTTAGAAAATGTCCATTTACTGCAATGATAGGTTGCATCTTTTGAGTCCTGAACATGTCAATTTTAACCTAAATGAATTGAAAAGCAACTGAACTGGTATTTTTGCAATTAACATAAAAAAAAACTTTTGTTTCATAATTTATAATGAAAGCCTTAACTTATGTTTTTTTTCCTTTATTTCTATTTTTTTAATCAAGAGTTGGGGTATTGCAGTAATATTATACAATATGACCTATTTTGGTCATGTTTTAAGGTCATATGCAATGGTTTTTTAAAGTAACAAACCACATTTTTGTTCTGCTACACACAAATTTAAGAGGGACATTAGATAAAATTGTTGATATTTGACATGTTTGATACTTGTTATAACTCAAGTATGCTTTGATGAATCCTAGCCAAATTTTTACAGACTGTTAAGATCCCAGAAGGTTAGCAACCTTTTAAATTTGATGATTCCCATATTGGAACTTTTAGAATTATGCAAATTATGCAACATTGATCAACCAAAACAATTTTTCTTTTGTCTTACTCTCTCAGTAACCCAGGTATGCTCTAAGCAATCATCATTAAAAATGTTATCAATGGTATGTTTTATAGATGCAAGCATATTTTCACTTTGGATAATTTTCAGATCAGAAGTTCTAGAGTTATTGGACTTTCATGGTAAAAAAAATAATCAATGTTTCAAATGACTCCTAATACTTCAAGTCGAATTTTACCAAACAAAATTTGTTTTAAATGAAAAAGCATGATTAAATAGGAATTAACAAGGCTTTGAATTTGATTCTTTTTTATCGTTTTTGGTAACAACTCAAGAATAAGCAGTTTGAATAACTAAACCTAATGATGGCTAAAAAAATGGAAGATGAAAGTATATATAAATTGATATACATTCATAAACAGTTGCATATGACCTTTAAGTAATTTAAATATGAAAGCAGTGAAAATATCACCCTAATGAAGTTTGTTCTCTATAAATTCTGATATTACAAAATGGTTGACTTATCCAGGTGCCAACATGTAGTGTTACTAGATTTAGAATTTACTATAGTATGAAATTACAGTGCAGTACATGAATTTCATTTCTCATCATATAAGGTTTGGAAAAAGCCAGTCATAGACTTGTTATGCTGTTTAAAGGATGTCATTATTTGATCATTTTATATAACAATATTCATAAGTAGAAACAAATTTACATCTGCATTTTCAGATTGCAGGCAAGTAAGCTACTGTTTCATCTGCCAGAATGTTGACATTCCTTAAAGAGACAGTAAATTAATAAATTATATTACTAAACTTATATTTTGTGTTTCTCTTTTCTGAACTACCAAAATTTCTGTATCTGAATCAAACCAGTTCCATATTCTTTGTACCTCATCTGACCCAATGGTCAATTGGATTTATTCTCATCACTTGGTGTCCTTTGCTTGTCATTGTCCGTTATATTATAAAAATCTTCACTGAAACTTTTTGCCAATTGGGACCAAACTTGGCCACAACCATCTTTGGGGTATTAAAAAAATGTGTCCAATGATCCCGCCTGCAAACCAACATGGGCAACTTGGCTTGAAATAGAACATAGGGGTAAAATAGAAGTTTTATCTAGTATCTTATATATAGATAGAAAAAATTTGTCAGGGTCACCATCAGAAATGTACAGAATGTTGAGATTTACTTGCTGTCCATTAACATTAAAATCAAGACGACTTCTTGTAGGAGTTATTGTACTGAAAGGACGAATTACCAATTTTAATACGACTGCAATTTTTTTTTGCATTCGTATAATGCTCTCATGTCGTTGGGGTTCAGAAAGTTGGGGGGGGGGGGGGGGTTTTCCTTTATATTTTGGGGGTTTATATTTTTTTTCTTCAAAATTTTTGAAATTTCAAATTTTTTGAAAAGCTTCAAGAAGAAATCTTCAGTTACACAGTATTGCGCAATAGCAAGAAATATTCAATTGCACAGTATTGCGCAATAGCACAGTTTTGCGCAATAGAACAGTATTGGGCAATAGCAAGAAATCTTCAATTGCACAGTATTGCTCAATATCAAGAAATCTTCAATTGCATAGTATTGCTCAATATCAAGAAATCCTGTGCTATTTGAAATTTCAAAAATTACTGAATTATTGCGGCTGTATGATGTGCTGAATCTTATTGTGCATTTAGATTTTTTATTTTGGTTCCTGTTTTCAAATTAGTCCATATTAAGGTTTGAAGGGTCCAAAATTAAACTTTGTTTGATTTCAACTAAAATTAAATTTTTGGTGTTTTTTATATGCTGAATCTAACCATGTTGTTAAGATTTTGGATATCAGACCATTCTAGGTAAATTAAATGTCCCATTTCAAATTTTTAAGATCTTTGACCACATTTATTTTGTGTCAGAAACCTATATTATTTCAAAAATTTGATCACAATCCAAATTCAGACAGTATCAAGTTTGAATATTGTGTCCAAACTTGCCCCAACTGTTCAGAGTTCGACCTCTGCGGTCTTATCAGTCTGCTCTCAGCGAAGCATTTTATTTCATTATTCTTATTATTTTGAAATCTATGGCAAAAATGATCAGCAGGACAAGATCTACACATAAGTCACCACAACCAAATCTTCATACAACTTTTAGCAGTAATTGCCCTTGAATGATGATTTTTGCCATTTTTTGTCGCCTGCGATAAAAGTCACGTAAAGCAAGACATAGAAATTGCTGCGACGGTGATCGCAACGCTGCCATCAACAATTGTTATATTTTCTGCTAAGTTAGTTTGATAGGAACTAATTGTGATAGATCATTGATATTTAATATAAAGTTGCATTACTATCAGTACATATCAGTTTGATGATTATTTTGATGCCCTGCTCCCTAGGTCATGGTCCAGTGACTGAAGTAATTAGCAATTTTCAATGTTAAGTTTTCTGCTTAAGTCAGTTTGATAGGAACTACTTGTGATAGATTAATGATATTTTCTATGTTAAGTTTTCTGCTTAAGTTAGTTTGATAGGATCTACTTCTGATAGATCAATGATATTTTGTATGAAGTTGCATTACTATCAAACATATCAGTTTGACGACCATTTTGAGGCCCTGCCCCCTAGGTCATGGTTCATCGACTTTGAATTATTAGCAATTTTCAATGTTAAGTTTTCTGCTTAAGTTAGTTTAATAGGATCTACTTGTGATAGATCAATAACATTTTGTATGAAGTTGCATTACTATCAGTTTATATCAGTTTGACCACTATTTGGAGGCTCAGTCCCCTATGTCATGGTCCAGTGACTTTGAATTAATTAGCAATTTTCATGGTGACTATGTTGAAAGCATCTATCCCATCGAACTTGAGATAAAGGATACAACAGATACAGTTAAGTCTGCCTCATATCTTGACTTACATCTAGAAATTGACAATGAGGGTCGGTTTAAAAAAAAAACTTTACGACAAAAGAGATGATTTAAGCTTCCCAATTGTGAACTGTCCATTCCTTTGTAGCAACATTCTAGCAGAGCCTGCATACGCATTTGATACGATATTCCAGGACTTGTATTTCCTATCATGATTTCCTTGATAGGGGTGCTGCTCACAAGGAAGCTATTAAACCAAGAGTTCCAAGTGGTGCAGTTGAAATCATCCCTTCGTAAATTTTACAGACGCCATCACGAGTTGGTTGACCGTTATGGAATATCCGTTTCACAGATGATAGCGGATATGTTCCACATGTCGTAACTACAATCCTGTCCCCTTTTCCTTGAATGTGATCTACCAAATAGACTTATTACCGAGTTTGTACTAACATGAGCAACGCCACATGTGGAGCAGGATCTGCTTACCCTTCCAGAGCACCTGAGATCACCCACCGTTTTTGGTGGGGTTCATGTTGCACAGTCTTTAGTTTTCTTTGTTATGTTTTGTGTACTATTGCTTGTCTGCTGGTCTTTTTCTTTTTTAGCCATGGCTTTGTCAGTTTATTTTCGACTTATGAGTTTGAATGTCCCTTTGATATCTTTCTCCTCTCTTTTTCTGCTTAAGTTAGATTGATAGGTACTACTTACAATAGACAACGATATTTTCTATAAAGTTACATTAATGTCTGTACATCTCAGTTTGTCAACCATTTCTAGGCCCTGCCCACAAGATCATGGTCCAGGGACTTTGAATTAATAAGCGATGTGGCTGTCAATCAGATTGTCTTTTTCTGAGTTTTATGCCAACAGGTCAGACATTGAGACATATCTCTGTGTCAACAATTTATTTCAATTTTGGTTATTATTTAAAGATTTCAGGTCTAAACTGATTCATTACACCTGTGCTAGTTCCCAATTCATATATATACTGGTTGACAACATTATTACAAGTGACCTGAACACTGTCCACAACACTTCTCTGCAATTTGTATTAACCAAAGGGCTTAAATACTGCAATCCTTAATCCATAAATTGAAAACACAACTTGAAAATACTACTTTATTCAGTTGGTAACTATGCCAGGCTATGGACTAAACATTTTAAGAAGATACCTTTGACCAATGGGTTAAGGATGTGAGGTCCTTGCTACAAATTATAATTTAAAAAACTGAATGGGTCTCTGAAATCTGCCATTTACTGTTCCATGAAACTTCTTTCCAAACTGAAGAATCATATGCGGATACTAAAATAATCCAAAGATCTGTTAAGAGTTTATATAATATAAGTCACTTTCCTCTTGTTATAGTATAAAAACATTTAACTTCTACTTCCTTTACACTTGTATTCCCCATTCTAAATTTCAAGGTTGACAGAAAGCATTAGTCCATATGTGTTTCAAAAAAAGTGTGACCGATGTAGATACAAATATCTTGTTTAAGGAAGTGATCAATCATACTAAAATACACTATGATGCAAACAAAAATTTTCAAGATGCTTGATTTTTTTTTTTATTACATATTTAAAATTTGGACAAACAATCGGAATTCCTATGGAATCCCAACTGCGCCTCTCATTTCCAACTTGTTCCTTTTTTCATACGAGGCAGGTTTCATAACGAAATATCTTGGGTAGAAAGTAGGTAAGATAGCTACATCCTTAAACTTCGTGTTCCTCTATTTAGATTATGTCCTCTCGCTAAATTATTCGAAGTTTGGTGCCTGTTGGTGGCATCTTTCCCATTGAAGTTGAAATACAGGATGCCATAGATACAGTATAATATGCCTCATATCACGACTACCATCTAGAAATGGATAATGAGTTTCGGCTGGAACAAAAGTTTACGACAAAAGGGACGTTTTCAGTTTCCCAGTTGTGAAGTTTCCATTTCTATATAGCAACATTCCAGCAGAGTCTGTGTATGGAGTACCTATCTCCGAATTAAGTTACGATATTCATGCGATCGCTATCATAGTTTATTTGATAGTGGATTGCTGCTTACATTGAATTTATTGAACCAATGATTCCAAGGGATGAGCCTGACGTCATCCCTTGGAAGGTTTACGGACTCCATCATGAGGTGGTTTATTATTATTGAATACTAGTATCTGTGTCACAGATAGTCCGAGATTACTCTGACGTCCAACGGCTGTTTTGCCAGACAAGCTGGGGCCGTGGGACGTCAGAGCTCGTCCCATATCAAAAAGTGGATATTTGCCCGTCCAAAATAGATGCGCTGCTTCGTCGCTTCTTGTGCCAACGGACGGCCTTGGAATTATATAAATCGGGTATCAATTTGTTCATTTTTCATTTATCTCTTCATTTATGTAAGTTTCACCTACCTGACACCCTTTATTTTCTCATATTTAGACAGTTTTCACAGTGACCCATCGATTCAGACATTTTTACTTTTATTTTCAAATGGACGTCAAGTTACGAGAGATTCGCGACCTCGAGACTCAACACGGCCCCAGCTTGTCTGTCAAAACAGCCGTTGGACGTCAGAGTAATCTCGGACTATGTCACAGATAGCCACGGGTATGTTCTAATTGTTGTTCCTACAACCCAGTCCTTGTTTATTACATCATCGAACGTGTCTTGTCACTTAATTTGTACTCATCATGAGCAACATGACGGGCGTCAAATGAGGAGCAGGATCTGCAAACCTTTCCGGGACACCTGAGATCACTCCTGTTGTTGGCGGGGATAGCGCTAGTGTCTTTAGTTTTCTCTGTAGTGTTTCGTAAAGTTATCTTTCCTTTTCTTTTTTTCCCATGGCGCCGTCAATGTCTCTTTGACTTTTAAGTTAGAAATTCAACTTGTTATCTTCCAACTCTTTGACCATGTTTATTCTTTTTCAGTTTTGAACAAACTATAGAAGAAAAGAGAGAAACTAAACAGC